GTTTATTTAACCTTTTACAATGTGGAAAGCTGGCCGGAGGGGCTGAGAAACATGCCAATGCATTCCTAACACTAAAGTGTTACTTTAATATAAATGTATTACTATTATCTTTTTTTTTTTTTCTCACTTCCACAACCAAAATGTTTGAAAAACAAACCTACATTATTTATTACCGGATCCAGACAAGAATCTGTTTGTCTAGTATGTGAGACAGGAATGCCATTGAACTAGTTGTTAAACTTGTTTCCCTTCTAAATCAATGTTCAGGTGACTACATTTCCCCATTACTAAAATCATACCCAAATTTCCCACTTATTATAATTTGTGATAAACATGTATGTGGGTTTGTAGTGTATTTCTACAATTATTAAGTTGCCCTCTTAGGTTTTATACCCATAAGGCTTCCACTTTCCTACCGTATCATCCTATACCAATTCCTTGCCAAACTGTTTTAATTCAAGTTTCACATACTTTCTATAACATAATAGAACGATAAACATCCAGTACACAGTGTTCCCTCCCACCCCATCTGTTCCTGTGAAAATCCTTTGAAAACAGTAAGACAGCTGATTCCTAAGACAGACACATGTACATGCCAGAAAGATGCATCAACACACATTTAAATAGTTGTTCTACAAAGGATCTCATGGAATTGATACAGACATGAAACCCTGCACCACATTTCTTTCATTTTTTGTAAGCCACGGTCATAACTAATCTGTTTTTTAAATGATCTGTTTATTGTATTTATAAAGTGCAAACATTAGCCATTGTTTTACAAAAGAACCATTCTACACAATATTTCCAAAATGTTTCTGTTTCTGAGTGTATACTGCACTAATTCAACTCATCCACTTTTTTGCTATTGTTTTGTATCAACTACTGCAATAACATACTAACTGACCTTCCGGTCTCCAGATTCTACCCCCCTTTAGTCTATCCTAAATGCTTCTGTCAAGCTAATCCACACTACTTGTTGCCCAGTATCTATTTCACCTCTCTGCAAATATAATTAAAGTCAACATGCTCACCCTCATTTACAAAGCCACTACCTTTACTCACTAATCAATAAATATACTTAAGCAAACCAACGGAGATCTAACAATGACCTGCCCCTTGCATCTTCTATTATCACCTCTTCCAATGCTAGACTACAGGGCTTCTCTCGTGCAGCACCAACCCCCACGAACACACTTGAAACATTCTTGTACAGAGAAACCTACCACTCAACTAAGTAGCCAATGCATTTCACTTAACCATTAAACATCCTCCTCTCACTCCGTATTAACATCATTCTTACCTTTTCAGTCTACACCTCTTGATTCTCATCCCTCCTATCCATCTAGATAGTAAATTCCTACAGGAAGAGCACCCTCCGCTCCTCTACTATTTGTTTGTCACATTTTGTATTTTCTCTTACATGTGTAGTAACTTTGTCTTTTTACTTGTATCAGTTGTACGCATGGATAGAAATGTAAAATGTGGATGGAGCATTTAAGCTTTATGGTGTGTTCCTTTAACAGGTTAAATGACAGTTTGATTTATTACATGACAAGCTGGTATCTACCAAAACTAGCACATTAAGTAATTTCATTTAAAGTACCGACCAAGATGGTCAGCGAGCTTACAATTGAAAGGAAATAATGGGGAGTGATACAAAATGAAAAAATGGATTCATTAAAAACTGCCAGATGTTAAAGGGACACTATAGTCACCAGAACAACTACAGCTTAATGTAGTTGTTCTGGTGAGTATAAGATCCCTTCAGGCATTTTTCATGTAAGCACTGGCTTTTCAGAGAAAAGGCAGTGTTTACATTGCCTCTAGGGACACCTCCAAGTGGCCACTCCTTAGATGGCCGCCGGAGGGGCTTCCTGGCTCAGTGCTGCCGAAAAAGCAGCACTGACGTTCAGCATCCCCACGCTCTGCATGGAGACGCTGAATTTTCCTCTATGAGGAGGTCCTGATTGACCAAAACGGCATTTGGTCCCGCCCCATGCTGATTTTAGCCAATTGAATTGGCAAAAAAATTGGCCATTTTGATAATGTCACAAAGGGGGCGCAGCCAGCGTGGGGCTGGAAATACGGTAAGTTTTAAACTTTTATAGGGGGGGGGGCTAGCCACCTTAATGGTGGGTTTAGCACTATAGGGTCAGGAATACGTTTGTTGTTGGAGCGCCTCTGGCCATGTGTGCGCATTCGGCTCCACTCGGAAGCTGACGTCGATGGAGGAGGAGAGGTCACCTGTGCCGAGGGAGTCCGGCGCTGGATTAAGGTAAGCAAATAAATGGTTAATTAACCATTTACTTGCCACGGAACTGGGGTTAGATGACTAGGGCTCTATAGCGTTAGGAATACATATTTGTATTCCTAACGCTATAGTGTTCCTTTAAATGTACAACCGACATAGCGTTTATCTAACTCACAGTTTGTGCAAAGACTTGACCAAAGAATTGAGCCTGTTCCACTTTAAAGTCACATAACAGCTACAAAAATCCAGTTTTGTTATTTTAGAAAAAATGATATGCATAGAATAATACTAAGCAACATATATTCTACCTATCCATGTATATACACAGAATACAAACAGAGCAACCCCTTCCTCTACCTTACCATATTTGTCCAAACTTTTTTTTTTTTTAAATAAGTGCTAACGAGTACAACGAGTAAGTCTCAGACTGCCAGTGTGATTCATTCTTTATCACAGAGACATGTGTTTAGCACTATTTACTTTCTGCTAGTTACATTCACACTTGCTGACAGAGCTTGTAGCACCATGTGCAAATACCACCTAGCTCATAAATTTAACAAATCAAATTCTCAGACACAAGGACTTAGTAACACTCTTCTGGATCATACCATGTCATTCACCAGGGCCGTCTCCAGCAATTATAATTATTTTTTATGGCTGAACATCTGCTTTTTTTTTTAGACTTTTGTTTGTGTTTCAAAACTGAACTGTAGAAACTGTGAACTAAATATTGTATTGTGATGAAGTAAAGAATAAATTCCAAAGTTTAGGCAAAATATCAGACCTGGAAACGGTGTACTTTTACGTTAAGTTTTAAAATAGGATGCTTAATAATGTACAACAGTAGTCAGAAAAAAAAATAAAAAAAATTTAAGCTTATTCAGTACACCAGACGAATGCCTTTAGTGGTCGTTTGAAAATTTTAGTTCACTTGACAGTTCCCATTTTGGTAAAAAAACAACAACAAAAAAATGGCTTGTGCAAGCACAGATTAGGTCCATGTAAAGTTTTAAACTCATATTGAATTGAGAGTGAGCATTTATTTCAGGCTGTAGCAACTAAATATTTTCAAGATAGCATAATGGTTGTGGATTGACAAATATGTCACAGCACACACTCTATTCAAAATTTCCCCCTAGTAGCACCCCATGAGAGTTAGACACTGCATTCAAACTGTATGGGCACCATAACAACTTATGCACATTTTTTAATGAATGGGTAGCTACTGATTGGCTTATATTATGAACTAACCACTCTAAACGCGGCAGTCCTGAAACTGCATAGAAGAAACCAGTTGTCACAGGGAGATCCTGTGCTGGAAAGCAACCTTTGGGGTAAACCGAAGTTCCTTTAAGAGTTAGTTATGCTTGTTCAAACACTTATGGAATTGATGCACAGATGTCCTTAATAAAGAACTGCCAATTTTCTGTGTGTTAAAGTACCTCCTTTATTGAGGTTTAGTAGATGCACAAAAACACTTACCTTCACAGTATTTCTCGATAAACCACACTACCATGTTCTCAAGATGCTCCGCTTATGTTCTATAATTCCCTGTTCAGTGGCATCTCCAGGATTCATATTTAGAGGGTGCACATAAGGGGCCAAGGACAAAAGTAGGGGGGGCAGTTATAAAATGTGTACATATATATATATATGTGTATTTATGCAAAAAACAGATAAAACTCGTATCTTGTAATACCATTTTTATTGAACGAATACGGCTACAATCTCTACTTGAACTATATATATATACACACACACACACACACACACACACACACACACACACACGGCTCGACAAATCCCAGGTGCCAGGTCACCACGGCAGCTAGAAATTTTGCCCTGGCACATGGGATTTATCAGACCTTTGCTAAGCCGCGCAGGAAACATTAAAGCAGTCTGCCACGGGGAGTAAACAAGCTCACTGATACACACACGCTTACTACAGACAAGCACACTGACACACACAAAGTTTACTAGAGACAAGCTCACTGACACACACACAAGCTCACTCAGTAGCAGGAACATACACATACAAGATCACTCTGGCGTGCTAAGTGGCACAATCAGTTCTGTGGTGGTTGAGAAGGCTACCTATCCTTCGGGTATAGGCAGGTCACAAGATGATGGGTATCTCTCTTGGAGCTCAGGCAATTACACAGACTGACCCATACAAACCCACAAACTGCCCCCCCCCTCCCTCCACACAAGTTGAAAAATACACACACACACACACACACACTGACCCATATACACACTGACCAATACAGAGACAAAGACTGCTCCCTCCCACACACACTGACCAATACACTCCCCCTCACGCACACAGACTGACCCATACAGACTAAAACCCCCACAGATACTGACCCATACATACACAGACTGACCCCCCACCACACAGACGGAACCACACACACTGACCTACACTCATCAGCAGCTGCCTGTCTCTCCCCTGCGCTGCCCTCTGTGATCAAACAGGAAGTTCGTCCCAGCACAGTGCCCCCTCTGGCCGCAGGTGGAAATTCCACCTACCTCAGTGCATTGCTGCTGCAGCTTGTGTAGGGAGACTCAGTTCTTCTGGCTTCAATTTCAATTGGGGGGGGGCTGCATGATGTAGGGGGGCCATGGCCCCCTCTTGCCCCGCCCCTAGGGACACCCCTGTCCCTGTTTGTTGGGAACTGTATGCAAACTGTTCCAATGTAGACTTGTGTTTGATGCAGACATTTTATTTTAATTTTTTTTACTTTTAGTTGCTTATTTGAAATGTTCATCATGCCCCCTAACTCACAGTTCTGCTCCCATCTCTTACTTAGAATATGGTGCTAATGCTGAAAGCATAAAAATTCCTACTCAGGAATTATTTATGGACCGATCAGTGCTATGAATGATGAAGAGAGATATGCATTGTGATAAGGGAAATAAAGACTGCACGATTCTTTAAACAATGCCAGAACTGCACATTTCATGTTTAATATTCCCAGACAAAGCAAAGTGTATTTATAATTTTGCCCACTATTTTAAATGTGAAAAATGATGTGAAAGGTTTAATGTCACTAAAAAGAAAATGTATTAGTATGGATTAGTCACGCTAGGAATGGACCAATTTTACACAGATTGGCTAATCTAATTTCTTACAACCGTGAGCTCTCAAGAACACAAATTATCCTATGGTCAAATGATTGTAATGTGTTAGTTTCCTCATTCTATTGCACAGCACAAATATTTGGTGACTCGTTATAAATAATTCAGTGATTTAGTGCAGCTAAAACATATTGATGGAGTAACACAAGACTAGCCCACATTTCCTTATACTCCCCCTGGATTTTGATCATAAGTCAGTTTTTTGTGTGCAGAATGCATAACGTACATAAATAATATTTATAATAAATAAAACAAAGATAACTGTTTAGGCCTCTTTACCCATCGATTTAATTAAAAAAGTGACATGCATCCCAGGATAATTATGTTTTAAGCAAGCAAGCAAACACTTTAAAACAAATATACAAACCAAAATAAAGCAAGAAAAAATGTAAAAAATATTTAAAACTTACAAACTTATTATTAACTTGGTCAGATTGCATTATTGAGCATGCCTCTCAGTTAAGAGGAGTTTCTTCAGCCCCCTCTTACCTACCCATCTCAGTTTCAGACCAGTCCACTAATGACAGAAACAGGACACCATTGTGCAGCAAGAGAGAGAAAGCAAACACTGGAGTTTGCCCTGCATGAATCAAATTGATCGGACTCCCTCTCTTCTCTCCGTCACGATATTGTAAGGTGAAGAGATCTTCCACCTTCACTATTGTGTCAATCTGTCAGCCATGCCAAGTCCAGTTTTCCAGCATTCCTAGGGATAGGACACTGACTGGTTATATCAGTGTCATCCCAGGAGTGGGTGTGGAAAGCATAAAAAAGAAGTAGGTAAATATTAAACAAGAAAAAACAAACAAACATTTATCTGCTTTTTCCAGCCTGCATAGTGAGACTAAAGCTTTTGAATGAGACAATTGTCTCAAAGTGACGTATGTCCCTTTAATAAGTCAACCCATATGTAATCCAAACCTCCAACTATAAACTACGACAGACAGACAATTTCAGCAAATAATAGGTGAAACCACAGATCCCTATTATGAGTCATAGCTATATAATTCTGTGATTTTACCAGCCAGAACATTCACTCATCATGCATGACAGAGACAATGTATCACAAAGATAAAATTTAATATAGAGGATTCAAACTATGATGGTCAATGAGATATAGCCATGCGCATACAACAATCCTCCGCTGACTAGGCAAAACAAAAACAAAAAATAAATGAATAAAAAAAATAAAAAAAACAGACATCTTATGATTAATGCAACAGAGCAGCCATAACCCCCCCAGATACAGTCAGTAGCTGTATTACTGCTCTGGTACAGATCATATATCCTGCTGAGCTATGTGGAATCAATAGCCATTTCCTCTGCTCCTCTGCAAGGTCCAAGGTTCATATTTATGTGTAGGAGGCTGCACACTCCAAGCTTTTCAGAAGCTCTATTAGCATAAGTAATCAGGCCCACTACCGCAAGTCAATTTATACATAAAACAAATACACAGTGTAACCAGAAGGGACTTCACTCACATCATACGTGGTAATAGTTCTCTTCCCTTGGAACATTACAACTAATTTGCATTAAGGTGCAAATTGTACTTTGAATAATGTGCATATCGAGTAACCTGCAGAGAATATGTTAGTGATCATTTAAGCACATTAAAATGGGGAAAAAAAATTGAACTTCCTACTCAATAGGCACATGTTAAAGGCTTTATTTTTCTTTACTCCTCTAATACTTAACAGACCTTTAAATATCTATTTTAGCCTTTACTCTTAGTTAAACACATGGAAACTATATATCTTTTCTCTGTTGCAGTGATTGTAGCTTTGTTAATCGGAGAAAAAAGTGCTGATAATCGCCAGATTGGGAAAACAGTCGACCTAAATACCACTACATTTTATCATCCCATTTATATACTGAATTAAAAAAAAATACACATTTATAAAAAAAAAAAATCCCAATATTTCAGACTGCTTACCCTGCTGCTTTTGTGTGAGATATTTCTTTGCTGCCTTCTGTTTTGCTTGGTAAATAAAAGCTATGAGGAGACTTGAGTAAACTCAGATTCCTTACAGTAATTTGAGGTTGGCCACATTCACAAAATCACATAAGGTATTTTGTTAACTGTGTTTTGGAGACTATATGGATTCCGACCTATTTATCTGGTCCCATAAGATTTGGTCAACACAAACTGCAAACCTCCTGTTTTGTACGAAAATGCTGGATTTGCAATTATATTTATTATGTTTTTTTGGAAGTCAAACTAATCGTCCTAGATATATAGATTTTGGATATTTGTCCTTTAAGAGAGGCCACTGAACGATAAAAACATTTGAAAAATAATAGAGGATTTGTCCGGTTAGGGACAATGATTCCACGCGACAAATACTTTCAACATAAATGATGATTGTTTTCTTGATGCCAATGATCCCAAGAAGAAGCGCAGACAAGCAAACCGGAACACAAGTGCCAGGGCCATTACATAAGATCTAGAGTAGAAAAATAAAAAAATATATATATCAATGAAAGGAAACAAAATTGTAAAGATGACTTAAATAGATTACAGTTTTATTTATGTAAATTTAATTTTGGTTCCTGCAACTGCACACATGCACGGCAAGCTAAGTAAGAAGTCATTCTGCTAGTCAGAAAGCTCTCAGTCTAGTCTAAAGGATCTGAATTTATTCCCAAAACTTCTTTCCTTCAATAAAAAGCCAGACAGTTTACCTGTGCACGATCCCAAATCACTATCTACTTAAATCAGACAGAAATCGCTAATAGGAGAGAAGATTCTGCCTTTTGGCTGAAAGCAGCAAATGGTAAACGGTTTACATAAAACTCACTCAAGAGGTTTGCCTTGACGTTGGCAGGTGAGCTTACACTTGAATGGCTGTAGCAATACCCCAAAAATCATTTATATAGACTGTAAGATCGTTTGAGCAGGGTCCTCTTCAATCTATTGTTTTTGTAAGTTTTCTTTTAATTGTCCTATTTATAGTTACATCCCCCCTCTTATAATATTGTAAAGTGCTACGGAATCTGTTGGCGCTACATAAATGGCAATAATAATATTAATATACATTAACATATCGATTTGGGATAGTGTGCCGGTAGATTTTCTGAATTTATATTGCGTATATAATTGGACTGGTGAATAGCCATTGCTGCCACCCAAGAGTAGTGTGTGTTTTGAAGGAGAGGAAAAACACAGTCTTCTGCTCAAGGTTTTATGGGATATATACTTGAGGGAAGGTCTTTTCATAGCAGATGAATAGAACTGCTAAATAAGCAGTTAGTAGCCACAATGTGACTGCTATCAATTTTAATGAAAGTTCTGTTTAGCTTTGTGAACTGAGCTGTAACGGATCACCGAACCGAGCAGCCATTGCCCAGGCTCTTCTAACACAGTCTGTCAGGGGAAGTAGGGATCTGAACAGTGTGTGCACTGTTTATAAATATTTCATCTGGCAGAGGAATAAATATAGTCTAATAGCTGCAGTGATTTTTGTATACAGTGATTAGCAACTGTGTACGGTGACAAGGAACATCCATGCACCAAGCACCATAAACTATATAATAAGCATACGCTGTTGTGGTGCTTAAATAGTCCTTTTCATTTCAAAATAAAATGTATTTTATCCATTATATCATTTCATTGGCTATTAACTCATACAAGTATAGGGGAAAATGTCATCATTTCAGGAGTAATGGCATCAGCAAATGTTGTATGGCTGTACACATTCACTGACACATGGCACACTTAACACACACAATTCTCCTATGTCTCCCTGTCATAATGTTGTGGTAGTTTTTCTTCTTTTAAACATATAGTCTCCTCTTTTACTGTGTTGAATCCCTTTATGTATTTAAATGTTTCTATCATATCCCCCCATCTCTACTTTCCTTCAAGCTATACATGTTAAAATCCTTTCACCTTTCCTGGTAAGTTTTATCCTGCAATCCATGAACCAGTTTAGTAGCCCTTCTCTGAAATCTCTCTAAAGTATCAATATCCTTCTGGAGATACGGTCTCCAGTATTGCGTACAATACTCCAAGTGAGGTCTCACCAGTGTTCTGTACAATGGCATGAGCACTTCCCTCTTTCTACTGCTAATACCTCTCCCTATACAACCAAGCATTCTGCTAGCATTTCCTGCTGCTCTATTGCATTGTCTGCCTACCTTAAAGTCATCAGAAATAATCACCCCTAAATCCCTTTCCTCAGATGTTGAGGTTAGGACTCTAGCAAATATTCTGTACTCTGCCCTTGGGTTTTTACGTCCAAGATACATTATCTTGCCTACTTATTAACCCTGAATAGGAAACACATGGGATGGGTGGCTGGATTGTAACATGACTGTGTGATGCAAAAGTGAATACAAATATACAAAAACAAGTCCTGCGCTCAAACTCCTGGGTGGCAGCAACGGCCACAGCACACATCAGCCCTAATGCATACAAAACCAATAAGGAAAAAAAAAAGTTACCTCTGCACTAGCCCTATGCATATTTAAATAAATGGAGGTTATTTAGTAACTCCAATAGCATTAGTGCTGTATGGCTACATTTTACCAAAAACCACAGAAACAAGTCCCAGGTGTGCATCACTCTGATTTCTAGCAAACGTTTTTTCAGTAATTTAACAAACAATGTGATGCACTCTTTAACATGGCTCCGTAACTGTCACCATTTAGAAGCCAGAGGGATGTCACATTAAGTTGACCATTTCTCTGGCACAGAGTTAAACATTACTGCAGCCAACTATGAGTTCACCCATGCCACAGGATTAGAAAAATTTGTGCATTACACCCACTGGTGATTACAAAGGTCAGGATAATAAAAATAAAGAAACATTAAAATAATATTCATAGACCACAGGATGGATAGTCTTACCAAGCAGCATCACTTCATTTGCATAATTTTTTTATGGGTGTTAAAGTAAGGCTTTGTGCTCCATGTCTAAAATGAATGTTCCAACTTCCCGACTCACATCAAGTTGATGAATAATTTATAAGAAAGCGAATAATGGTTTAAGTCATGTAAGCCTTAGTGCTACTGCTTAACCACCGCTAGAGTTTCTACTACCATGGATCATTAAAATGGATTTTATATTCCCTCTTGGATCACTCGTCTCTAACCTGTCGCCTGAAATATTGCTCACATAAATAGGTTTCAGGCGATACTTCAAAGAGATTATTATTATGATGTAATAAATCAATTAGGTTTCCCTTCTTATCAAAGTATACGATCTATATACATATATACAGGTTTTGGCAGTTACATAAATTGTAATTCTGGAGCCTCTGTAAGCATTTGGTTTTCTACTTGCCCTGTTATTAGATCTTGTAGATACAATTGTTGCATGTAAAAGTTACTATAAAGTCTTTAATCTGCCCAGATATGGGAAAACAAGGGAGTGATATTATACTAAACTCTTTGCTGCAACATAGTTTCATTCTGGAACAGCTATTGTTCAACAGCTACCGCTTGAAGATGTACTAGTCTGACAGACTTTGGTTAAAAGAGACAGACACTCCCTGAGCTTAAAAGAACACTAAAGCTTTAGAAATACAAACCTGTACATAAAAAATAAAATAAAAAAAGTTTACCCCCTTAAGGACACAACTTCAGAAATAAAAGGGAATCCTGACGGACACTAAAGAACCACTGCACCCAAGCCACCTCATTGAGATGAAGTGGCGTCTGTGACTTTAGTGGTCCTTTATAGAACCACTAAAGTGAATCAGACCACTTAATCTCAATTAGGTCTGAGTACAGTGGTTCTGAATGCTTAACCCCTCAAGGTGAAAACACATTTTGCAGAAATGGCATTGTTTACCATGAAGGGTTAAACAAGCCTCTAGTAGAGGTCATACTGACACTAGAGATGCTTCTGCTGCACTGGGCGAGTTAAACAGTAGATAGGGACACTGTAGCGTTAGGAATGCAGGTTTGTTTTCCTAGCACTATAGTGTTTTTTTATATAACCATACCAGGAATTTAAAGGAACACTATAGTCACCTAAATTACTTTAGCTAAATAAAGCAGTTTTAGTGTATGGATCATTCCCCTACAATTTCACTGCTCACTTCACTGTCATTTAGGAGTTAAATCACTTTGTTTCTGTTTATGCAGCCCTAGCCACACCTCCCCTGGCTATGATTGACAGAGCCTGCATGAAAAAAAAAACTGGTTTCACTTTCAAACAGATGTAATTTACCTTAAATAATTGTATCTCAATCTCTAAATTGAACTTTAATCACATACAGGAGGCTCTTGTAGGGTCTAGCAAGCTATTAACATAGCAGGGGATAAGAAAATCTTAATTAAACAGAACTTGCAATAAAGAAAGCCTAAATAGGGCTCTCTTTACAGGAAGTGTTTATGGAAGGCTGTGCAAGTCACATGCAGGGAGGTGTGACTAGGGTTCATAAACAAAGGGATTTAACTCCTAAATGGCAGAGGATTGAGCAGTGAGGCTGCAGGGGCATGTTCTATACACCAAAACTGCTTCATTAAGCTAAAGTTGTTCAGGTGACTATAGTGTCCCTTTAATGTTATTGTGAAATGTGGAGGTGGATGTGCCTACATTAACTTTTTAGAGTGCCTGGAGTAGGACATTTTCAAACAACCTACTTGTTAAGCACCATAGCAGCCTAGGCTTATTGCAACAGATGTTTTGGACTGCACATCACATGATGCTTTGTCAGCATTATGGGGGATGTAGTCAACAACATCTGGAGTGCTGAAGGTCGACTTTCCATGGCATAGGCCATGGTTCACATAGTTACTTGGTCCAAGGTCTCCATGCCCACTGATGCTTATAAATGCATTGATTTGTAAAAACTCCTGAACCAGTGATGTAATTTCTTGTCTAAGATTCATGGTCTCATGGACATCTGAGATGGACCTCCCTCCAACCTATAAATGCACACATAACCAGTTGGCTACTTGGAAGATCACAAAAGTGTAACTCAGTCTGTAAAACTATGGTATAGCCACTGTTAGTTCATTGAGCAGTTTTATGGGGTCAAAACTAAACCAAAAGAAAAATATCTTCATAGACCAGAATGAGTTTCCCAATTTGTGGTGCCTCTTTCTAGTCCGCTTGGGATTTATCAGCTGTAGCACTCATCTGTGCAAGTTCTGCAATTTAATTAGAACTGTAAAAGGCAAGTTAATGCTTTCCTTTTGTAATCCAATTATAATTATTTGTTTCATATTTTTACTGTGTTACCTGCACAATGTGACTTTTTGAAGCTTAAAAGGATTTCCAGAGCATTTATGGAAAGATTACACAGATTTACACTCGAGCTAAAATCAAACATGCCAACAATCTCTAGCTGGATATTAAATAGACAAATAATAAGCGGTCACTGAAACGTCTGAACACTGCTGCTTCAAAAGAAATGCTTTCTGCACTTATTAACAAGAGAGAAGGGATTAGCGAGTTCTCTGTCCTGTGATGGTGGGAGGGGTGTTTGTGGAAAGAGGATAGTTTACACTGTCACTCTTGGTAAATACATTAAAAGAGCCTAACAAAGGTGGAATGAATTAAGCAGGCTTAGCTACGGCTAATGTAATGGGATCTAAATACTCTCTACTGAAACCTCTACTCTGTATTGTTCATCAGCTTCCAAACATTAACACGAACTGCTAAAAGCCTTCAGTGGCCATTCCTACACTGGATTGCCTTTGGACTCTCTTAGGAGAAACATTAATGAAAATCATGACCGAAAAAAAATCGGTAGAGTAAGTTAACCATTGTGAGGATGCTGGATTTCACCTGGCCCATTAAGGTGTGGATGTTTTCTCTTAAAAAGAAGAGAGCTGCATCAAAGAGTTGCCTAATGTCCTTCAATAATGACTTAATGTTTTTTTTTGGCAAGCGTATTCTCTTCCTCCTCAGAAGATGTGTCTTCTAAGTCCCCACTCTGCAATATCTAGTCGATGACATCCAGTGATGGTTCTTTCGAGTACCTCTTGTCCTGGCCATGTGAAACTGCACTTTTAGGATGGGCTAATTTAACGCCTTGTGAGAGAAGATCCCAGATATATCCAGATAGCGCTGGAGGAACTACTTATCCCTTCTTCCCCATATCAACACTGGTGGATATAGCTGGATATGAGGTAAGTATATCCGCAATTTAGGGATAAAATCAGGCTTTGCTGCTGAATTGGATTGGAGCTAGCTTAGAGATGTTAGCTAGGTTAGGCTATTGCTCCACGCTCCCCTCCCTCATTGGCTTCTTTGTGAGGAAAAAAAACATTATAGAGCATATGATCTTTGCATGTCGAAGCCCACACTTCAAACAAACTACATAGAATGGTATGGTCACAAAGAATTGATTATTAGATCCAAGGGTTTCAGGAATGCAGCAGTTACAAATATTTTAATAAGTGCCGATGACGTCTAATTCAGATTATGACCTGTAGAGCTATTTTGGAACTTAAAAACATAAAAATATTTATTGCCTTTAATGAAGGACATCTGTGGCTCAGTGAAAAACAAAACCATAAAATGAGTGTTTGCCTAAAATCCAGAAAAAAAAAAAATTGCAGCTCTTTGTACATTCAGACATGATAGTCCATGAGCATATGAAAAGATGGAAAGATGTATATGTGATGGTAAATAGACAACAGGTTTATATTAAACAGAACCCATCAAACGGATTCCTCTGCATGGAAGCTGCATTGACCTAAATACCATTAATCCTTTAAAATTGAAAAGTGGTCTTTATAGGGCAGTCTATTTTACAAACCAAAAGAGGCAATATCCCCAACTGCATGGTCACTCTTTCGGACCTACAATTGCCAATATGTAAAGAACAAGATCTGCTGAAACAGGTAGCTTAGAATTTGTGATGGTAACAGGAACACAAAGTACTAATGTTGATATTTAAAACCAGTGAGTGCACAATCCTTAAAAGTGCCTTTAGTACAATAATGTTTAATGACATTCAATATGCTGTATTAGTGACACTGCCCACAAGCACCAATTAAATATTATAATCCCCTAATATTTACCATGGGTCTCATAGTGGTCATGACCTAGGCATTTAAACATACCATTCTATGCCAGAAATAATTACTATAAAATCATTAGAAAAGTGTACATATACACTCGCCTGGATAGCGCAATGCATAAGTGGAGTATTAGCCGCCCCCCCCCCCCTTCCAAAAAAAACCAAAAACACCCCCAAAACCACTAAACTGTGAATTAAGAATTCACCAGGGATTTTGAAATTTTAGGCCAAAATACAAAATTTAGGAGAAATAATAAATAAAACAAAAAATTATCATATTCAGCTTGGCCTTTTATCCTAAAATTTGCAGTTTGAGTATTTTATTCACTATAATTTGGTGTTTTGTAAAGAATAGTGTCCTTTAAAAATGGCTGCCATGGGTGAGTTTATAATAGAAAAGCATAATTTGGTTTTATTGAACAGTGAATGATAAACTAAAATAAATGATTCCAAATGTTTCCAAGTAACATATGAAAAAAACTAACAATTTCAATGCATATCTTCTTCGTAAAAAGGTTTCCCCATGACCAAACATATAATGCCACCCACATCGTGTCCATTTTATTTTATTTTTAATACGTTTTGACATTTGCACCTCGAGTTAGTTTCCAATAACCAAGGAACAGAAGTGCGGAGTAAGATTTGTTACATTTCTCAGTAATATAGAACATATGGGTTGGCTCTGTCGTTTGTAGAAAGTCTGCCAAAAGATTTGCAGAAATCCATATCTGTATCACCAGCAATTGCAAGACCTAAATAAGGGAAAGTACATCGCATCATGAGCTCACTTTACACACAAACTATGTGCAAGCAAACCTCTCAATGAAGTGTTCTCTTGTTAAATTGCTACTCAATCACTCCCAGTCTAGACAATTTAGCAAGAATTTAACTTTCCTGGTTGTCCAATTAAACATACAAGAAACCTCAAGGAATTCCATATAACATACCTGCTAAATTTCAGGATTTCGAGATCAGCAAAACGCGGCTACAGTTTGCATTTAACTAGGAATAACAAATACATATTTACATTGCATATTCAGCTCATGTTGTTGCCGAGCACAATACTCACGGGACTAGAAGTGCGATAAAGGAATTTTTTTTTTCCATGACTGGGATTAATGAAGCTTAAACTGCCCAAGGATTTCCAGTGGAAAGTAGCATGTTTCAGTGAAACTACAAAGTTAAATCCCTTTTATTCCTTCCTGATGTCAGAGGTTCATTGAACGAGCTGTCTGCTAGAGGAAAATCCCTTCATTGCACCTGTATTTGTGTTTACTCCCAGGACATTCAAAGGGCAGCTGGAATTCTCTCTGATCCCACATGGAATCGGTCTATTCCAAGCAGAACATGGGGCAGTTAAACAGGGCTCTAGCATTTCACAGAAAGCGGTGACAACCCAGGCAAAATACAATATTTTGTTAATACCCATCTCTTTATCTATCAAAAGGTTTCATCATAAAGACAGGCCGAAATGTTGCCTGTTGGACTCCAAATGAGCAGGAAAAAACAGTTGCTAATCACTGCTTAAACTATACATTCTGTGGCAGCTATAATATAGATATACATTTTCTGATGATAAAAATAATATGGCACTAATCCATAAAGCACACACTGGTGTACCTTATATACATCAGCAGACAGAAGAGAAATGATGACAATTTCCTGTGTATTTAAGATATAATGCTAAGAATGTAGGAATTCAAAGAAGTCTTGCTTTTCATCCACTCTGAAGCAGAGGGGTAAAAAAAACAAAACTAAAAACCCACACTTAATTTCTACGCCTGAAAGAACAGGAGGATGATAAGTACACAAAGTGAATAGCCCTAATTGCAGCCATTCAAGGGCAGGTTTTCAAAGTAAGCAAAGAGAAAGTAAAGGATTATGAACAAGTTACTATTGGACAGTTTAAAGGGGCACTCTAAAACAATAGAGCCCTCTGTAGTCCCAATGTTAAGAGTCTTCACATTTTTAAACAGTTTGACACTTATCTGGGTCTCCTTTGGTTCCTTTTCACAGATATCGCTCAAGTAGATAATCTACGGCAGCTTTAGATTTTCCAGTGGGTGCAAAGTACTCTGTATACCATAGACCTTGCAACAATGCAAAAGTTGTTATAGTGTTTGGACTCACCCTTTAATATGTTCAGTCAATCAAAAACAAGTTGATGACAGGAACCCTAACAAGGATAGAAGTGATAATTTTCTACTGCTGTATTATATGAATGCCTCAAACACCAGTGCTTTAGAGCGGCCAGCGGCTCTCTGAGTATAATCATGAAACATTACGATGCAGCGAGGACACAAGCCCTCTCATCCCATGTTACAGCAAATCAGTTTAAATAAACACGAATGACACGAATACAAATAAATCCTTAGCGTTAGGCTGTTCCTTTTAACTTTTAGATTCAGGACCCTATTTTGGGAATCAAAATAAACTTTTTTGCCAGCACTATCCTGTTCTCAACATGGCAGCTGTTCTGCCCACTGGGAGATCATCTGTAATGATGATCTCTGACCATCCTTACTCTATACCACTACGTGCCTGGAGGCCACAAATGGCTGTGCATGTGATACACTACCCCAAGTGCTATGGCAGAAACTTGCATCATCCAAAATGCACCCAGAAATTAGGAATTCTGGAATACCATGCATGCTAGCCATTTCAGGATTGTTGCCTAAAGATTGCTTCCTCCTGCAACATGGGTACATGCAAGAATATCTTTTAAATTATGTATTTGCTAACAATTATGGGAAAACAATGGAGGCACTTTGAAAGGAAAAGTTAACCACAGATGAAAGATTGTCAAACAGTTATCATCAAACACCTATAAATAATAAGCTTATGTGATGAAATACAATATAGTGGACTGAATCAGTCTCTTTCTGCAATGTTGGTGCTAACAGGTAACAATATAGGACCAGATAATATACATGGTCCCAATGCACCCTCACTCTTTAAATTAATAACAGCAAGAAAAGGCAGTAGTAAAACAAAAGGGGCATATGTTTATGAAGGATTACGGATCATTTGTCTCCCACATCTTACACCAGGGGTTCCCAAAAGGCAGATCCCCAGATTTTGTAGAACTACAACTCCTATGAAGCTTTTCATGCCTTTAGAATGGCAAAGCATCACGGAAGCTGTAGTTTTTTTTATTTTTTTATTAATTCTTTATTTTTAGTGTGCATAAGTTTGACAGACATGCATATTTGGCCACGATAACAAGTAAAGGCATTTCACATTGCATTATTCTGTGGCATATAAGAGAATTGCACATTTTTATGTAACTAACAGGTTAATACAGGTTATGTCAGAGAATGGTCAGACAATAAGCGTGATCGAAAGTAGTGTAGGCTGACATTAACTTTGTCAACGAGGAGATAGTTATGAGACATGCTGAACTATGAGTAACTCAAAAGTTTGGGGGCCACTGGGTACTCAAGGGCGTAGTATTGGGATATATCATATTTACACACTAACGTAGTTGCTAGGCATGGCAATAGCTGGATATGAGCACTAGGTGATGCTAGATTAGCTTGACCGGCATATGTACATAGTGGAATTTAAAATAACAAGGCAATAAAGATTTAAAGCACAATTCCACGAAAGAAGGAGAACCCCCCCCCCCAAAAAAACAAACAAAAAACATACAGATGTAATTGCTAGACATGGTAGTAGCTAGTTCTGAGCAGTGTGTGACTTGCTAAATTAGCTAGACTGGCATTTGTACTTATCAGAGTTAAAATGAGAAGGGGAAATAAAGATTAAAGCACAATTTCCACTGCAACTGGGTGTTTTCCTGAGCTGGTTGTATTACTGATGTGACTGCTAGGGGGGGAAAGTGTAAAAAAACAGTAGAACCCTAGGGTAAGATCTCCCCCGGGGAGCACGCAGTGGAAAGGTGAGCCAGTGGTGGTTATTGCTCATCTCCATGCGGCAAGTGGGTATTAAGTGCCTCTACTTGCTTAACCTATGCCTATTGATGGCGGACTGACACCCCTGGGGATCATAAGACCACCTCTCTGCAGGTGAGCGCCGTACCAGTCCCAAGCGCTTGTGTGCTCTTGTTCAGCGCTGGCTGAAAGGCCATCTAGTCCAGTTGCTGGGACTTTGTCTCTGGGCCTTCTCTGTGCTCCGAATCTGTGTTGCCATGTGTGTGCTCTCCGGCGGAGGGGTCCGCGAGTATGTAGTCGGCTCCCATCTGAGCGTCGTGCATAGAAGCTGCGGCAAGGTGGTAAGGAGAGTGGTCGGTGTTGGCATGCTGCTTTTCGGTTCGGTGTCGGGAGAGTCCGCCGGCGGGCCCGTCGGCAAGATGGGCGCAACTCCGCGTGGGCACTGGATCGGTGAATTGCCGCTTCAGCCTCCTTCACCTTCATAGCAGGTAGGTCAGAATGGGTGGCTTTATGCTCCATGCGCTTCCAGAATTCCTGGCAGATTCGATCAAAGCGGGCTTCAAAGTGCTCTCTCCAGGTCTGGATCTCAGGGCTTGCTTGAGACTGCAGAGATTGCTGCTCGGCGGCCATTTTGGGCCCGAGCCGCGGTCTCCCCTCCAGCAGATCAGTCCCTTGTGGTGAGTTTGTGGGATTCCCCAGTGGGGACCGGGATGACCCCCACCGGTCCAGAGGGGGGGGATGCGGGATGCCAGGTGAGCTGCTGCTTGTAGCGGTCCCCAGGGCGGGGGATCGGCCGCCTCTCCCAACCATGAGGCTGCTGTCCGTGCTAGGCCGCATTTGTGGAGTGTGGTATTTCTCGAAAAAAGTTCACAAAACAGATGTCCACGAGCCTCCACGCAGTCTAGTGATGATTTTTTGTTGAGCAGGACTGCTAAGTTCAAGGTTTTGGCCAGTAATAGCCAATTTAAATCTCGTTTGTGTCAGAGCTCTCTGCATGCACGTCCAGCTAGCTCTGCTGTCAGGCCCCGCCCCCCGGAAGCTGTAGTTTTAAAACGTCTAGGGATCTACCTTTTGGGCACCCCTGTCTTACACAATGTGGTACTTACAAGAAAATAGAATATAGTATATTTCCAATGGGCACAGAGTAGTTGTAAATACAGATGGAAGCGGCAGATTATTTTGATGCAAAGAAATAAAAAATAAATGAAAGGGAAGCATTTATGCAAGACAGTGATAACAGCAAGTTTCCATTTACTTGATGAAGCGGGACTCATTCATAATTGCTAACACAAGCATTATTCAACATTTTTAGATCATTGATAATCTAGATAATGCATTTAAAGAATGATAGATGTACCCCAGAATGTCTCAATAACCAGTGAATTCAGTAACGTTTAGATGTGTACATTAAACTGTGACCTTCAATACCGCTTTATTGCTTTTATCTACAAAATACTTCAAAAACACTTTGAATCTAAGGGTACAGAGAGGGTAGAAGAGGACTTTTTTTTAATTCTTTTTCCTTTTTGCCATTTCAAGACAACGGCTACATTTATAGTTTCTAAATAAAAACCTATTGTCTCCCCCAGAACTCGAGTATGCTGGGAATGGCACAGTAGATAATTATTACCCACAACACCGGAGATCAAGATTTTCCAAATGTCAGCACACAGAACAAGTTGCCATTATGGACTCAGCTTTGACAACAACTGGATTTTTCCAGTATGTTCTTTATGCCAACTAATAAATCTCACAGCACAACATAGTGTAAATGTCATTCTCAGGGTCACTGGGTGACACGAGAGCCAGCTCTCTGGTTATCTGGTTGTTTTTGAAGTATACAAGGTTTAGATAATCTCTGTTTTAGCCATATTTGCAATCTTGGAGACTCCATGCAGCAATAGGAGATTAAAGTCTCGACAGTCTATGAGTTTATGTCTGTTACAACGCTATCTACAAGTGTGCGGTCATACTAAAGTTGTAAGAGGACTAACTCTGTTGCCTGGTTCTGAGTGGGATTATTTCTAAAGCAGTAAATCCTATTTAATTTGTTTAATTATTTTTACTGTAATTTCTATTCAGTTTATATTATAAGAAATAGTGGGGCTGTGAGAAATCCAACGGCATCAAAAACAGTAGTAATTGGACGGCCTCGTGGAAGCATGCAGTAAAGTATTTAATTTCTGCAAACATGCAGCAGAAATAAGTTTTGACAAAATAACCTTAATCATGGCCTGTGTGCACGCATATTATATTTTGCAGTATACTACTGTGAGACAGACAAGTTATTACTTTATTGTGCTGAGGATTTCTGGTACGGATGATACTCTGGGGCGGCAGGTGTAACGAACGCTGGTATTTCAGATACCCGTCAGTTTGGTTCCTCCCGAACTGCTAGATACTTGGTGATTATAGCTTGCAGTTCGGGTGCTGAATCGTACGTTCTCCAGAATAAATTACAGCATACAAGTAAATCCAGCAGGTAGTCAGACGAATACTGAAACATCAGCCCAGACTAGATGAAGGGTACAACAGGAATACACGCCTATAGAAACTGCCACAATTACTGAGTCAATTTTTCAACATAATACACATAAAACTTATAGGAACCCCCATGAATGTCATATCCCTGGATAGCCTGGATCTGAGCTACCAAGTTGTCCAGATAGCGCTCAGATCCCACAAAAACAGACGAATCGCCACCGGGATAAAGTTTTGACCGACCGCTCACGAGACGCTTGCCCAAAACAGTTCCATAGTTTCAGGAGTAGCAGTCAGTCAATTTTGGTCCCAAACCAAACAAAACCACGCACGGTTCCCCTGGCTCATTGGTAGCTTTTGCGGAGTCGAGTGTCCGACTTGGAGTTCCAGACACTCGACAACCAAGTCCTGCTGCCTCTTTTCGTGCGACAAGATGGCTGCAGTTTTCCCCAGCACGTGCTGTTCACTTACACGAACGGCAGACACACAGGGAGAGCACTAATTCCCGTTTTCTTCACATTGCTCTCCCCTAGTTCTATGGAGCGGCACCCGCCTAGACCCTGCCGGGATGGCTAGGGGATGTCCGGTGAGGTCAGTCATGGTTCCAACTCCGTTTGCCAGGACAACCCAACGGCATTGCAATAATTTACGGCTGAGATATGCCATCGAGTGCTCCATTCCGTCATCCCTCACTTGACTTAGCACGGCTCCCAGTCCAAACATGGAGGCATCTGTGTGGACAAGAAACTTTTTAGTATGGTTTGGGGCGGCCAACACAGGTGCCTCACTCAGCGCCGTCTTGAGCTTCTAGAAAGCGGTTGCACACTCCGGGGACCAAGTCCCGCTGCCTCTTTTCATGTAAAAAGATGGCTGCCGTTTTCCCCAGCACGTGTTGTACGGTTACACGAACAGCAGCCACACAGGGAGAGCACTTATTCCTGTGGTATTCTTTGAACTTAATGTGCAGGGGGTGGGGCGGGGGAGTGGTCAGTGTTTGGTAGATTTATCTACCGAACCAAAAAATTTATGTTTGTGAACCAAAGTATGTAGTTTTATTCACAGCAGGGATCTGCAAATTGTTATTATTCAGCCATTGTAAGTGCACTATTGATGGATATTTCTAAATTGGGCAGATAGTGTAGCAGAAATCAAATGTGCACAGAAAATGACATTTATGAAAAAAGTATGACAGCAGTGAGTTTAGCATTTTATATGCCATCTTGGAGTTTACATTGCAGGTCAATTCACATTTTGAGGAAATTGACTGTTGAAAATAAACATAGATTGAAGTCACCATGGTTACCAGAGGCCCAGAGTTAAATTAAATGAATAAGTATCAGCCAGTAGAGAGAGCTTTTCCATAATTGTTTAGTGGTCTAGTGCATAGCTCAAAATATCCCCAGTAACCATTGGTGAAAAGTTTTTTAGCCTTGGCGAGAAGAAATTCACCGATTAACTATTAAATCAGTAGCCAACCTGGCCAAAACCTGAGGGCACCAAAGAACAAAATGTTCTCTTGGTTGAGAAGAAGGAAAACTTAGTAAACTGATTTGAAATATTTTAAGTTTATTGAGAGGAAGTGTTTTATTTATTTTATGCTATTTTTAAGTACTTTTGTTTATCAAGATATTATCCGACATTAAAGAACAGGAACCTCCACATTTCTTTGCTCAAAATACCACAACAAAAAACCTCCTATGAACGAATAACACACACAAAATTATTATTTTATTTTTTTTATAAACTAACTTTTTTTTTGTCATTACTTTATTGTCAGTGCCAGGCTTTTAAGAAAAGATCAAAACATAAGACAATTTTAGAATGCTAAATTAATTTGCAGAAAAAAAATCTGAATCGGAAAGGTCTTAATCAATATTGTGGTATTAGAAAGAGAACATTAGGTCCAGTGAGACTTTTAGAAAAATAATATTCAGAAGAACTCAGAGGGAAGCTAAAGGGCTGGAGGGGGGGAGAGGAGGGAAGTGTTCTGGTGCTATGCATGTGTGGCGGACCATTTCTTTGTACCCTTACTGTTCTCTAAAAAACTTATTCACAGCCCCCCTGTTTCTGTACCTTCCCCTCTACCAAACATATTACCAAAGGCATGCTCCCTGGCAAACGGCAGTCATTTTGTCTCCTGAACGACCTTAGCAGTAGTTAACCGTCAACTCCATGGAACTCGATACGGCCACTGGACCATGGAGTTCCCGGTCTACTTATTCCCCTGTTTTGTCCCACTTTCCGACCTGTCAGGGGAATGGTAGGCATGAGGAAGGGAAGGGGGGAGGGGTGGAGAACAAAAAATGTTTTTTCTAACAAATTCATTTAAGTAAAGAGCCCCCACACGAACCCTGCAAACAACCCCCACAAAACATACATATAACACTATAGACACAGAACATTTATTGCAGTCCAATCACTTTAAACATGACATTCATTAATAAAAATTAAATAACTTTATGATAGATTTGAACATACCACATCTGGCCGCAACCGAGCAGTGAGAGGGAAACAGTGTAGCGCAGATTTTATACTGGTAAAAACAGAGGAGATCCACGACTGTCTAACTTCACGGCTCCTTGGAATGCGATGGATGGAATACTGCAAACAATGCAAAATGAAACCAGTATAATTAATAAAATAATTAGATAGACAGAAAACTCTACTTTACTCATCTCCTGGTGAGTGGGCCATGAACCCTCCAGGCTTGCAGTGGTGAGTAATGTTAAAGACCTGGCTATTAGCATAGGATTCCATACTATTAAAGCGGTAATATAAAATACAAAAAACATTAATAAAACTATACATTTTAAATCTGTACATTTTCTGGTGAGTTTACTACCCCAGCACATGGAGTAAATCTGAATATGTCCAACCACCCTTTGTCAGGCTGGAGATTGGAGGAGGAACATAGTTTGAAGGCTAGAGGGTATCTGAATAGGTTACTTCAGCATAATTCTGGAGCATAACTTCTTCTGTCTTAAGACAGGCGGGTTGTTGACTTACTCCTACATTTTAAAACTATTAGGACACACCTACTATTAAATAAAAGAGATAAACAAATACATTAGTCAAGAGGTTTCCAGTAAGGTAAGCATATCACATCTGCCTAGAACAACTAGCGCAAATGGCCTAGCACCGTACCTTGAAAGTGTCATGAGACATTTACACCCAAACAGTAAATAACAAATGTCACCTACAACACCACAAACATGCCTCCAGAGGGGTACTTTGTAACATCTTCTTGCCCATGAACTATCAGGCAGTTGTATGGTGGTTTGAGGGTAGTTACATGGTGCTTTGAGGGTTATATATGGATAGAGTCACGTTTATGCTGTATAATAGATTGGCATACTATGGAGAAAGTATGGGGTTCTGTGTATTTATTTGGCTGGATGGGTGATAGACAGATGCTGCTTACTTGATTGGAGCTGTATGATAAATAACTGAGATGCAGAGTATTTTATTTGACTGAATACTTACAGCAATATAGGCATTAGATATATGCGGCACAATTGACTGATAATGTACAGATGATGAATGGGGCATGTTAGACCTAGATGTTGTTTAGTAGATGGGTGCTCTCTGTGTAATATATTGTTGTTATATATGTGGTTAATTGCTAATCCATAAACTAATAAAAGGGCTAAAAGTGCTGGAAAAGGAATGGGAAAAAATAGGTTGGAAAATGGAGAGAGAATGCAACAAAAATATACAGAAATGTTCCTGTTCTGGAGCTCCCAACCTCCTTAAGCAGTCACTTACCAGACAGCAGATGGTCAGTGAAAACCATTGTAGCAGGTTATGGCTCAAGTGACCTTATTGTTGTTCTACAACTCTTAGTAAGCACAAACAAATGTGTGCAATTCTGCACTTTCTATACTTGCATAGCATTGTTCAAAATAATTCCCAGCAGGACGCCCAAAACGCAGAGCCCATTTAATATTTTAGTTTGTCTCCAAAAATGGTTTTAATTCAAGAACCTAAACCATTGAAATAAGTAGCTATGTTTAACGAAAAATAACATCCCATCTTATTCATAAAGCAGGAACAAAAAAATAAATAAAAATGCATGAGCGTGCTGCTCCATCTAGTGGTAAACATTGCAATGCACAACAATAGGGTGACTAAAAAGAAAAAAAATTTTTTGGGCAGACAGGAGGCTCATATCATGCAATCGTCTTTCTTTACAACTCACAGCAGTTAAAGGGTTCAACAGTGTAGGTAGAAGAGAAAAAGCATAGGGCAACCAAACATGATCATAGGTAACATGAACACCCAATCGGCATAAAACAGGTATCCCCACACATATATATCGTTCTTTGCTGCTCGCCTTGACAGTTAAGGACTATAATTTCAATTGTCACACAGTTCTTTAGCGAGTCTCTACCCATACAGTACTTACTGGTGTTTGCTTCCCACTCTAGACATGGCAAACAAAGAACAGTCTGAGGCAGCAGGTCTAATGGAATTCCTCAGTGAAGTAATTTCCAGACTTTTCTGGATGAGTTTGTTAATAAAAGGTCTACTACTATCATGATGGAAATGCCATCAATGCAAGATTCAGTTGCTAAGTCAATGTCTTTGGTTATTTCACAGTCCGCCCCAGAGAGGACAGACGTTCAAGGCCCTTCTGACCTGTTCTGGGCAGCAGAGTATTCTAAATGGGCTCGGAAGGCCACTCAGAGTCAAACCAGACTCATAAAAACATCCTCAAGCAAAATCTCTTCCTCTTCTGAATCGCAGTCCTCAGATAAGGATGTGGAATCTTTTCATTGTAATTTTTTTCTCAGACCCAAAAGAAATTTTACAATCGGAGAAATCTAATATCTTTTCAGATGGCAGTGTAAACCCCTTTTTGATCCAGGTCATATAAAGCACCCTAGATCTGCTGAGGGTACCTGCTACACATGCATCAAAATATTTACAAATGTGGCTGAGATAAACTACAAAAACCAATGATTACTCTTCCAAAGAGCAGAGAGGCACGACTGAATCTCTCTAGACGACATTTTAAGTAATGTCCCAAGAATTACAAACCCAAATGGATTGGACATTATCCTTGCTAATCAGACTAGAAATCCTTGTGCATAACAAAAAAAATTTTTTTAGGCAGCCATGACCCAGGATCGATCTGTAACAGCCATCTGAGGAGTGGCCAGTGAAGTTATCACTAGGCTGTAATGTAAACACTGCATTTTCTCTGAAAAGACAGTGTTTACAGCAAAAAGTCTCAAGGTAATGATTCTACTCACCAGAACAAATTCAATAAGCTGTAGTTGTTCTGGTGACTATTGTGTCCCTTTAAAGGAAAACTTTGTTATAAAACAATACATTCATCAATAATGTTAGTGTACCTGTTCATGTTTAGATTGAGTCCAGTGATGTCCTGGTATTTGCATTGCAACTGCTATGTCAGCCGTGAGATCATCCTGAACATTGGTCTTGGGTCACATTACTGTTACTCATAGAGAACCATTGGGGCCCTACAAAACATGCACTGTAATAGTTCGCATTCTGCTAACAAGATACTTCTCATAGAGAAGATCTGAATGCAATGCTTCTTCATGAGAGGGATTAACAATGTTCGGCGATGACAAATATGAAGAGTTTCAATAGCTGAAAGTTTCAGTGAGGAAGTGCCTCTAGTGGCTGTCATATTAAAGGCCACAAGAGGCATTCTTAGTGACAAATGTAAACATTATCTTTTCTCACAAAAGGCAATTCATTGAAGCATTTATTTGGGCAAATAATGCAGTTACAATAATAAAAAAAATAAATAAATAAAATGTTTCAAAGAAAGAAACTTTGCTGCCCCACGATGCCTCAGGCACACTGACACCTACACAAAAATGTTGGAAAAGCCTATGAACCTTTCTCAGTATTCACTTGCACCCTGTTTTGTGCTCTTCCTAATTACTTAATACTAGTCACATTTTTTAAACAGATACAATGAATGTTGGATCAATGTGTTCAATAAAGACACGTAAAAAACATTTTTGTGAAGTAATTTTTAGGCTCTGGGAATAAAAAAAACAAACAAAACAAAACACTTACATACATGTAATTTTTCATAATGCATGCACCGAGCAAATAGCTGCAGACAAATAATCAAAATTTATTAAAGGGGAAAGGTCACGTGAAGCGGCACTGTCACGCCGAACTTACCTTTCTTTAATCAATTCCTCTTCTCTCCCTCTGTCAGGATCTGTTCTTCATTTCTTCCTGTCTGCTTTAGATTTAGGTAGGGACTACTTTGTCTTATGGAGGTTTCCTACGCTTGACCAGCTTTGACCAGCGGAGGAGAAAAGTGTGCTTCGTTTTTGGTGATCAAAGCAATTTTCCCATAATTCTCACCTTTGATCCGTGATCTCGCGATGCTTCCTGTCAGTATTCCCCAAACGTACTGTTACTTAAACAGAACGCTAAGGAAACTACCGAATTTCGTCCTAACAGAATGAGAACAGTTTCTCCTTTCGTGTTAGGACGCAATTCGGGACTTTGTTCGGATCTGAATTGTATTCTAATGAATGAGACTCCGATCCTATTCGTGCCGCGGCTGCATCTTGCAGCCGCTTAGTGGATAACTCCCTAATACCCACAGTATTAGGGAGCTATCTACCAAAAGGCTGAAAGACCTAAATTGGTCTTCAAGCCAAATTTACTAATACTTGCTATACTGCAAGTAGGGGCATGTTTAGTAAATAGTGAGCAGCCAGCGGCTGCTCCCTATTTAAAAAAAACAAAAAAAAACTAGTGTCCTCCCTTCCCGAACGGGGGCTATTAAACTGAACAGGGGACTTATCGTCCCCCCCCCCCCAACCCCCCACCCATGAGCAGGAGGTGGGGGCCCTAAATGAAAATGGGGGGGGGGGACCTATTGTCCTTGCCCACAGCCCACACCCCTCAGCAGTGGGTGCGAGCCCTAAATTATAATAAGGGGACGACGACCTGAGTGGCGGTTGGGGCCCTAAATGAAAATGTAGGGGGGGGGGGACCTATTGTCCTCCCTCTGGCCCCCACCAATGAGCGGTGGGTGGGAGCCCTAAATAACAATAAGGAGGGGGGGAAAACAAACAATCAGATTGGTAACCAGAGAGTTAGGAGTCAAATTAGGGATTATTCTAGCTTTTAGTGAACGAATAATCTGAATTTTATTAAAGACAGGAGGCGAATATTTGCTTATCTTTCTTTACTGTAACTCCCAGCAGCAAAGAAATGGTTAACAATGTTGTATGGAAAAATCAACCAATCATAACATATCTCAACTACAATATAGTGTCATCAAACTCCTCCCACTTCCTCTTTCTTGATGTTGCCAGTCAGTAGCAAAGTCAACCATGTAAACTTTAACCGGAACAGTTCCCGAAGCCGAAACTCGAGATGAAGTCAACCATGTAAACGGAAAGTTGAACGAATAAACTTGAGATCTTCACACTAAAAGAAAAGAGAGACTTCGTGAAAGTAAGGTTTCTCGGACAAGAGAAAAAATATATATATATAGTTGAATCCCCTATTTCCAATTATAGTTCATACGAATTGGCAGAATAATCAAGATTATAAAGATCTATCAGTACTCTATGAGATAGGTGTATAACCACAAGGTGAGCAAATCGTATATAGCAGGTTTGTATGTAAATAATGGTATCATACATTAATCATTGAGTATGAGACTTACCTCGAGGGTGGGTTCCGGAATGAACGAAGGGAGGGAAAATATTCGCCTCCTGTCTTTAATAAAATTCAGATTATTCGTTCACTAAAAGCTAGAATAATCCCTAATTTTATGGCAAGACAGGAGGCTTCATATTTGCTGTTTTAACGCTCTCGAATAATAGAACAAGCCGCATGTGTTTGTGTTGGTTTAAAATAAAAAGTCCGAAAGGTAGATTCCCTTGACCAATCTGCGCAGGACAAAATATCCGCTAATGAACTGCCGGCCCGAAAGGCAGAGGATGCGGCCGCTCCCCTAACGGAATGGGCCCCAAATGATCTATCGATTCCCGCTTGGATAAGTAACCATCTTATCCAGCGAGCGATAGTGGGGGAAGAGACCGGTTTGTGAGGTCTGACATAAGAGATGAAAAGAGGACCGGTAGGAGAACGTAGGGCGGCAGTTGCCTCTGTGTAACAACGAGTACACAGAGCCACACAGAGGGCTGGCCTGTCGGGAAAGTATGGGTAAAAGACAGACGAGGAATTCGTCTTAGTGCGCCTAGTAATCGTAAATCGGACCCCTTCTGGTGTGAAGGAGACAGCGTGTGAATCAAAAGCGTGAACGTCAGAAACTCTGCGGAATGACACCAGGCACAGTAGCAGGGCCAATTTTGCAGAGAGCTGTCGAAGGGATAAGGCCTCGTTAGGAGGCCAAGACTCTAACAATGCGAAGACTCGAGATATGTCCCAGAAGCCAGAGTATTTGGCAGAAGGTGGCCTCGTCAAACGAATGCCTCGTAAAAGTCTGCACACAGAAGGATGTTTCCCAACTAAGGAATTATCAATAGGGTCATGTCCCGCCGAAATGGCGGAACGAAAAATATTAATTGATCGGTATGATTTACCCTGATCGAAAAGGGATGATAGAAAATTTAGAATGGATGAGAGAGATGTTGAAACGGGATCGAAATCCCTCTCCAGACACCAGCTGACCCAAACTCGCCATGCGGCGAGATAGGTGCGCCTGGTTCCTGGTGCCCATGAATCCCATAGGAGTGTTTGAGCAGTGCTTGAAAGTCCTGCGACATGCCAAGCACCCCTGAAACTGTCCAGGCCACTAACTGAAGGTGGCCCTGTAGAGCTAGTGGATGGTAGTCGCCCGTTGAGTTCTTGAGAACCCGATGTGAGCGAGGTAGAATGATGGGGTAGTCTGTGGAAAGCTCCAGAAGAGTGGGGAACCACGTCTGGGCCCGCCATAGAGGGGTAACTATCACAATCTTGACCCTCTGTGATTTGACCTGGTGGAGAGTACGTTGAATCATGGAGAAGGGAGGGAAGGCATAGGCTCCGTCCCGTGGCCAATGTTGGAGAAAAGCGTCGACAGCTAGGGATAGAGGGTCTGGTAACCAGCTGAAATAATCGTCTGTTTGACGATTCAGCCGAGATGCGAAGAGGTCGAGAGTGATCGGTCCCCGCAATAGGTGAATGTGGTGAAATAGAAGAGGATCTAATTGCCAATCGCTGGCATCCCTCCAGTGACGTGAGAACCAGTCCGCGACTAAATTGTCGGGTCCTGGGAGATACTCGGCCCGAATAGACAGATTCCTGTCTAAGCAAAACTGATACAGATCCTTGGTGAGGTCTGACAGTAGTTTCGATTTGGACCCTCCGAGACGGTTTACATATCGTACTGCGGAGATGTTGTCCATCCGAAGTACCAGAGAGCAGTTGGAGGCTTCTTTGGCAAAGCTGCGGATCGCGAAGGATCCGGCAATGAGCTCGAGACAATTTATGTGAAGTGCTCGTTCCGACGGGGACCAGAGACCTCCTGTGTATGATTGGGCGCACGTAGCGCCCCAACCGAGTAGGCTGGCATCGGATTCCAGAATAAAATCTGGTTGAGATCCGAAAATCGCTTTCCCATTCCAGGCTTCCATATTGCGAAGCCACCAGTGAAGTTCGATAAGAACTTCGTCCGTTAGGGAAATGAATTGGTCGTAGGAGGTCGAGCGATGTAAATAGGAGGTTTTCAGCCGTTGCATTGCTCTGTAATGCAAGGGCCCTGGAAAAATAGCCTGAATTGATGCAGACAGAAGACCCAGCACGTGTGCTAGGTCGCGGAGTCGAGGTCGTTGTGACTTGAGTAATTTTTGAATCTCTCGTTTTATGTTTTTGATTTTGGAGTAGGGTAATTGTAGAGTTGCTTGAACTGAATCTATCTGAAAACCCAAAAATTGGACTATTTGAGAAGGTACCAGGTCTGATTTCTGGTAATTTATGACAAAACCTAGGTTTTGAAGGAGGGCAGAGGTCATGTGTGTGTGTTTGCGAAGTAATTGCTGATCTTGTGCCATGATCAGGATATCGTCCAAATATATAATTGAACGTATGCCCTGAGAACGAAGGAGCGCCATGACTGGTTTCATCAACTTGGTGAAACACCATGGAGCAGAACAAAGTCCAAAAGGGAGGCAGGTGAACTGCCAAATGTCGCCCTGCCAACGGAATTGGAGGAAGGCACGGTGACTTGGTGCTACAGGGACCGTCAGATAAGCATCTTTGAGGTCGAATCTGGAGAACCAGTCTCCCATGCAGAGCAAGTCCCTGAGAAGATGGATACCTTCCATCTTGAAATGACGGTATGTGATAAAGCGATTCAACGCCTTGAGGTTGATAATGGGATGATGGTCCCCCGTTTTCTTCCGAACCAGAAATATATTGCTGAGGAAGGTGCAAGGGAAAGGCGAAGGTTTGATCGCCCCTTTGTGTAACAATTTTGTCAGTTCTGTGTTCAAGGTTAGAGTATCTGCTTTTGACATCCCTAAGGGTGTCGGGTGAGAATATTGAACTGGATGTGTGATAAAATCTATTTTGAAACCTGTGACTGTATGAAGGATCCAAAGATCTTGAGAAAGAAGTTTCCACTGTGGGAAAAAGAATGTTAATCGACCTGCGATTGATACAGTTTTTAAATAAGCAAGGTCCATTACCTGAAGCAGTGCGTCCGCGCAGGGATGCAGAGCCACGTCCTCGAATTGAGCCTCTGGTGTTGAACAGCTGCCTGTGGTAGGGTCCCGTGGACCAATACTCTGTGGGTCGGGGCCTGTAGCCTGAAAAGGCTGCTCTACTGGTAGCTCGGCCCCTTGAGCGACCAGCTCTCCCAGAAAAACGATTTTGAAAAGTGGGACGGAACACCCTACGTAGGGAGGACTGGGCTTTATTGAGTGTGGTAAAAACTGAGACATGCTTGGAGAGGTCTCGCATGAAACTGTTACCAAATAAAAGACCATCGGCCTCTGGGCCTAGTTCTTTAGTGCTCAAATCCACTAGTTTGGCATCGATTTTGTACAGTGCCGCTTTGCGTCTCTCAATTGAAATAGCCGTATTGGCGTTGCCCAGAAGGCAAAGGGCTCTCTGCGCCCATTCTCTTATAATATGCGGGTCTAATTCACCGCTGGTGAGTGCCTCATCTGCGAGTATAAATATTTGTATGATAGGACCTGAAATGTCCAATAATTTGTCTTGGGTTGCTTTCAAACCCTGTTCAATACCCTTCCGAGGGTCTTTACCAGATTTTGTTAAATAGGTGACCAACATGGGGTCAAATTCAGGGGTAGAGGCAACTTTGCCTGGGATAGTAGGTCTCGGGCATTCAGCCCTTAGTTTGTTTCTGATTTCTTTTTCGAGGGGCTTGCGAAGCCACAGTTTACAGAAATTAGCAATATGATCTGGGGGAGCCCATTCTGCTGAGCGTGGGTGGCGTATCACCCTTGGGTCAAAAAGTGGAAGGCCTGAAGCATCCAGGAGGGTGTCTGAGTCAGGTACCTTACTCTTGTGATCTTGATTTAGGAAAGTTTCTTTCACGAACTCCGATGTTGAGGAATCCTGGGGCACATTCACCATGGGATCCTCATCAGAGTAATTGGGGTCATAGTCACTTAGAATATGGCCAGATAAACGTGAAGTAGAACCCTCTAGAGGGTCTGTAACATCCTGTGAAACATAGGGCTTAGCATGTTTAACGACCTTAGCAGGAGCTTTGCCCTTGCCCGCAGTAGCGCTATTCCCTTTCCAGGGTCTTTTGCGCGGGGCGCTATCTTGGTCGGAGATATGGGAGTCCTCAGAGTCAGAGGGCTGTTGTGTAGAGGGGTGTACCTCTGGATTACGTTCATGGTAGGCTGCCAGAGCCTTAGGAATGGACTCTGCGATAGTTGAGAAAAGCCATTCCTTAAGTTCAGCAGAGATCGCAGGGTCTTGGCGATCTGACATAATGACAATTTAAAGATAAATGTGAACCCTAATAACAACTATCTCTATATATATATATAGATTAAAGAGTATCAATTAAGGATGAGGCAACTCAATTAGAAAAATATGAGGTGGGGGTCACCCACGAGACGTCAAACAATGGGGGTCACCCACAAATGCTTGGCACAATAAAATAGTAAAGGATAATTAATGGGGGTCACCCAATAATACAGATTGTGAACAATAGGAAATATTGTACAGATACTGAGGTGGGGTCACCACTATAAAATTACACCAATAATATATATAATGTGTATATATAATGTACTGTAAGTAATGGGGGTCACCCACAAAATAAAGTAAAGTGGTGTTAGCCACATAAATATGCACACAGCAGTGTATTCAGTAGGTGGTGTCAGCCACACAACTATTGTACATAATATGTACTTTAAATAAGTAAGTGGGGTTCACCCACAGGAGGAAAATAAAAATGGTCAGTCAGACAAATTTGGTAAAAAACAAACCACACTGTAATTATACCACTTAAGGAAAGGGGTTCACCCAGAGTTGTAATAAAATGGTCCTGTGTGGCAAAGCCTGTGGAAAAAACAGATAGGAGATAGATCAGTAAGTGATCGTTTTTAATGAGTTTAATGAAAAAATAGGTGGATATAAGGTGGCAGCAACCTACCTTCCACAACTAGTTAATAAAGTTCTGTACCCACAGGATGATCGTTTGAAAAACTAGCGCCGCAGTGGAGGAGCCGTTGGCAGTTACACTGCAGTTTAAAATGGCCGCCGCGAGATCGCCGCCGTTGAAAGGGCGGGAAAGGTCCGCGTCATAGGAAGACGCTTGGTAGGCGGGAGGAAGGTAATGGCGGGAAAAAATCAGCCGCGGCTCTGGGAGATGGAGTCCGCGGCTGAAGAGAGGCAGAGAATAGGGCCGCGGCTCTTCCTGAGAGAATAGAGCCGCGGCCAGCTGTGTGAAAAACGGCAGGGTTCGAAAAACCCTCCGTGCACTGAAAACCGGTTAGGACGCCAAATTTAAAGGGGAACAAACAATCCAATACAGGGAAATAAGAAAAAATAATATATGTGTGAGAAAAAGAGGAAATATTTAAAGGAAATATTTAAAGGAAAAGGTGATTGAATCAAAATAAATTTTTTAAGATGAATTCTATGTATGCAGTAACAAGGTTTAAATAAACAAATATTGAATTAACTAAAACCAGTAAGGCAATGTAATTGGAGCAGACTCACCTGGGAGGCAAGCAGCAAAGAAAGAGGAAGTGGGAGGAGTTTGATGACACTATATTGTAGTTGAGATATGTTATGATTGGTTGATTTTTCCATACAACATTGTTAACCATTTCTTTGCTGCTGGGAGTTACAGTAAAGAAAGATAAGCAAATATGAAGCCTCCTGTCTTGCCATAAAATTACACAGCATTCCAAAGAACTTTCCCACGCTGTGTAAAATGGCACAGAGCACTCAAGCCAACCAATTTCAAGCCAACCAATCAGAGTGCTCTGAGCCTAATTGCAGGGCGTGGGAAGCCTTTATAAGCCTTTCCCCGCCCTGCGGAGCTCATTCTGTGCCGTCACCTCCATGGGTGAAGATGGATTCATTTTTAGAGTCTTTTTTTTTTTTATATTTTGGTTCAGGTTTTTTATTTTATTTTCAAAGTGCGACGGGTATTATGGACTTTTATTTGTCAGGATCTGTTCTGTAGTTTCGCCGGCGTTCTGTCTAAGTCACAGGACGTTCGGGAATACTGACAGGAAGCATCGCAAGATCACGGATCAAAGGTGAGAATTGTGGGAAAATTGCTTTGATCACCAGAAACAAAGCACACTTTGCTCCTCCGCTGGTGAAAGCTGGTCACGCGTAGGAAACCTCCATAAAACAAAGTAGGCCCTACTTTTTCTTATGTTTTAAAGAAAACTAGAGCAGACAGGAAGAAATGAAGAACAGATCCACAGGCGTGTGCAGCCTATTGCACACACACACGCCGCATGTATGTATGTATGTATGTGTGTATATATGTATATATATATATATATACACACACATATATATATATATATATATATATATATATATATATATATATATATACTGCTGTGTGTGTGTGTAGGTGCTGTGTGTGAAGGCGCTGTGTGTGTGTGTGTGTGTGTGTGTAAGGGTGCTGTGGGCTAGAGTTCACTCTTGCAAGATCTGAGCGTTGCCGCGGTAACCGCGGCAACGCTCCGACCTCGCGAGAGGAACCCGGCGGAGCTGCTGGCAAGAGCTCCCCGGGTCCTCTCCTGCTTCCCTCCATGCCTGTGGGTCGTGAAGGAGATCTTTGAGGGAGGCACATAGCGTGTGCCGCAGGGATTAGGGTGTGCCCAGGCAAACCCTGTGCACATGCCCTAGAACAGATCCCGACAGAGAGAGAGAAGAGGAATGTGTATCATTGTGTTAGTGTGTGTATCTTTGTATCTGCATACGTGTCTGTGCTTGCATCTGTGTGTATGTATCTGAATGTGTGGCAGTGTTTGTTTCTGTGATTTCTGTACATTTGTATTTGTCATTTGTGTGTATCTGTATGTCTGGATCTCTATATCAGTGTTTTATACTCATACACATGCAGATGCGCGCACACAGTTTCACAGACTGATGCACATGCAGTGCAGACAGACACACAGATACAAACATTGCTAAACATGCAGATATACAAACACACAGATACAGACATACACTGACACACATACAGATGTACAGGCACATAGATACAAACACTGACACTCATTTACATACACACACGTACGGGCATAGTTACAAACATTGCCACATATGCACATACACAGACACCCAAGTATAAACACTGCCACACATAAAGATACAGATTGACACATACAGATACAAACACTACCACACACGCAGATAAAGACACACAGATAAAACATTGCCACATGTGCAGATACACAGACATACAGACACACATGCTGATACAAATGCTGCCACACATGCAGATACACAAACACACAGATACAGACATACACTGACACACATGCAGAAGTAAGAAACTGATATGCAAAACTGCACTAATTGTATATAACTTTCTGTGTATGTGACTAGTTTCACAACTTGGGGGCATCTACTTGATAACAGTGTGATAATGATGAAAGCTTTCAGTTTCATTTTACAGCACCCAGCTAAAACAAAAGCTTACATCCCTCCAGCAGTTCTCTTGCCAACCAGTTTTTCATACATGTTATCAGGAGATCAGAGATCAGGAGACCTGGAGTAATTAACATCTAAGTACAGCCATGGAAGTATGTGTTTTCCCAAGCCACCCTGTCTCTAAAAGAAGTCCAGGCCTGCTCACAACATACCCAAAAACCAACCCTGACTGGCCACTTCTTACACAACGTTATAGGGTTATAGTATAGCTGGGGGGGGGAGAGATCAAACAAAAGGACTTGTGTAAAGATGGAACTCTCTGGGAAAAGAGGGCAGGATAAACCACTTTTGGGAGGGAAAATGGATTCTGGGACATGTAGTTAAGGGCTGCAAGAATCAGTCTTTAAAAGAACAGCCGCCAAGGAGGTTGGGCTCCTTTCTTTCTCTTTTGGGGAGGACAGCGCAGCAAGCAGTGGTGCAATGGTGAACTGGGGGAGACTGTCCCAGACTACCAAAGATGAAGGTGCAAAGGGAAGATCTTCATTTAAATGTTTAAGTATTGCCCTTTTACTATGTATCTTTTGGTTTTGGACTGGATGTTGTTATAATGTGTATATCCTTCTAAAATCTGTAACAGTATCCTAAATCAATATTAACAATACATTTTATTATACACTTGAGTTTGTGTCTTATTTGTCACACGTTCCCTAAAAGAATATGCTTGTAAGAGGGTCCTAATTTCTTACACAGATACAAATACAGATACAAACACTGCCACATATGCAGACACAAACACAAACATTGCCAAACATGCAGATACACAGGAACACAAATACCAACATTGTCACACATACAGATACACACACACAATGTCACACATGCAGATACATAGACACACAGATACACACATGCAGATACAAAGACTGCCACACATGCAGAAAGAGACACATAGATACAGACACTGCCACACATGCAGAAAGACAGACACAGATACAGACACCCAAAACACACACATACAGTTAACATTTTTAGTTACCCTCCAGTGTCCCACCCTTGCTGGCTGCGGCTGGTGGGAGTTAGGGGCTTGCTCTCTCGGTTCGGCACCCCCTCTCAGCTCACTGTCCTCCCCTCCGGTGCAGGTGGCTGAGTGAGCATCTGAGTGAGCTGGGAGGAAGTGACTGTTTTCCTCCCAGCTCTCCCATTGGATAAAAGGGGCCTGGTTGTGCTGTTAAAGCACGCTGTGCACGACCGAGCCCCTTATGGCAGATGTTCAGGGACTCAGGGCCCCTTATGGCAGATGTTCAGGAACTCAGGGCCACCCGATGGACCCGCAGTTCGAAGCATGTGCGGCTGAATTGGCGTCAGAACCACCATTATTGCTTTTCGCATACACCCAGAGGCACTAGAATGTACCAATAGAGGTACACGTACCACAGGATGGTAACCCCTGGTCTATGAGACGCAGAAACATTGTTTCTAGTTTTCAGATCTCACAAACATATTTGTCAATAATAAGGCTTGGATGAATATAATATTAAAAACCCTAAAAAAGTGATATTCCCCATTACACTTTGTGACAATTCAGGATATTTTTCCTGTATTAATTCATTTTGTGATGATGGAAATCAGTTTTGTGTAACACAGTATTTAAAAACCCGCAATCCTTCTACTCGAGCATAATTCTTACCAAAGGCGGTCTGCTTTCATTGTTCCTAGTGCTTTCAAATGAACGTATTCTTTCTTCACTCATGGTGTCCGTTTCTGCAAGAACATAATATCTTGGGGAATATGCTGTAGATAGATTGCCCAGCAATCTTAACATTTCTGTTGTATGCCCTCCTATAAAGTAAAAACACAAGGCATTACAAATCAGTGATGTCAAACATATTATTAACAGGTTAGAAAAATGGAGATTTAATATTTACTGCATTACTGAATTTTACATATAAATGGTAGATAATTTATGAACCCACTAACCCTTGTTATGTTCAAAACTTTGCTAATAACTTATAGAGAATTTATTTTTGACCTGACTTTAATGGGAATCCATTAAAGGGCAAGATATTGGAGTTATTTTTATTTCTTGTAATCTGTCTGTTTTTGCTTATTTGAAAATGCCAAAGGTCTCCCCATGATAAAAGTTTAATCTGGACATTGACTCCTTGTACTTAGAGGGTGTTTGTCATCAACACCTCACTAATGAGGTCCAACAAAGGTCAAAACGATCACCCGAGGTTGCTTTATCTTTTGTACTGAGGGAACCTTCCTGCATTTAAGATCTAGACTGCCTTTAATGTGGGAACAATCTGCTAGGCAAATGGTACAGGTTCTCTCGGTAATGAAATAAAGTGAGCTAAAACTAGGATTAGAACTGTGCAGGGAACTACTAAGGGACAAGCTATTTGAATTGTCCGTTTTCAGTGTTCCATGTTTTGGCTTTGAAAGTGTGTTAATGTTTGAAGTTTACCATCAGCAGTGGTGAAATCAATTTTTTTCCTACACAAGAAACCACTGTACAAAGCCAGCCTTGTATTTGAAGGCATTATTCAACATAGAATTACTACTTCTCCCGAAATCAGAAGTAGCAGCATGTGCATTTTTTTTTTCTTCTTTTCATATTTTCTAGAAGTCATAGCTCAAATACAGCAAGCAAAAACAAAACGAAAAAAAATGAATAAACCTTTTTGTACTTTCTGGTGTAGACAATCAGCAGTCAAAGTAATGCCACTCAATCACCCAACTTGAAAATATGACATAGATGCACTAACACATCACATTTAACTATTATTTTGCTGTACACAAACTGCTTACAAATGCTAGCCAGATTGTTCAAAAATTCTGCTAATTTGTACCTCAACATTTTAACTTCCACCTATATGCAGTCAGTATAGTGTAAAAAACTACATGTATGAGGGGGTATAAGTGGTACACTGGATCTGCATGCTTCCAAAATATCCAGCACCTCTGTGTTTAAGGACAGGGGTGCCTAAAATATAGATCCCCAGATGCCTTTAAACTACAGCTTCCATTATCCTTTGTCATTTTAATGCATTTTAAAGGCACCACAAAACACCTTGGAAGTTGTGGTTCTACAACATCAGGGGATCTACCTTTTGGACTTTAGGCATTGAGTCAGCACATGAAAAAGGCCAGCAGCAGACCGTAGAGCCCCAGATACAATTTTTAAATACAATTAGTAATATAACCAACATATTCTGCAGCGCTTTACAACGGGAATGGTGATTATAATGCATGCACAGTAGCCTATTCTTCCAAACATAAACATGTGTGGTAAACCAGTATCCATCACACTGATAGCAGAAGGACTTCTGTCTTGTACACTACCCTGTCATTAGCAGGAAACATGATAGCAAGAACTTGCTTTTTACAATATTCTTGGTTATTTATAACAAGTATATGGCTTAAATGGCATTTTGCATTTCACTCACTAAAACAAAACCTTCAGATTGGCCACGTTTACTTTACTCCCACTTAGCACAAGGTTACCGATCTGTCCTATAACAATAGCAGCACTACTATACAGTCGACTGGAAAAATACTAAATTGAAAGATGTCCATGACATCTGAGATTAAATCCAATTGAGAAAAGTTCTGACTGGGAGCCAAAACATTGCATCTGTTCCTATTGAGTCTACTATAAGATCTAACCTTAAAGTCGCCCAGACATCTTTCAATTTTGTATACTAATTGTACGGGATATATAGACCCCAGGGTCTGTGAGGCATCATTGGATTATCCCTTTGCTTCAGTGTGTGCAGCACCATTTGTTGGAGACTGGAAAAATACTAGTGACCTATTTAATAAATCTATTCACATTATTTGTGGAGCAAGTCCTGACATTTTTTCAGCTCTGCACTTGGTTTTTGTGTATCTTTTTTTTTTTTGTTTTAATGCGAACAAACATTTGTGTGAAACCAAAACATCTAAGTGTATCCAGGTAGCACATACACTTTCCAGGTGTGTCGTATTCACTGCTATGTCCAGGCATTACAGCAGGGGGTCCTCAAACTCCGCCACCCCCAACCCCCCAGATGTTGCTGAATTACATCCCCCCTCCCCCCAGATGTTGCTGAACTACAACTCCCATGATTCTTTGAATTACATAGATAGGCAGAGAATCATAGGAGTTGTAGTTCAGCAACATCTCGGGGGTTGGAGTTTGAGGACCCCTTCATTACAGGGTAAGGTGCCAGATTGGCATGGCCTAACCAGTACCCCTTATGGTGCTTTAAACTGATGAATACTAAACTTTGTAACATGAGCATTTCATCATGATACCGTTGTATATGTTTTATAGTTAGATAATATAAGTCTGATATGGCAGTTTATGGAGGTAATTTTTTTTTGTAACTGTTCTTGCACAGGAATAACAGAGTGTAGGTTTATGTTAGGGCAGGGAACACACTTCCTGGGAGGAGAGGGATGGCCAAAGGTAGAACTCCAACTATTGTACAACTACACCTCCCATAATGCTTTGCAGGTCATAAAGCAGACAGAGACTGTCCCTGTACAGCAGCCTGGGAGCTACCATTGGCCACCCCAGCAGGCAGCCAGCTAGCCACTCACCAGAGCCCGCTACTGCCAGCAGGCTAACCGCCTCCTTCTTCCTGGACCGAGGGGTGCCGTGACCCCGCAGCACACACCAGGCTCTGACTCCCAGCAGCAAGGCGGCCGCCAGGAAGCCGACAAGCAGGGTCGTCATGGCAACCTGCCACACACCGACCGACTGACTGGCACCTGTCTTACAGTCCGAGGCGGCTCAGAGCTTCCGGGTTCGGTGACGTCACACAAATAGCGTCTCGCCATGGAGATGACCCGCCGCCTCCCCATTGGGTTTGCGGCCGCAGCGAGCTCTGGCGTCATTAGCCCCGCCCCTCAGCGCAAGGCGCGCGCGTTCAACAAACCTGCAGCTTTATTGAAAGTTGTTGTTGAGCACAGCAGACATGGTTCACCAAATTTTTAATAGTGAGAAATCAGACACACACACATACACCTGTAGGAGGGTTGGAAGGGGAGTTGGAGAACACCCACACACCCTAAAAATAATTCTATCATTCCCTGACCCGGGCTGCTGTTACTGGGGTGACTAGTGGGAGAGAGGGAAGCACTGTGTTTGGGGTTGTCATCAGTCAAAGGCCTGAACATGGGTGATGTAGTAGCCCATGTCCAATATATATATATATATATATAGTGTAGATTGGATTAGCCGTGTTAGTCCAGCAGACAAGATACCAGAGTATGGCAGTATGCAATGATACCTTTTTATTGGACTAACATAATATTCCAAAGACACTTTCGAGAGTTTTCCTACTGCCTCCGTCCCTTTCTCTAACATCAGTTGTTTTAAGTGTTAAACTCTATCAGATTAATCAGTATTGCTTCAGATCTCAAGAAGAGAGGAAAACTCTCGAAAGCTTGTCTTGGAAATATTATAAAAGTTCAGAAAAAAAGGTGTCGTCGCATACTGCAATACTCTGGTATTTTGACATTATATATATATATATATATATATATATATTTCTTAATTGAAGTGGTCTGGGTGCAGTGCCCTTGTCCATGTAATTCTGCAATGTTAATTGAAAGTGCAATAATTATATTGCAGAGTTAACGCCTCCCAGCCACTAGAGGCACTTCATGGGGTTTTACATGAGGATGCCCAGTGTCTTAAAAAAGACCATAGGAAATCATTGAACGTTTTCCTATGGGTAAGTCTTAATGTATGTCGGCACGTAGCGCACGTTTACGAATCGCTCTGACATGGGAGCAGAAGCTCAATCTAATGCAGAGGGATATCGGCGCTGGAATCAGGTAAGTTAAATATGTGCTATTAACAATATATTTGCTGCCAAGGGACTTCACTTTTTTCTACAGGCTCAATCGCATGTAGGTTCCAGCTAACCATAACTGACTTTCCTCATAGCTAGATATGTCGTACTCTGCTATTGTCCCCGACCACAAATATAACATACAAGATCCAACACACTCCCTCATTCACTAAACTGCAATTTCACAGATCACAGAATGTGATAGTTTTTTTTTGTTTTTTAAGCACCTCACCTATTCAAAAAACAATGGGGGTTTAGTTACAGTTTATGATCTTACATTGCATATGTCTGCTACAATGCTAACATACCCCATTTTGGCAGATCCTACTCTAGAAACCTAATGCCTGCTCATATGAGATTAACCTTCTTACTTAGGAAATGCTTCCTCTTGGGACTCTGCAGTGCAAGGTTAAATGAGTTACCTGTGACAAGGAGTGATGCAAATATAATGAAAATATATATATATATATATATATATATATATATATATATATGTATCAAAATATTTTAAGATTTATTAAAATAATTTTTAAACACTTATTCTAAAACTATTAAGTTATTTGAAAAGCTTATCAAAAAGATACTAAATCAAAGCCATACGAAGGTAATATTTCCAAGCATGCCCACTGCTCGGAGCCTTTCTTAGTCTAAGTTTAGTCTGTATTTCTAAGACAATGTAATAGAGAACACCTACTACATATTGAGTAAGCAGATCCCACGCCCAGTGATAGCCTGTACAGTTTTAGTAAACACAAATATTTAAGCAAATCTTCTGATCGGTGGTGGTCCTTTATTTGCATGCCACAACAAGCTGGTCACATTTTGATCTTGTTTCTTCAAATAACTTTTCATTTCACATGAACAGCAGGTGTGTGGTAGTGTGCTGTGTTGCACATCGACTGAAGATAACCTATACACAGGAATATTTGTGCTATTCTGGGTGCAAAGTTCTAAGTGCTGAGGGACATTCTATAATTTAACACTTTGCCCCAGAGTAGCACCTGTTTTTACCGTGCTAAATCTCTCTCACAGAGCTTAACCCCTTAAGGACACATGACATGTCATGATTCCCTTTTATTCCAGAAGTTTGGTGCTTAAGGCGTTAAAGGGACACTCCAGGCACCCAGACCACTTCTGCCCATTGGAGTGGTCTTGGTGCCAACTCCCATCACCCTTAACCCTGCAAGTGTAATTATTGCAGTTTTTATAAACTGCAATAATTACATTGCAGGATTAAGGCCTCCTCTAGTGCCACTAGAGGAACTTCCGGGTTCTTAAAACACAAAAAGTGTTTTAAACGACACTGGACGTTCTCACGCTATGCATGAGGACCTGCATCCCCAAAGGAAAGCATTGAATAATGCTTTCCTATGGGGAGGTCTAATGCGCACATGTGGCCATTGCCGCGCATGCGCATTAGGTCTCCACTGACGTCAGGGGAGGAGCCTGAACCAGCGCCGAGGGACATCGGTTCTGGATTCAGGTAAGTCATTGAATGGGGTTTTAACCCATTGGGTGGGAGGGAGAAGGGCACTGCAGGATTCTGCAGTTTTCCTGGCACTGGAGAGTCCCTTTAAATAAAGTAAGTCACACAAGCATTTTTTTTGTGCATGAATTTGATGACTTACAATTCCTTCACGTAAGTTAGATTGTTGATGGAAAATTTTGGGATATTTACTAAAGTGAACTTCACATTTAAGGCCAGAGTAGCAAGACTGAATGCATAGTTTTTTTTTTTAGTTTGCCTTTTTTTTGTTGACCTTTTGTTTGAAATTTAACAAAAAAATTATAAATTCACTTCAAATTCTCATTTTACTGAATGACCCTGTTGGAAAATAGTTTACATGGAAGTGTATGTTACGGAGATCTGGATCAGAGTTTGGTCTCTCTATCACTTCCTTCAGTTCTTATTCCTCGACATCAGCATAGCAGTCATAGCCAGTTGCAGAACTAATGTAGAGCGGACCCTCCTCAAGCGTAAGGGTGGCCAAAAGGTTAATTCCCATCTGTTGTACAACTCCCACGTTGCTTTGCTGGCTGGGGATCTACCTTTTGCCAATCCTTGCAGAGTTGTATTTGTGAGCAGTGTTTGAATGCAAGCATGTTTTTGTATGTAGTATGTGTGTGTTAATGTATGGGTGTATTTGTATGTACTGTTGTCATTGTAATGCAGCGGTGTACTTCTATGCAATGTTATAAAAGAGTTAATCAGGCCAGTTCAGAGTTAATGACATCCACCCCTCTGCTGTTTCCTATCCAGGCAGGGTGCCAGGGAAACTGATCTCCAAATCTCCTTTCACATCCTATACAACCCTGGGTAGTTTGCCCACTCAGCTATCCACTGTTCAAAGAGCGTCCAGATAGGAGATACCCAGCACAAGCAACAGCAAATCAAACGTTCCCCTGGTCACAGCCATCCTCTGATCTGGCACAGCGTTACGGGCTGTTTTCTGGATGCTGTTGATCAGGACTTGAGGCGTTCAAGCATTCCCAGGAAGTTAGTGCTTCCAACTCCAGGTTATTACCATATGCCTTCTCACCTCACTGGCAGACTCCCTGAAGAGCAGTTTGACTGGTACCCGGGGGACCTAGCGACACCCTCTCAAAGATTCACCAGGTCACAGAACAGTGCCACAGTGCCTCAGGGTATCTCCCAGGTCAGGCGTTCTTCGTGCAAATAGGTCTTAGAGAACCAGTTCCATCTGGGGGGTAGAATAAGCACTCAGGGCCCACTTATACCCCCTCTGGTCACTCATCTCCTATTTGACGTTAATTGTAAATGTTGAACAATAACATTGAAATATCTTCGGAAGTATTAAATGTGTATGGTCTTGTGAAATACGCTACCACGTTCATATACACTGTCATATTGCTGAAATAACTGCGTCACATTAAAACACACAAATGCTGAGCAAATACCCCCTGACTTTAACATACTGCTATCCCGAGGGGCACGGATCGTCGCTAGTGGTTCTGTGAAATGCTTCTGCAGAGCATGGGAAAGCCAGAAGCTACACCCATCACCATTCATTGGCTGAGAGTGTCAGCTTAATGCTGTTAGTCAATGGCTGACAGTTCAGGAACTCTAGTTCTCTGGCTGGCTAATGACCCTGCTGTTGGTGGAGTTACATCCCCAGCAGCAAAGGGGTTAAACTCAGTATGTGCATTGTTTCAAAGTGAAACACTGCACATACAGACTTTGGGCACTGTGCCCACTTCAAATCACCAAGGATGCTTGGAGTACTGTATATTCTCGTCTATAAGTCGGTCTTGTGTATAAGTCGAGTGCAGTATTTTGACCAACAATTGTGAAATATGTTATGACTCGTGGATAAATCGAGGGTACGACTTTCGAATGGAATTATTCCCCTTCTGTTTGGTTACTGAACAGACTCATAATCACAGATGACCCCTGGCTATTAACTGCACGTAGGCATTCACTTGGGTAGCCACAATTCGTATATACGAACGCATGTGTTCATCTCCTGAACGCAAGCAGCGGTACATGATTGTCAAGGGCATGGATCTCTGAGTCGGCTCTGCAAGCCCTTGAACCCCGCTGAAATTTGTACCCCTGCCTGTAGACTTCCCGACTAGCTAGGAGAACGGCGTTCGGGAGTCGACATTGCCCCGCATTCAATGTACATAATTCTATCAAAACTAGCACTGACCAGTGGATAAGTCGACTCTGCATTTTAAAATAAAGTTTAGGACTAAAATTTCTCAACTTTTACATGAGTATATATGGTAACCCTCTAAAAAACACTAAAACTCTACACACAAATATTTGTCATTTGTATTTGTCATTTTCATGTTTTTGCCACATACAGCATTAAGTGACCTTCAGTGGACTTGGGGTTTAATTTTGGCCAAGGACCCAGGCCACTGTGAGTCTCTCTGCTTGTCTATTTATTAAAATTATTTATATAGCACCAACATATTCTTCAGCGCTGTATAACAGGTAAACAAGACAAGCATTTAATTCTAACAAAATATGCATGATTTATGGGAACAGCGATTGAAGCTTACAATTTATATCAGTTTGAACAGATGAAGATAACCAATGTTTAGTGTTCAGAATCACTTAAAGTCCAAGTGGTATTTATTGGGTTGAGAGTAACATTCCACAACATCTAGAAGGCAGATCTAACCTAGCTGTAAGCTCATTCATAGCCTTAACCATAACCACATCATTTGTAACTGCATCCCCATTTCATTGCTGCTTAAATGACACTCAACAATTAAACATCTCTGTTTTGACAGCTACATTTTAAATATCTGTGGATCCTAGAAGAGAAGCAGACATTCAGTGTATATAAGAGCCCTGACAGATATAAATGCTCAGTAGAGCTCTACATGAAATAACCTAGCAAGCTGCTGGTGATTTCCAAGCCTGATTCATGTATCCACTGAGAATTAAAATAATAATTATATTTTTCCCCTAGGTGTCTCTCCTCCACATCCTCCATCCAGCTTGTGTCATCCTAGCATCTCATCAGTGCCTTGCCTATGCAGTACAAGCTCCCCCCGGCACACTAAGGGTTAACCCAGCAGCAGTAACTTGATCCGGCAGCTATAATGCCATATAGCCCAGTGCAGGCTGCACATAGCATCCCCAGCCCTGCACAGATCGCCGCCTCCTCTGCCAGGCCTGGGAGGGGGCTCACAGCAAGCAGCTCACATCCACGCATCGCCTCTCATTCTTCACTGGGAAAGGCTTCATCCCTTACAGAGTCAGGACTGAGTGCATCATCCACCATGACCTGCCCCTAGGAGCCCACCAGAGCCTGGGGGATGAGCCGAACCGTGGTCTGTATATAGGAACCTTTCCTTCCTGCAGGTAATGTGCATGTGCTGCTACTGTGTGTAGGCCCTTAGCCCCCTTTGCTCTGTGTTTCGTCATGAGGCATGTGTTATTGTCATTATCAACCATTTTACATGGTAAGCCTTTTATGCAGACAGATATGACATTTTCACATGGGTATCCTTGTGAATATTTCATATTTGTCCTTTTTTTACATGCAGATTGGGATATAATATTATATAATACACATGCATGCACAACCAAGTCTAAAAAATATTTTCTGTATAAATAAAAAAAATGTGCTATTTGTTATTGGCTGTTAAAATCATAATTTGACATATAATAGTATTCAGTGAAGTAATTATGTAGTAAAACGTATATATGCAAGACTTTGGAGGGAAATACATTTTGGTAGTTTACAATAAAGTATGTTGTTTGTATTTTTTGTCTTTTGTTTTAACTATTCTGTGGCATCTAAAAGACATGAAGTGGTGTTAGTTAATTTGTAACGCATACAGTGGGGGTTTTCTTTCCCTTGGGCCTTGTAACAGCGAAACTGTAGTGTGTTGTCATCACAAAACTATTTTAAAAGTGGTAAATGAATAGGGGTAATAGAAATAAGATACAATTTAGTGTAAAAATAAGGACATTTTAAAAACGTTACCCTGGATTTTAAGGCAAACGAAGAAGGTGTCTAATCATTAAAGGGTAATTTATGGTGACTTGACAGTAAACTTGCAAAGTAAGTCAGTCGAAAAGTGACCATTTAGAGCATGTATAGTAAAGCATCATGACCACTATCTATTATTTTAGTGGTTATGGTACTAACAGGCTATGGATGTAGTTCCCGCTGTTTTTCGTCAAACTGTGTTCAATCTGTTTTACAAAAAAAACAACAAAACCCGATCTTACATTGGCTTCTAAGCACCCACCTCCAATATTCTGATGTATTAATGAGAGAATTTCTGTTCCTCATTTTCAGTCCAAGTGTTTTACAGAGTGACCATGATCACTCTCTGCAATGAGAGACTCATTGTACTGGTCTATGAAACAACCGTATCAGGTCCCCATTGACCCTTCTGGCACAACCAAATGAATACATGGACACTTGACTTGACTTAGTCAGTGCTTCCACAAATGGTCAACAACCAATATGTCCTATAGCCAGTATTAGAGCTACTTAGTACTTAAATAAAGCATGCACTTAATGTTCCCGCTGTTTGTACACATGGACATGTGACGAGGGATGGAAAATGTGGGTGGACTTTGAGCTCTGGGGAATCCTCTGTTTTATGTAAAACTATTTGGGGATGCTCTCACAAATACCAAGGCTTTGAATTATAGCCTCCCACACATTAATTGTTATGGTGCTTGCAGTGCCTGATTAATTTTGCAAGTTGGCCTTCAGTTCACATAAACTCACTGCTTAATGAGTAGGTCTCCCTTGCCTTAAAAGGGACCCTAGAGGCACCCAGATCAATTAATCTCATTTAAGGGGTCTGGGTGCAGTGTCCCTGTCCCCTTATCCCTGCCCTCTAAAACTGCAACATCACAGGGTTATGACTGCCTCTGGTGGCTGTCTACCATACTTCCTGCATTTTTATAGAGTTTAACTCCGTGAAACAACGCTGGACATTCTCACGCTTTGCATCCAGCGTCTTCAAAATACCCATAGCAAAGCATTGATCTAATGCTTTCCTATGGAGAAAGCCTAATGTACGCATGATGCTTGCTGTGCATGTGCATTAGGTTCTCCCCATTGCCAACATCGGTGGAAATGGAGCCAGCGCCGAGAGACCTTGGTCCTGAAATAAGTTAAGTGATAGAATAGTTTTTTTTTTTAACTCTTTAATCATTAGGTGAGGGAGCCGGACAATAGCTTTAGGGCAGAGGGACACTATAGCATTAGGAATACAGTTTTGTATTCCTAATGCTGTAGTGTTCCATTAAGTGTGAAACTTTGCATTGCTATAGTAATAAATGCTAACTAAGAGCACCTAGAATTTCCCTCTACTCATTATATTTTAATTATATATATTATATCTGGGATGCCCACACTTTTTTGTGTCATTATCTACTTTTTAAATGACCAGCTCAACAAGTTCTACCTACTAAATTTATATTAGTATTTAAAGTAAACAGCCAACGGAGCCTTCACAGACAAGAGTGGTGCTGCTCCACTCACACACAGAGGTTTTACCCCAAAGTAGAGTTTATTGGATGAGTGTTAACAGCAGGGGTGTCCAAAAGGTATATTACCAGATGTTGTAAAACTACAACACCCATGATGCTTTGCATGCCTTTAGAATGACAAAGCATCATGGGAGCTGTAGTTTTAAAACATCTGGAGATCTACCTTTTGGGCACCCCTGGTTTACAGCAATTGAGCCAAAATATTGCTGTATATGTTTATCCACTATAGTCTGATTTGGAGAAAGATCTCGGAACCTTTTCTGGTATTTATTATGCTGTGTTACATCCTATTCTGAAATCTACTTCTCAATAAAGATGTCCCATAATGTGATTTGCTTGACTTCTAAATCCTAGTAACCTTGTCACTAGTAGCAGCATTATATAGACCAACATTGTGTCAATGTATAAAGAAAAACAACTCCTCTACATTGTTTTTAAACGCCTCTACAGTGACTTGAATTTTGCAGGTCACGTGACTCCTTACCACAACTCAATATTTAGTGAGTAGACACCCCACGCCCCTACAAGGGTGGCAAACGGTAATTTTCTGTTATACTATTGTAAGCTAAGTACCAATGCTAACCCTTTTTATGTTTTTATGACACCTGCTTCCCTTAATCTCTCAAATTGTCATTTATCTTGTTTACTTTTTTGTACAACTTCTGGCTTCATATTGCAAATGCAGTTATACCGCAGAACTGTATTGTAATACTAGTGTTCAAAGATCACAGCTTCACGAGTGATGTACATCCTCACTTTGTGCAGAATATAATATGAAAGCATTGTTTGCTTTTTGAATAGGTGTCTTGTTTCGTATATTATTATACTTTAAAAAATAGTTTTTTAACCCCTTAAGGACACATGACATGTGTGTTATGATTCCCTTTTATTCCAGAAGTTTGGTCCTTAAGGGGTTAAATAGGTTTTAACAGTTTAGTATGAGATGATATCCCACTTACTTCTGAGAGTAGATGTCTTTAAGGAAGTAGAGATTACATTTTGGATCTGTGGCAGTCTTCCTATCCTGCATTGGAGGAATTCAACATCCAATTGTCAGGGTTGACACTAAAGCCACCCCTCGGCCAATATAATTGTGATTTCCTTCTTAAAAAGCTTTGTATCACTTAGAGGAAAGTTGTCCAACTTTTTTAATGCTGGTGGTCATACTATACATAAAATTAGGGTAGAGTAGAGAGATTTTCTTAACTTAACGCAATTAAATGAGTTAATTTCAGTACATGCTGTTGAACCTCAGAAGTGATAGCTGTATCTGGCCTAAAGGCTCTTATCACCACACAAGACTTGAATTGTATTTATTGCCGTTAATGGTAGATTGCAGAATGGTTTTATATATGATTTTTGTTTTTCCTCTGACCATGGCTGAACTTCAGATATGTATCCCACAAACTAAAGTGGAATGTTTGAGGATTGCATTTGTTGGAACAAACTGGAATCTCACAGAACAAGTTTTTTTTTTTTTTTTCATTTTTGCTCTTTACTTTGTAAAACCCTGACAAGTTCGGTGACATGACTGATTATGAGGGTTGGCTTAACTTTTCTTCTCAAACAGATAAGCACAGTCTATTTTTTCAAGGCTGCAAGCTTTCACAGATAAAATGGGTGAAAGCCCACTAATTGTTATATGATATGCGATAGGATATCCAACAATGATCTGCTTCAATGGGGTGTAATTTAAAGGGGTTATGATGAAACTCCTGACTGCAATTCAAAGATAACAATGTGCATCAAGGTAAAATATAAGCATTCTTCTTTTACTCTTTTGCAATGTTGCCAGGTGTTATGACTACCCAATCCAGCAGTCTGCATGTTCACATATTGTACCTCAACAGAGGTTGTCAGACCTCCTATCATTAACCAATCTGTAAACGCCTGGCCTTTTAAGAGGGTATATTGTTGTGAAAACTTTGTTTTACCAATTTCCAAATCATAAGTGGATAGTGGTCAGCATGGCTTGATGCTAATAGCACACTGCCAACATGTAATGACATCTTGCTAACTCAATTTAGTCTCTTAGAAATAAAATCTCTGAATAGCTGAGGTTTCTATTTTTAGGTGTCCAAGTTGCTTCTGTTTGGGCATGCATTTATATAAAATTTAATAAATGCAAAATCTGGGAACATATATAAACACACTACTTTTAACACAAGTTTAAGAATGATTTGAAACAGCTTCTATCTCTTTCTGAAGGTATACATTTTCACATGATGCTCCCAAAATCTAAATTTCATTAGATCCAAGCTATATCCTGGAAACAGGAATAAATCTGTCAGGGGACACTCCTTCAGTATTCTGTATCTGAAACCCATCCTATAATCACCATGCTTTACGTTAGAGCGTAATTTGCTGTCTGTTTGAAATCACCTCTGTCATAATCTGTAACCCAAAATAGTCTGTTTCAGTATGTTCATTCTTTCCTTGCTAACCCATGTTATTATGCTCTTTATATTTTAAATGTATAGACCAGGGGTAGACAATCTTTGGCACTTCAGATGCTGTGGACTACATCTTTACAAATGAATTAAGTAGGAGCACAACCCATCATATGTAAAATGTTTTTTTAATTTTATTAATACAGTAGATATAAAAATAGAACAGTATGCATTTATTTAAATAAACTGAGACAACTCACAAATTCAGCACTAGAACACTGTCCTCAGAAGCACAAATGCTGTTAAATAGTCACATATTATGATCACCCCATATATATCAAACCAAAATACATAAATGGAAAGCTAATACAACTTCAATAAATTAAAAATAATTAAACACACCTGAAGCAAATTATACAATGAGAAAATGTGAGAGGCAAGGGATGCAAAAGATACCAACTGACACTTTACCCCAATGTTTTGGCAGATACGTTTTAATATTGTGGCTGATGAGTGTTTATGTATTTATTATACATGAAAAGCAAAATAAAAAGTATAAATCCATACATTTTTATCTGTTAACAGGGTGCCTCCACCTTGACTCCCTGTCAATTATTATTATACACTTTGTCCTTTGCACCTGACTATCAATGTAGCATACATTAAAGGGAATAAATGAAACAGTGCTTGCAATTTGCAGTGTGTGCTGTGGACTGTACTGGATTTTGATGCAGTTTTCTATTTTGTAATATAAATTTTAAAGAAATAAGCGCATCACCTGAAAAAAAAGTTATGCTATTGGTAATTTTCAATGTTTTATTCATTTGTCCACGTTCCAGAGACGTGACTGCTCCCCCTTTTAACAGTGAATTTTTTGTTGCATTGAAAACCAAATTTTGCCAAATGTAGGACAAAAAACAAGTAATACTCCTGAGCTGGATAATTCTTCCAACTGATGGTTACATTTAGCAAATTAGATTGTCTCCCCCTCTATTACTTAGAAATAATCAGTCAGAAAATATGTTGTAATGTAGGTAGAATCCTTTACTTCACTATTATAGTAATGGTCAAGGAAATTGGTTAATGTTTCAGGAAGGATAAACAAAGTTGTTTTTTGGAAGATTACCAGCAAAATACATTGTTCAGCTCTGTTACAGTGCAGCATAGCACAGCAATATAAATATGTAATTTTTTTCAATTTAAAGAGTGCTTGATTCAGCTGTTTTGTTTTGTCTTTTTGCAGGTTACCATGCCTCACTTCAGCACCTTGACAATTGGTATTTCTGCAACAAGCTTTGTCATATCCCAGCTTCTGTTTCATGTGGGAAGTGCTTGGTTTTCCACTCTTTTAACTTGTGGTTTCAGCAAACTTAATCCAAAACAGAAGATTGAATGGAATTCCAGGTATGCATCTAACGACTCTAATTTATCATAACTTATGTTCTGATTTAAAAAGGAACAGTTGTTTCTAACCTCACCCCATTGAATATACATTTTGGCATGATGTCTGCAGGGGTAACAATTATAACACAAACGTATAACCCTCCTCTACACTTCTGGGCAGTTGGTAGTGCTGTCTTTCTAAATTGCTCAGTATGAGCACACTAGGCATCATGGGAAGATAATTAATTTGCATTAGATGCCAGGCTACCTCTTGTTAAAGGACCACTCTAGGCACCCAGACCACTTCAGCTTAATGAAGTGGTCTGGGTGCCAGGTCCAGCTAGGGTTAACCCATTTTTTTATAAACATAGCAGTTTCAGAGAAACTGCTATGTTTATAAATGGGTTAATCCTTCCCCCTAATCCTCTAGTGGCTGTCTCATTGACAGCCACTAGAGGCGCTTGCGTGCTTCTCACTGTGATTTTCACAGTGAGGGCACGCAAGCGTCCATAGGAAAGCATTGTAAATGCTTTCCTATGCGACGGGCTGAATGCGCGCACAGCTCTTGCCGCGCGTGCGCATTCAGCCCAGGAGGAGGAACGGAGGAGGAGGAGGAGGAGGAGGAGAGCTCCCGCCCAGCGCTGGAAAAAGGTAAGTTTTTAACCCCTTTCCCCCTTCCAGAGCCGGGCGGGAGGGGGACCCTGAGGGTGGGGGCACCCTCAGGGCACTATAGTGCCAGGAAAACGAGTATGTTTTCCTGGCACTATAGTGGTCCTTTAATGCAAAACAATATTATTATTTTGGTTCGCTTTAGAATCAGTATGTCGTTCCTCTTTCTATAAAACATACTTTTTGTGTAAACGTGCTGCCCATTCATTCATAAAATCATTTGTCTTTGTTTTCTTCAAGCAAATATTATGATGTTATTTATATAGCAGCAATCCAATGAATTGGGTTCAGGTTATCAATATCTTTCTATAAATATTATGTAACAGAAGTTCAACTTTGGTGCATGAACTTCTATTTCGGTTCATCAGGAGGCCACTGCTGTTTTCTAAAAGCCATAATCTTAGTTCAATTATTTTTTAAAAGTTTTTTTTTTGGTGGGAGAGATATATTTGCAAGTTGTGTCAGTGGTTCAGCCAGCCAGCTCTTAAAAGCCAATTGTTGAAAGGCAAACTGTGGCAGAACTTACAACCAATTTAATGTTTTACCCTTTTTCTGTTCGGGAGTACTGCATACAAACGACACCCATTCGTCTCCTGAACGAGGACCCCACAGTACCCCATTAGAACGTTCACACCAGCAACTTAAAGGATCACTATAGGGTCAGGAACACAAACATGTATTCTCGAACCTATAGTGCGAAACCCACAATTTAGGTGGCTTGCCCCCCTATAAAACTCACCTTATTTCCAGCGCCGCGCGGGTCTGCCGGCGCTGGCTCCACCCTCTATGTGACATCAAAGTTGCTGATTTTAAGCCAATCCAATGCTTTCCCATTTGCTAAAATCGGCACGGGGGCGGGGCCAAATGCCATTTGGCCAATCAGGACCTCCTCATAGAGATGCATTGAATCAATGCATCTCTATGAGGAAAATTCAGCGTCTCCATGCAGAGCGGCAGCACTGAGCCAGGAAGCACCTCTAGTGGCCATCTAAGGAGTAGCCACTTGGAGGTGTCCCTAGGGGCAATGTAAACACTGCCTTTTCTCTGAAAAGGCAATGTTTGCATGAAAAAAGTCTGAAGGGGGCTATTATACTCACCAGAAGAACTACATTAAGCTGTAGTTGTTCTGGTGACTCTAGTGTCCCTTTAAGTGCAAAGCCACAAGGGAAGTAATTAATGAATGTTTCCCCCCTGGGTGGTCATTACGTATAACCGAATGGTACTTAGTCGTCGAGTGCCTGGAACTCTTTTCGACTAGGCACTCGCACGAACACAGGTAAAACTTAGAACGGTGTCCGTTCTACTTCAAGACCACCTATGCGAACTATGTTCGGGAGATATGAACTACCGAACAGGGGGAGCTTTCGTATCAGGAAACTAAAAGATTCCCTTGCATGGTGTTCGCACAGAAACCCCCGAACAGAGACCAGCTGGAACACCTATTTCCCTGGAACTGTTTTGAGCTTGTGCCATGTGTCCGGTTGGTCAAAATTTTACTCCGGTGGCATTCCAGTTTCACCGAACTGATCTGAGTGATATTTGAATATGTTATACACTCAGATTAGGGCTATCCACGATATTACTTTTGTCGGGTTCCTGGTTATGGTGGGGACACTTTTGGGGTACTGTATATTTTGTATGGATTTTTTGTACCTGAGAGATAATTGAATTATAGGTATTTCTCAGGCACAGAGGATCTTGGGATTGAGATCCCTGTGTTATTGTATTGGAGACCCCATGTAGGGGTCTTTGCATAAAAGCCGTATATATGGCCTGAATAAACTCAGCTGACTCCCAGGACTATGTTTTGTCTGGTTACTGGGGGAATGGATGTCTGCATGTTTTAATGGTTCTAGAGTGGCTGAGTGAAAGAATTAGTGAAGGAACCCGGTCGGGTTACCTATGTTCCGCTACAAAGACCTTATACATTTTATTATTTGTTTGGATGTATATAATTTATTGTTTTTTTCCCTCTTTATTTTAACATCCATAATAAAAGCATCCATTCTTCTCCCCACTTCCCTTCCCTTCAGAGTAATGGATTAAATTTCATGCAAAGTATAGCATATAGACATTTATCTGAATTGATTATTTACCTAATTGCTTCAGTACTGCCACAGTTTGAGGCAGATTTGGATATTTCTGTTAATTGGCAACAGTAATCTGCAATATTTGGCTGCCTGATGAGCAAGCAGTAGTTGAAAAATAAATTAATTGAAGCCAAGGTCCCCTTGATCCCCAATTAACTGTGAGGGGCCCGACAATATAGTACCTATAGTATATTTCCTCACACCACGGGTGGTGGAGTGAGACTTAAGTGCTTGGCCACACTTCCAACTTGCTACCTCTCCATCCCCTGCGCGATGTCATGTTGATATGTTAATTATTAATTCCTCTCCTGATGTTTTACAGGTGAAGGGTTGATAACAGAACAAGTAGGAAGCTGCAGCTACACACTCTTTTTTTTTTTTCCTATTCCCTTTGTGGTGGGAATACAAATAATTATTTGAGGGTCCAGAGGACCCCCTTATTCCTGGAGGGAGGATCTACCTGATTGTCTTTCCCGTTATCCCTGTGTGGATGTTAAAGGGTTAAATTATGATTATTGGCATCTAATGGACCCCATATCCACAGGACTATCTTGATATTCTATTCCAGGATATGTCCAAATTACCACCAAAGCTATTTTTATCCCTCGAGAAACCCAGTACACATTCCCTTATATTTCCTAAATTTCTTTATATAGCACCAATAGCGCTTTTAAAAAATAGTAACTTTTCGTCATGCCCATGTTACCTTCTCAGATGCTAACTTACTTTGAGCTGCCATTGTCTGCTGATTTCAATTCCACTCCTTCCTTCTCCCAATGAAAAATGATATATTCTGGCAGATTCAGATGGAGTGTGAATTAGGAATGTGAACTTGGGAAAGGTGACTTAATAATAATGCAGAATTTGCAACAACAGGCTGAAAAGGTATCGTGAGTCAGCCTCTACAACAAAATACAAAGCATAGTCAGCTCCTGAAGGTTAATTAACCCCTTAAGGACACATGATGGAAATATTCCGTCATGATTCCCTTTTATTCCAGAAGTTGTGTCCTTAAGGGGTCAAACTTAGCAAGACTCACGTTTAAAAGGTGACAAAAAGATTTGCAAGATGCCTTATTTGTAAACAGGTTTGGTTTTGTGTAGCAATGTAAAACTTTGTATTTTTTTTATTTTCGTAAATGCCCAACTTAATTTCCCCATTGCTTCTATGCAGGCCCTTGTCAGGCAGAGAAATTAAAGGAACACTGTACGGGTCAGGAACACAAACATGTATTCCTAACACTATAGTGTTAAAAACACGATCGAACACCATATGAGGAGTGGCCACCAGAGACATTCCTAGGCTGAAATAAAAACACTGCATTTTCTCTGAAAAAAACAGTGTTTACTTCAAAAAGCCTGAAGGCAATGATTATACTCACAAGAACAAATACAATAAGCTGTAGTTGTTCTGGTGACCATAGTGTCCCTTTAAGTTCTCTTTTAAGCTTTTTTCCCTCCTCCTTACCAGAGAAAGTGTTTATGATGTGCTTCTGTCCTGTGCATTTAGTGAATGGTTTCATGATAAGCGAGTGCCAGGCAGGAAATAGACATCATAATAATGAAGTTGTTATAGTGCCCAAAGTATTCCTCTAAAATACTAAAGTCTGACATGTTATGAGTGGAACTGTTCAATATATTGATAGCAATCATATTCGTCTTTTATTAGTTTTGTACATAGGTTAAAGGACCACTCTAGGCACCCAGACCACTTCAGCTTAATGAAGTGGTCTGGGTGCCAGGTCCAGCTAGGGTTAACCCTTTTTTCATAAACATAGCAGTTTCAGAGAAACTACTATGTTTATGAATGGGTTAAGCCTTCCCCTATTAGCTCTAGCGGCTGTCTCATTGACAGCCGCTAGAGGCGCTTGCGTGATTCTCACTGTGATTTTCACAGTGAGAGCACTCCAGCGTCCATAGGAACGCATTGATAATGCTCTCCTATGTGACCGGCTGAATGCGTGCGCAGCCAGCCGACGGGGAGGATCGGAGGCGGAGAGGAGGAGGAGAGCTCCCTGCCCAGCGCTGGAAAAAGGTACGTTTTAACCCCTTTCCCCCTTCCAGAGCCGGGCGGGAGGGGGACCCTGAGGGTGTGGGCACCCTCAGGGCACTATAGTGCCAGGAAAACGAGTATGTTTTCCTGGCGCTTTAGTGGTCCTTTAATTCACACAACACAATCAACTTGGAAAGCCTAAAAGAGAATTCTTTCTGCCTTTGTTAACAGTTCTGGAGGAATAGTTTATAGCTTGATCAAAGTTTACAAATTGCTATAATTTTATAAGTCAATCCTAGAAATGAAATGAAGCAGGATACTCTATGTGCTGTAAATGTTGCAATTATACAGAGTTATATTGGTGCTTTGAGTGACCTTTTAACTGGAACTTTATAGCACACAAAATTCATAGAAAGCACTATAAGATTTTTATTTTATAAACACTCCACCCATGAGAGGTGTGCTATAAACCACTATTGTATATTAGGCAAGGGAACAATTTTCATTTGTACAGTACATTAAAAACATGGGCATTTTGGATGCCACACTTGCCGTTGTGAGAGGGTACAATTGTGCGTGCATGTGGCCCACAATATGCTGTATAGTGAAATAATAATTGTGTCCTTCAAATTTTGCATGTGCAGGAGGAAATAGTCACCAAGCAAGCGCCATCCACAGGATATGGCATACCATTGCAAAATGGAGTACTAGCCTTCCTTTCTAAAAGATCCCTTTTACCCTGTACTAATCTCCCACTTTGCCATCACAAAAGCACCCCAGACCATCACATTGACTCTTAATGAATAGACTCTAATCAAATACATTCAAATGTATAGTTTGATTGAATTCTGTAACGAACGCTGGTATAGTAGCTACCCGTTCGTCTATTTTCTCCCGAACTACCTGAGCCTGAGTGATTATAGCTCGCAGGTACTCGCTTCGGGTGTTGAGTCAAACAATTCTCTATACGAATGGCAGTCTCCCAAGTGTATTCTCCCATTAAAGTAGACCGGTACCCAAACATCAGCCAAAACTAGATGAAGGGTGTAACAGGCATGAATTTTAATGGCTTTTATGCAAGTCTCCATGCATGGGGCACTCCCACATGGACCTTGTGGGGGACTGGGACACAAAGCTTACAGCCAATAATAATACAGTGACAAAGTGTGACACTCCCAATACAAACAGATAATTCCCTCCTCTCTGCCTGTGAGATAATGGAGTCAGATTCTGTAGTAACTCAATTATCTCCAGTCAGAAAAAACTTAAAAAGCACCCCAAAACACATAAAATCCCCATAAATGTCACATACCTTGATAGCCTTGATGTGGATGACCAACATATCCAAAAATCACCCAGATCAGTTCAGGGGTTTTGGAATTTTATGGAGGTCCAATTTTGACCGACCACACACAAGGCTCCTGCTCAGAAACCGTTCCATGAGTTTAGGCTGTGCGGTCGGTCTATTTAGAAAAGTCTCAATAATGAATAAATGCACGAATGGCACACCCTGGCTCATAGCAGCGATTGTTCCCCTAGTTCGTGGGAACAAAACTACCGAACAGCGCTCTCCTGGCTGTTCGGGAAAAGGCAGCAGGCGTTCGTATAGTTTGACCGGTGTTCGGGAAGTCGAGTGTCCGATTTTAGTTCCAGACACTTGACGACCAAGTTCGTGCGAACAAGATGGCCGCCGTTTTCTCCTTCACATGGCGTTCGACTCTACAAATGGCGGCCACACAGGGAGAGCACTTAATTGACTGTTATCTTTGAAGATAATAAGCCAGGGGGGTGTTCGGTAGTTACGAACGAACAAAATTCAAATAACACTGTAATTTCTTCACAAATTCTATCTGTTAGGTTGAAATATGTTGAGGCTGAGAGTTCTTTCCATTTGTGCTGCTAAGAGAACTTGTGAGGCCAAGGCTCTAGATTCAAACATCAGGGAGTCTGGCAATAGAAGCAGGAGGAAAGTAGAAGGACTAAAGGGCAATCATTGGATAGGAAGCTTTAAGCAGGTCCTGCACCGGTTTCTTGAATGGAGTAATATTAGTGCGTTCCACCATATGTGTAACTTCGTTCCCACCTGTGTGCCACATCTTCAGCAAAAGGGAGAAGCCAACGGGTATGTTTTGTGCAAATGGCTAGGTGTTGGGTACCATTGGTACACCAATTTATGATGTGCTTCTATATAATGGTAACAATGTGTTATCCACATAAGTGTTTTGTTTAAGGATTGTATTCATTCTCTATTGGATACGTTTATCTCACACTCTGGATTTCATTTGTCCCAATTGATGTGTTAACCATAGATGTCCCTATGCTTTTCATTTGTAGATATGGGAATATATAACTAGAATGCAATTTATATTGTAGTTGTACTTGTTAAAATGGGATCACATCCCCCGAGAGATGAGTTGTTTGCTCGATGTAATACCTGCTCCCTTACATTTCTGTAGGGATAACCCTGGACATTTTGTCATTCATGCTGTTATAGGGAATTCTGGTAGGTATTGTTTATTTAACTCTATTGAGTGGAAGAACTGGTCCCATACATTAAAGGACCACTATAGGCACCCAGACCACTTCAGCGTAATAAAGTGGTCTGGGTGCCAGGTCCAGCTAGGGTTAACCCTTTCTTCTATAAACATAGCAGTTTCAGAGAAACTGCTATGTTTATAATAGGGTTAATCCAGCCTCTAGTGGCTGTCTCACTGATAGCCGCTAGAGGCACTTCCGCGCTTCTCACTGTGATTTTCACAGTGAGAAGACGCCAGCGTCCATAGGAAAGCATTGAGAATGCTTTCCTGTGGACTGGCTGAATGCGCACGCGGCACTTGCCGCACATGCGCATTCAGCCGATGACGACGAGAAGGAGGAGGAGAGTTCCCCGCCTGGCGCTGGAGAAAGAGGTAAATTTAACCCCTTCCACCCCCTAGAACCCGGCAGGAGGGGGGCCCTGAGGGTGGGGGCACCCTCAGGGCACTATAGTGTCAGGAAAACGAGTATGTTTTCCTGGCACTATAGTGGTCCTTTAATAGTAAGCCCTGTGGTGGAAAATAACATAGCATTTGTTTGTCTCCTTTGTTTTGGGATTCAAAGAGTGTCTTGCAATGAATCTGGTTGGAGTTGATTGTCCTCCCAGTCGTGTCTCTAGGGACATGGAATGAGACTACAGCCTGCAAGATTGATGCCTTGTGATATAGAGTAAAACAGGTTTTTGAAAAAACAAAACTGGTAATCATCCTTTATGTCCTTCCCAGATGTACTTTGAGCAAATTGTTTGTAGAGCTTTACATTATGAGGCTGGTATAGCTATGAGTAGAAGTCAAAATATATATAATTTATGCTTGTATTAATATAATCTTGATGTTATTAAAGGGACACTGAAGGCACCCAGACTATTTCAGCTAATTTGAAGTGGTTTGGGTGCAATGTCCCTTTTGCACCTAGTGGAACTGCAATATTTACTTTGCATCATTGTCTGCCCACAGTGGGTACATTAAGTACCCACAGTAAAGTGGGTACTTAAATTTGAGGTTCCCTTAGAGCAGAGGTGCCCAAAAGGTAGATCCCCAGATGTTGTAGAACTACGCCTCCCATTATGTTTTGCATGCTTTTAGAATGACGAAGCATCATGGACGCTGTAGTTTTATCTATAGCTATTGATAGCTGTATATATATATGTCCTGATGAAAGTCCACGACGATGGACTGAAACGTTGACCTCTTTACCAACTGGATTAAAAGTTTTTTTGCATTTTTTAGCATATTGCAAGTCCTTGAGTGCTGACTCTTTTTTGAAAGTTATACATTTGTGCAGCCGAGCACCGGGCAATAACTAAGGAGAGCTGGAGTGCAACTCCCATCGTCCTCTATATATATATATATATATATATATATATATAGCTATAGGCACTGTCTCTAGATGGAGAGCACTCTGTATATATATCTCTATAGCTATTTATAGCTGTATATATAGCTATAGGCACTGTCTATAGATGTAGAGCACTCTTTGTGTATATATCTATAGCTATTGATAGCTGTATAAATAGCTATAGGCACTGTCTATAGATGGAGAGCACTCTGTGTGTATATATCTATAGCTATTGATAACTGTGTATATATAGCTATAGGCACTGTCTATAGATGGAGAGCACTCTGTGTGTATATATCTATAGCTATTGATAGAGAGCTGGCTGTATATATAGCTATTGGCACTGTCTATAGATGGAGAGCAGTCTGTATATATATCTATAGCTATTGATAGCTGTGTATATATAGCTATAGGCACTGTCTATAGATGGAGAGCACTATGTGTATATATATCTATAGCTATTGATAGCTGTATATATAGCTATAGGCACTGTCTATACATGGAGAGCACTCTGTGTGTGTATATATCTATAGCTATTGATAGCTGTGTATATATAGCTATAGGCACTGTCTATAGATGGAGAGCACTGTGTATATATATATATCTATCTATAGCTATTGATAGCTGTATATATAGCTATAGCCACTGTCTATACACGGAGAGCACTCTGTGTGTATATATATCTATAGCTATTGATAGCTGTATATATAGCTATAGGCACTGCCTATAGATGGAGAGCACTCTGTATATAGAGCACTCTGTGATAGAGAGCTGGTTGTATATATAGCTACAGGCACTGTCTATACACGGAGAGCACTCTGTATATATATCTATAGCTATTGATAGCTGCATAAATAGCTATAGGCACTGTCTATAGATGGAGAGCACTCTGTATATATATCTATAGCTATTGATATAGAACAAGCTGTATATATAGCTATAGACACTGTCTATAGCTATTGATAGCTGTGTATATATAGCTATAGGCACTGTCTATACATGGAATACACTCTGTATATAGCTCTAGGTGGCTGTTGGGAGAGCAGTGCTTGTCTCAGTACAGCAATCTATCTCTATCCCTTTGTTGACCTAGCTATGGCCGGCAGTCGGTGAGGAGGGGACACAGAGGATACAGAGATCCCGGTGTGGATCCCGGTCTGTTGCGCCATGGTTCAACTTCTGACAGCTCGAGGATGGGGAGTGGCTGGCGGGCCTACGGTGATGGACGTGGCTTCAACAAGGGGTGCCCCGCCACAGTTTGAACTAGGTGACTTGCACTCGGTGGGCGGGGCATTGGCTGGGCGTTCTGTGCTGGTGAAGTGATTCGTGCCGGGGGGGTATATTTGCAAGAGCACTGACGCTTAAAGGAATGGCAGATACATTTACAGCAATAACCCTCCCTTGCATGTCTCTGATAGGGTTTGTGAAGGTGCAGGATAAATAACAGTGCTGTCATTTTGTTTTTAATTTTTTCATTTAAATAAAATGAAAACCGCGGTGGAAGGGTGTGGGGGGTGTAATTTTTGGCAGATTTGACCCATTTTCAGCCGAAATTGGATAGGCCCATTTTCGGCCTAAAATTTTGGTGGCCGAAATTTCAGTGCATCCCTAGCTTGTAGTGTGTGTCTACTAGGTATTTGGTTTGGTTTCATACAATGGGGTTCCATCCCATATTCCCGGTCCTTCTCCTGTACATTTCCCCCCCTCTTTACTGACACCTTAAACGTAATTCGCTTTTCTCTCTTAAAAAATCATCAGACATTTTAACACATTTATAATAACAATTATCATAATAACAATTGTACAACCTGCCTTCCCAGTCCCAAACGATACATAATGCCAGTCCCATATTATCAATTTGTAATGCCATATGTTACCAATTTGTAATGCCTTATTTGTTCTATCCTTATTCCCAGTTGCATGTAACAGGTTTGTAAAGTTAGCTTTAGTTTTCAGCCAAAGTGGTATACTGTGCCCAAGAAAAAAGTAAAAACAATTCCAAACAAAAACCAATAAATAACTATGTACAAGATATTGTTTAAACTTGCCAAATATCTTGAGCATAAAGATTTACGACAAATAGAAGGCCCATATAGCCTTAAGCAGGGAAATGACTCATGGTCTTACAATTATTATTGCCAGGAACATAGTTGGTGTTTCGCCGTAGCCTGCAGTCCTGATGTTGGCGGTGCACCAAATCGAGTGGGAAATTAGGTAGGTGTTTAATGAGTTAAATGAGAATTGTCGGCATTCGTAGGCAAATATATGCCATGTTTATCCCTGTTCACCCATCGGGTATGATGCCCTTACCTGTAGTGCCTGATTTCCCTTCACTTTACCCAACATATTGATGCCCTTATCATTAGGGTCTGGCAGCCACTTATTAGCGGCTGCTTGGCGCTAGCCCATAGGTACAGGAGATCTTTTCGAGGAAGTACTTTTATAAGAAACATAGAAACATAGAATGTGACGGCAGATAAGAACCATTCGGCCCATCTAGTCTGCCCAATTTTCTAAATACTTTCATTAGTCCCTAGTCTTATCTTATTGTTAGGATAGCCTTATGCCTATCCCACGCATGCTTAAACTACTTTACTGTGTTAACCTCTACCACTTCAGCTGGAAGGCTATTCCATGCATCCACTACCCTCTCAGTAAAGTAATACTTCCTGATATTATTTTTAAACCTTTGTCCCTCTAATTTAAGACTATGTCCTCTTGTTGTGGTAGTTTTTCTTCTTTTAAATATAGTCTCCTCCTTTACTGTGTTGATTCCCTTTATATATTTAAATGTTTCTATCATATCCCCCCTGTCTCGTCTTTCCTCCAAGCTATACATGTTAAGATCCTTTAACCTTTCCTGGTAAGTTTTATCCCGCAATCCATGAACCAGTTTAGTAGCCCTTCTCTGAACCCTCTCTAAGGTATCAATATCCTTCTGAAGATACGGTCTCCAGTACTGTGTACAATACTCCAAGTGAGGTCTCACCAGTGTTCTGTACAATGGCATGAGCACTTCCCTCTTTCTACTGCTAATACCTCTCCCTATACAACCAAGCATTCTGCTAGCATTTCCTGCTGCTCTATTACATTGTCTGCCTACCTTTAAGTCATCAGAAATAATCACCCCTAAATCCCTTTCCTCATATGTTGAGGTTAGAACTCAACATATGAAGCCTTAGGATCTACTGCTATGTTCCATTGTTGGGAGTGATGTACATCCTACTTGTGGAGTGAGGATAACTTTGTCCACTCCATTTCTCTTGACAGTAATCCTGATTAGGAAGCCCTACTAGAGAAAGCAGTGCTTTGGTTATGTGTGCAAAGGCTTTCCTCTTTGCCATGGTGTTTGGAGAGAGATCAAAGTAGAGTTGGATGTAGGTAGGCATCCTGTCAGAACTTTGGTAGATCAAGAGGCTTGTATGATTCCATCCTTTGTGGCATAATAATGAACTTTTGGGATTATATCCCTTGGAGTAAAGCAGGGAAATGCTTGGGTTTGGGTAATCAGTGTGTGTGATCTAGTAGGAAGTCTTTCTCTTGCTGGTCTGGCACTAGAATGTTAAAATGCTGTACAATCTATTTTTGGAAGATCTTGTGGCACTGTCTCCTTCAGTATACCTCTGATTCTTTTATTACTGTGGTGATCGCGGACCTCATGGTCTGACATTTTCTCTTTTAAGGCTTGTAGCTTTTTTTTTTTTTATAGTGCTATACGTGTCCGCTAGGGAGTTGTGAGTTTCAGTCTCTTCTTCAACGTGTTCAGTACGCTCTACCATAGCTTGTATGTCTGTCTTGATTTCACCTGCCAGATTTGAAATACCGTAGCTGCTTTAAAGGAAGCTTGGAGCTTATGCTGCAACCCACAGATGTGGCCGAGGTTAGAGAGTTTATAAAAATTGAGGTAATAGCACTGTTTTCTAAACAGGCGGGGATGGTGACTTATCTTTGGGCTTCCTGATCTTTGTAATTAGACATTTCTTGGCCAAGCTTCTCTCCAGCACTTAAATGCTTTTTAAGCTTTCAATTTCACTGACTGGTGTTTCTTGGTGAAATCTGATACATCTTTTGGGAATTTGAAGTTGCATTTACCCTGCTCTCTGTAACTAAGCAAGTTTGGATTGTGTTCTGTGATCCATGATGAACAATTTTATTTTGAGTGTTAGTTACTGAACAATAAGATTTCAAAAATTTAAAAAAAAACACCATTTTGTATGAATATTTGTTTATATAAACAGTCTTAAAACAGACCTTCTTCAATGTCTGCTGATTTTTCTGCAAATAATGAAAAATTAGTTTAGACTTATTGCTCATTCAATATTAAAACTGTAACCATCAATATTGCCATTTTTGTACTACAACATCTGGCAGGATTTCTTGCTAAACATTGAATCATGGCTTAAATTACCTGCATTAGGATACAGAACATCTTCCATGGGATGTTCCCTAAACACTTCCTGTACACCCTGGAATTTTGTAGCTAAGAGTCAAATTTTATGGGTGAATCTTAAAAAAAAAAAAAAAAAAAAAAAATATGTATATATATATTTAGGAGAATTAGGTCAGCTTCAATTTGAGTCCCTTAATAAAAGAAAATACCGGTTGGATTCTCACTTTTCTCACAGATTTTGTTTTGTTATTGATTGTGGTGATACAAACATAGTTAAGGACTGTTGTCAAAGCTGAACATGTCTCTAATGTATAAAACTAATGTCTGAAAACTGGTTGTCTGTTATACTTCATGGTCTAAAAATAAAACACAGTGCGTGGCTGCGTTAATACATTCATGTTTCCCATATTGGGAAACGCTATCATTCTGCCTTTTATTCCTTAGGGGATGAAGTACTCTTGGAGACTGTATAACCATTTCCTACCAATTCAAGATGGATCTGACTTCTTATTTATTTGACTGCCTTGTAAACACTGACTTTATCATCAAAAACAGAACTGTAGTCATAGATTTAAGTGCGGTGTAAGTAAGAAAGACCTATACCTATAATTGGAGCGCTGAAACACGTATCTTGCTTACCAAAAGTTATTTCGTATTATGGTACATGGAAAAGAGTACAAAAGAATACAATATAGTGCAGATGGTATATATAAAGTGTAAAGGCTTTTTAGGTGCTTGGCAAAATTATTTAGTAGTCAGCTTCTTTTATTTCTTACTCCCCCTCTCCTACCCCCCTGGGTGCTGAACACATTGCAGGGTTTGTGTTAAACATTTAAAGGGACACTGTATGCATCAAAACCACAACAACCTAATTCATCTAGTGGTTCTGAAGCAAATAAAGTGTTTCTGAGAAATGGCTGTTTACACTTATCCCCAACGTCACCTCTATTAGTTGTCATTCGGACAACCACTAGAGGCAGTCTTTGCAGATTGGTCTTTTGATGTCTCCACGCTCAGCATGGAGATGCTTAACGCTTCCTATAGAGATGCCTTGAGTTAGAGCATCTCTATGAGGAGATGCTAATTGGTGCATTGTGGTGATTGCCACGCGTGTGCATTAGCTCTCTAATGCTTCCCTATGGGAATGGTTTTGATAGGCTGAGATCATCTCTATTGATGATCTCAACCGAGAAGGAGTGGCAGCTGCAGCGAAACTGGCATGCTGCGATAATAAAGGTAAGTAGAACTAGTTTTTAAATTACTTTTGGGGTGGTACATCCAAATTGCTCTTAATTTATAATAACATTTGAAATATGTGTTTCTTACTAACATTAGAGTGTTCCTTTAAACTGTTAGTAAATTCAAGAGGGATTTATGCACTAAACAGTGAAATGCAGTGTATTGAAGAACCACAGCCATAACCACACACACAGAGATTGACACACATGCACAGATCCACACACACAGAGATTGACACATATGCACAGACACACACACTCTCCAGTTTTCCATCCTTCAGTACACACTTGTCTCCCCTGGGTCATGGTGAGCTTGGCTCCAAGTAAGTGTCTGTGCAGGCTGCAGCCCTATCTCCCACGCTATTTTCCAGTGGCAACTACTGGAGGTGCTAATGTGGTCAGGAAGGCCCCGTGGCATTCTTGAGACCACAAACTGCTGGGCCCTGGTGCAATAGCACCTAACAGCTCCATAGCCAGCACTTTGCTGATTGGGAAAAAATCCCTGGTATCCTAGATGCAGTATACCAGAGAACTAACTCTGATAGGATTGTGATTTCAGGCACTCCCTTTAGACCCAGGACAGTTTGGAAGTATGACAAACACATCATGAGCACTTTGTGACATTGAACCTTTCACTATTTGTGGCTACTCTTGTATTAGCAGCTGTTACCCATATAGTGTGAAATGTTGACTACAAGTTTAACCGATATTACCTTTACTTCTTTAGGACCGTGTCCACTTTCCATGCCTTGCTGGTTGGATGCTTCTGCCTCTATATTTTAGTGTATGATGATGCAGTTAATGCTGACCCTGTTTGGTAAGTGGTGCTGTCTCCCTGTCACCTTCATTGTAGAACAAGATACGGGAGGTATGTTCTATTTAACCTTCTCACAAGGAATATGCTGTCATAACTCTTATTCATCAGCAAATAATATTTGCAACAGCAGGCTTCCCAAAATAAATCAAGTCGTCTGGCTTAAAAATGCTTTATCAACACTTGTGACATATTGAACCATAAGTAAATCTTTAATATATCTTGTCTTTTCTTAAAATAATATAAGACATGGCATTGAGAATTTTTTTTTTTAATTATGTTGGCTCAATATATATGAATTGAATAGAGTTTTAATATAAAACTTACAGTGCTTTTAAAAGCCATGATATCTATATTTGAGACTAACATCCTAGCCATGGTATCTATATTTGAGTCTAATAACCTAGCCTTGATATTTATATTTAAGATTAATAAATTGATGCAACCCCCTTGCCCCCCCCAAAAAAATAGTAATAAAGTTGGTACTATTGTTATGACCAATTGTATATGATGTTCATGATGATCCCTTATTCATTATTTATATCATTACTGAGTGTTAATTTGGGACTTTTTTTTTCCTTTCGAGTGGTAAAAATTTGAAATCTTCATGTTAAATGTATTACTGTGTGTATGAACAAATAAAAATCTCCTACATGATTTTTTTCAAACTAAATTGAGAATTGTCGGGAATTCAAATTGCATTTCAAATTTAAGGCACATATACACAAGCAGGAACAATTCTTCAAGTCAGCTATGGTTCCAATTCAGCTACTCTGACCATACATTTCAAATTTACTAAACCATTCTCACTTAAGTGACAAACCCTGATAGTAGTGAGTTTTGAGAAGTTCCTTTAAAAACCTGAGTGTAGGTGGCTAATGGATGGATGTTGAGTGAACTTGAAGTACACAATGTTTTTTTATCTAACTCACAAATGCTTTGCATGCGTAATCAAAGGAACTTTAAGTCTGTTTGGCAATACTCAATTGAGAAGCCTCTGTGCTGGAGCAAGGCTTGCTAATGCTTCTCAATGAGCTGTAATATAGGATAGGGAATACAGGCGTGCATGTTTGTTACATCCTTTACTTCCAGGGATATAACTGAAGAGGAAGAAAACCTAGGGAGGTGTTTCTGACCCCAAATAATTTCTATTGAAATTGACACTTTTAAAAACTTACACAAATGTGACAGTCCCCAGGCAGTGCTTCATATGTGTGGTGTCCCTTTAATGGCATACAATGTTTATCTCTTTTCTGAAATCTAGATCTATTCACATTTTGTGGGGGAGAATCAGAAGAAAAAAAAGTTAAAGAAATAAACTACAACAACAAAACATATATACAAAACATAATAAAAGTTTTCAGTTTCCCAATGTAAACGAAAAGGCTCCAAAACATGAAGATATGAAAACCATGAATATTATATTTGCAGTAGGAACAGGAACGTATTTTTTAATTACCGTATATACTCGAGTATAAGCCGACCTGAATATAAGCCGAGGCCCCTAATTTTACCACAAAAAACTGGGAAAACTTATTGACTGGGGTATAAGCCTAGGGTGGGAAATGCAGCAGCTACTGGTAAATTTCTAAATAAAATTAGCTCCCAATAAAATTCCATTAATTGAATATTTATTTACAGTGTGTGTATATAATGAATGCAGAGTGTGTGTTTGTGTGTTGTGTGTGTATATAATGAATGCAGTGTGTGTATATAATGAATGCAGTGTGTGTAAACTGATTGAGGGGAGGGCATTTTTATTTTAATATTATTATTTTATTATTATTTTATTTTAATATTATTATTTTTATTTTAATATTTTTATTATTTTTTTATTAAATTGTTTTTTGTACCCCCTCCCTGCTTGTTTTCCTGGCCAGGGAGGGGGGCTATGTTAATCCCTGGTGGTCCAGTGGATGGGCTGTGCAGTGGGGGGGCTGGCAGCGAACTGTTACTTACCTTTCTTGCAGCTCCGTGCAGCTTCCTTCTCCTCCGTGCAGCTCCATTCTGCTCACAGTGTAAGTCAACGCACTGACGGCCGTGGGTGTCGCGAGACTTACACTGTGATCAGAACGGAGATGAAAGGGGAGCTGCACAGAGGAGAAGGGAGTTGACAGGAGCTTCAGGAAAGGTAAATTACAGCTCGCTGTCAGCCCCCAACAGGACCGCCAGGCTTGTAATGAGCCCGGCGGTCCTGGTCTGTATTATGGCAATGTAAGTTCCCATAATACAGACCTTGACTCGAGTATAAGCCGAGTGGGGGTTTTTCAGCACAAAAATGTGCCGAAAAACTCAGCATATACTCAAGTATATACGGTATTTGTGCATTATGATAAATGTATTATATGCGTTAAAATCCCTTTTTAAACAAAAGTCTGACATGTCACCCTAAAATAAATGTGATGTTGAGATCTGTGGTTCAACTAACTTACAAATGTATTTTCACTCATAACATGTAGACACATTGGCTTATTTAATGATATACCAATGCTCTGAAACCCTATACAGTCCCTTTTGTCACATAATCATGCTGTTTGGTTTATGGGCTAAAGCTTAAATTGCAAATATTCCTTGAAATTTAATTATACTTATACTATGTTTTTTTTCTTATATTATTTGATTTGAGTTGAAATTGTTGCATTGCTTAAAGTCTTGAAATAATATTGACCTGTCTATTCCTTTATGATATATAATGGCACAGTTCCATGCTATGTGTACAAAACCTAATAAACTACAAATTATAAAGTATAGAATCCCTCAACGGTCACAAATAAATATCCTTGTGATTGGTATACTGGCATATAAATCATTGTAATATCCTATAAATGATCAGATTTCTGCAATTTTGAATATTGTATTGGACAAATAATTTGAAAGAAAAACAAGTTCAAATGTGTAATGTTGTCCTCCTAATATCTATTTGCAGGGGTGATGCCTACATGGTCAAGCTGAATGTTGCAATAACCTCAGGATACCTCATCTCAGGTGATCATTCTTCGTGCTTCCATGGTCATTAACCACTTATGTGCCAATAAGTCAATGTTACTGTCCTTACTGTCGAGTTCAGTGAAGATAGCTTGAATGGGAGTTATGGAATGACAAGAAAATTCTACAATATTGGAAGAATGGAATTAAGAGAGATAAGAAGTGTGATAAATTCTAGGCATTACATAGATAAAGGGAGGTGTAGATCAGATTAAGCTGAAGGAATGGAGACAGGTTAAAGGACCACCCCACACCTACAAAGCTACCAACTACCGTCCTATCTGTGTATGCGAGATTGACAGACCTCCTCGAGTCCAACTCTCTGCTTGACCTGCTTCAGTCTGGTTTCCGCGCTAAGCACTCTGCGGAAACGGCACTGACCAATGAATCCAATTATCTACTCACTGCAAAATCTCGTGGTCACTACTCTATCCTAATACTCCTTGACCTGTCTGCGGCTTTTGACACTGTTGATCATCAACAGCTTCTCATCCTCCGCAACATCGGTCTACAAGATATTGCCCTCTCCTGGTGCTCCTCCTACCTCTCCCAGCTCTCTTTGAGTGTTTCTTTCTCTGGCTCTGCTTCTTCTCCCCAACTCCTCTCTGTTGGTGTCCCCCAAGGTTCAGTCCTTGGTCCCCTACTGTACTCCGTCTATACTTGCCTCCCTTGGTAAACTCATTAGCTCCTTTGGCTTCCAATATCATTTCTATGCGGATGACACGCAAATCTACCTGTCCTCTCCTGATCTCTCCCTGTCTCTGACTGCCTCTCTGCTATTTCTAACTGGATAGCTGCCCACTTCCTTAAACTCAACTTGTCCAAAACTGAAATTCTGGTCTGTTACATTGCTGCCAGCCTCCCCACATTTGTCTTATTAAGAGTTTATAAGTATGTAGGGGCAGCACCCCTTCCTGTCTCATCAGAGAAATTTGCCTTTTAGCTGATACCAGCAAGGTGATTTGTATGTGTTATAGCCCTATTCAGGGTTAAGTATGTAGGGGTTTATAAAACACCCCTTTATGTCTCATTAGAGATGTTTACACTTTGTCTGATACCAGCAAAGTTTATTGTATGTGTAGAAGCCCTATAAAGGGTTAAATGTGAAAGGGTTTATACAATTCCCCTTCCTGTCTCATTAGAGATGTTTACACTTTGTCTGATACCAGCAAAGTTTATTGTATGTGTAGAAGCCCTATAAAGGGTTAAATGTGAAAGGGTTTATAACTGGAGATTCTTGACTGATATCAGCATATCTGATGGCTTGTGTAGGAACTCACCTATTGAGGCTTGACGTGGCAGGTGAGTTTATATATTCAAATGGGCATTGGAATAAAACTAAAGAGCCTCCATTTTGTTTAAATGTACATGGGGATTTAGGCCAGAGCGCAGGTAACTTCTCTTTGTTTTTTCTAACTGGATGGCTGCCCACTTCCTTAAACTCAACTTGTCCAAAACTGAAATTCTGGTCTTTCCTCCCTCAAGTGTTGTTACTCCTGCGTCTGTCTCCCTCCAAGTCAACGGTGCTACCATCAGCTCCACCACTCACGCTCACTGCCTAGATGTTCTCTTTCACTCCGACCTCTCCTTCAAGCCTCATATTCAGTCTATCGCCAAATCCTGTCGTTTCCATCTCAAAAACATTGCGCGCGTCCGACCCTACTTAACGCTAGATGCGACTAAGGTGCTGGTCCATTCCACTGTCCTTTCTGGCCTTGACTACTGTAATCCGCTTCTCAGTTGTCTTACGTGCTCCCAACTTGCGCCGTTACAGTCCATAATGAATGCGGCGGTGAGGTTCATCTTCCTGTCCGCCCTCACTTCCTACGCCTCACCCTTCTGTCAGTCCCTGCATTCGCTTCCTGTAATATATAGAGCTCACTTTAAAATTCTGGTTCTTGCTTTCAAATATCTACATAATGCTGCTCCCACCTATCTATCCTCCTTAATACACAAGTATGTCCCATCTAGGCCCTTACGATCTGCTGAAGACTTACGTCTATCTTCTGTCCATACTCCCACCTCTGATGCTCGCCTTCAAGACTTCTGGAGGGTTGCACCGTTCCTGTGGAACTCGCTTCCCTCCTCTGTTAGATGCTCACCCAGTCTCCACTCCTTCAAAAAATCATTAAGATGCTCACCCAGTCTCTCACTCCTTCAAAAAATCATTAAAAACCCATGACTTCATAAAAGCGTATCAATTAAACTGTTAATAGCTCCCGACTGATTCCTCTCTGGCAACCTGTCCACTAGTCTAATACTATCCTTACCTTTTGTGTCACTTTACCCACTCCCTCTTGCATGTAAGCTCATTGAGCAGGGCCCTCAACCACTCTGTTTTTTTTTAAGTATTTTCTCCCACCTGTTAGTGGCATTGACTGACAAGGGAGAGCACAATAGACCTCCCACAGGAGGTCCTACAGCTCTCCCAAGCATAGCAACCACAGCACATGGGCATGTGGTTGATATGGAAACTCCTTAGCCGACGCTTCTTGCACTGGCTAGGGAGTATGAGAACAGAGTGATGTGACATAACTCGGTCCCGATGGTAGAATGTTGGCAAATAAGCAAGCATGCTGACGTCACTGAGGAAGTTTTGCCCAGCTTCGGGATCCGGTTTAGTCAAAATGGCCTTGGTTACATAATGGGACTATTTGTGACTTTTTGCACAACATTATATTCAAATTAACGAATTGTTTATTCTGAATGGTGCATTAAAAAAAAAATCGAGCATTTTATATTTAGATTTTACCTTTTGCTGAATTTTACGCTAGTTCTATAGCTTTGATTCTTTGCCTTTAGATTTGATTTATTTTCCCGTCACTGCTGTCTTATTTTAATTCATTTTCCAATTCTTCCTAAATTCAATTCAAGCAGTATCATTATTGGAGTCTGTACAATATACATTATAAAGTCAATCTGTATCTTTTCCTGACTACTTTTTGTTTACATAGCATATTCCCTTGGTTTTAGATTTTAATCTTGTGGTACCATCCAAACATTAAAGGGGCACTGCCCATGCCTGGAAGTGATTATTATTATTTATTTTTTTTACTGATTAAACATTAGAAAGTCAAACTCTTCCAGATACACATATATAACAATACCAATCTGTGTGTGATTGTTAATGTCATAACTTTCTTTTTAAAAGCTTTAACATGTAAAATGTGTGCATGAGCGGGTTTCTTTGTACAACTATTGTGAGTATTTGTGACTATCTCTCAGTATAATAATGGGAATGATGGTGTTCCTGTGTGCGTGTGCAATGCCAATGTATATTTGTTTGTGTGCCATGTTCATGTATATGGGCAATGTCAGTGTGTGCGTGTGTTGCTGTACTTTGATGCGTGTGCAATTTAAAGGAATACTATAATCACCAAAGCAACTTTATCTTAATAAAGCGGTTTTGGTGTATAGGTTATGCCTTTGAAGGCTCACTGCTTAATTATCTACCATTTAGGAGGTAAATCACTTTTATTTCAGATTATGCAGCCCTAGCCACATCTTCCCTGGCTGTGATTTACACAGCCTGCAAGAAAACAATGGTTTCATTTTCAATCAGATGTAACTGACTTTAGAAGATTTTATCTCCTGCTCTGCAAACTGAACTTTACTCATACACAAGAGGCTCCTGCAAGGTCTAGCAGGATATTCACAGTGCAGGAGATAAAAAAAATTCTAAATTAAACAGACTGAAAGGAAGTCTAAACATTAGATCTTACTTTACAGGAAGTGTTAAGTCACATGCAGGGAGTCACAAGTAACATGCAGGGAGGTGTGACTAGGGCTGCAATAAACAAAGTAATTTAACTACTAAATGGCAGAGATTTGAAAGTGAGACTGCAGGGGCTTGCTCTATACACCAAAACTTAATTAAGCTAAAGATGTTTTGGTGAAGTCAAACTGTTCTAAAATTGGTTTGACTCCTCACAGTGGGAAGACGCCAGGGCACTCCTAGCACTATAACCACTACAGCATTTTGGTTTTAAGCTAGCAGGTCTGTTTCAAACTAATATAAAACATGAATAGTTACAGTATGTATGGGAATAATGTCAGTATTCCACCTTACCTGTGAATGTTTCAAGATGAGTGGCATTAATTAGTATACAGTTCAACTAGGCAGAACAACTTGTACTTGAAGTAAAATTACATTCTTACAATGTTCACATTTTCCTTACTGAACTTTTTACAAATTTAACATAGCATAGACCACTTTCATTTATTTATATATATATATATATATATATATATATATATATATATTAAAATGCATAATTCTTTTTTTATTCATTTTTACTTTTATTTTATTTTTTACAGACTTGATGCTAATTATTTATTACTGGAAGGCGATTGGTGACAAATATTTTGTGACACACCACGTAGCAGCCCTGTATGCTTACTACTATGTACTGGTGAGTGCCATAATAATTTACATATTAGTAATACAGACAGACAAGATTAAAGTGAATGGCCATGAATGAACTTCGTAGACATTGCAGTCCAGCATTACGTGAGATAATTACTTCTTAGAGACGTATTACCCCTGCTAATACCTTAAATCTTAATGAGATTTAGAAGATTCAGTCTAATAAGCCTTGTTTGGCCAGTTTTACTACTTGATTGCTTATTGATTGCTTAATGTGTGTGTATTCTCTGCCTGTTATTTTAACATGCAGATCATGTTTTAGAACCCTCTACTGCACAGATTGGGACATCATCCATACAATTATTCCCTGTGACTAACAGACAATAAATGCATGGATTGAGAAGTCTAGGGTACATACCTGGTCTGCCTGAAAAAAAGAGCGGGTTACAGCAGAACCTGCTGCCATTTTAATAACAGCAGCTGACAACTCTAGCCCAGGGCTGTTGTCCTGCTAATCACAAGTAGCGCTAGAACACGTATGTCCCAGGAAAGCCCTTCCTTAACTCCTACAGTGCCCTGGCACTTTACAATACACGTGAACTTTTACATTACCCTAATACGCACGTAAATTTATCATGTAATATAAAAGTTACAAACTTTTCCCCCCATAATAATCAGTTCTTTTTTTATGTACCCTTGTTTATAAAAGCCATCAAGTTTATAGTCTATACAGAATTACATTTTAATATTATGATCGTCTTCATTTAAATACAGAAGTTCATATGTGGTGATTCATATTAAGTGGCTTTAGTTGTTTTAGCTAGTTTGCTGTCACAAACCTGTTATACGTTGTATGACTGTGTGGGTTCCAGTGACAACAAAGTAGTTAATTGTGTTTGCATGGAATGCTGAATTTCTTTTTCTGTCTTAGTAGTGTAGATCGGACGATGCATGTTGCTATGTTACTTTTCTTCATTATAACAATATAGAGATTCTAAAGGTTGCATGCTGTGTTCTTTGGAATGCATTGTGCCCTTGTGGATGGTTTATCTTTAAAAAGATGCATCGTAACGTGATTAATCTCTGTGTATATCAAGAACAGTGATGGCTAAATGTAGCTCATCTATTCATTAGCTATGTTTCCAGTGTGATGTTTGGTAAGCATAATGAAACTATAACGCATGATTGCTGGAGTGCTAAAGTTTAGCCATTCCTGTTCTAGAGCAGCATGTTATACAATATAAAAAAAGTGTGAACTATAGCCAATTTTTGCATTAACCAGTAAAACATTAAATCTGCTATTTTCCTTGGTTGTTCTAGCAAAAACAAAAAAATCCGAAACAAACAATACAATATAAAAAGGCCAACAAACACCATTACAAAGTAAATGCCAATTACAGCACAAAATGTGTCTTTGTTCACTGCTTACCTTACATTTATCTTCCCAATTTATTTGATAACATAAATATACACATCCCCCATGCTATAATTTGTAAGCACATAAAATAAAATGGAACACCATCATTGACTGTGCATTAAAATACAATTTATTTTTTCTGTTTATACATGTGCCCCCTACTGTATTCTTTATGTGTTAAAGAATAGCAGTATTGAAATATTGTGAATTCTAAATGCCAGCCTCCCTGCTATGAAATGAATTACTTATTAGAAACTAGATGGCGAACAGGCCAATTACATTTCTGTTGAAAACATCTTTGATTTAGCTTCTGGTGCTATTTTAAGGATAAGTTAGAAAATATATATATATATGACAAAAAAAAAGATATACAGTTGCAAGAAAAAGTATGTGAACCCTTTGGAATGAAATGGATTTCTGCACAAATTGGTCATAAAATGTGATTTGATCATCATCTAAGTCACAACAATAGACAATCACAGTATGCTTAAACTAATAACACACAAAGAATGAAATGTTGCCATGTTTTTATTGAACACACCATATAAACATTCACAGTGCAGGTGGAAAAAGTATGTGAACCCTTGGATTTAATAACTGGTTGAACCTCCTTTGGCAGCAATAACTTCAACCAAACGTTTCCTGTAGTTGCAGATCAGACGTGCACAACGGTCAGGAGTAATTCTTGACCATTCCTCTTTACAGAACTGTTTCAGTTCAGCAATATTCTTGGGATGTCTGGTGTGAATCGCTTTCTTGAGGTCATGCCACAGCATCTCAATCGGGTTGAGGTCAGGACTCTGACTGGGCCACTTCAGAAGGCGTATTTTCTTCTGTTTAAGCCATTCTGTTGTTGATTTACTTCTATGCTTTGGGTCATTGTCCTGTTGCAACACCCATCTTCTGTTGAGCTTCAGCTGGTAGACAGATGGCCTTAAGTTCTCCTGCAAAATGTCTTGATAAACTTGGGAATTCATTTTTCCTTCGATGATAGCAATCCGTCCAGGCCCTGACGCAGCAAAGCAGCCCCAAACTATGATGCCCCCACCACCATACTTCACAGTTGGGATGAGGTTTTGATGTTGGTGTGCTGTGCCTTTTTTTCGCCACACATAGTGTTGTGTGTTTCTTCCAAACAACTCAACTTTGGTTTCATCTGTCCACAGAATATTTTGCCAGTACTGCTGTGGAACATCCAGGTGCTCTTGTGCAAACTGTAAACGTGCAGCAATGTTTTGTATGGACAGCAGTGGCTTCCTCTGTGGTATCCTCCCATGAAATCCATTCTTGTTTAGTGTTTTACGTATTGTAGATTTCCTAACAGGGATGTTAGCATTTGCCAGTGACTTTTGTAAGTCTTTAGCTGACACTGTAGGATTCTTCTTCACCTCATTGAGCAGTCTGCGCTGTGCTCTTGCAGTCATCTTTACAGGACGGCCACTCCTAGGGAGAGTAGCAGCAGTGCTGAACTTTCTCCATTTATAGACAATTTGTCTTACCGTGGACTGATGAACAGCAAGGCTTTTGGAGATACTTTTATAACCCTTTCCAGCTTTATGCAAGTCAACAATTCTTAATCGTAGGTCTTCTGAGAGCTCTTTTGTGCGAGGCATCATTCACATCAGGCAATGCTTCTTGTGAAAAGCAAACCCAGAACTGGTGTGTGTTTTTTATAGGGCAGGGCAGCTGTAACCAACACCTCCAATCTCATCTCATTGATTGGACTCCAGTTGGTTGACATCTCACTCCAATTAGCTCTTGGAGATGTCATTAGTCTAGGGGTTCACATACTTTTTCCACCTGCACTGTGAATGTTTACATGGTGTGTTCAATAAAAACATGGCAACATTTCATTCTTTGTGTGTTATTAGTTTAAGCAGACTGTGATTGTCTATTGTTGTGACTTAGATGATGATCAGATCACATTTTATGACCAATTTGTGCAGAAATCCATATCATTCCAAAGGGTTCACATATTTATTCTTGCAACTGTATGTATATATATATATATATATATATATATATTTTTTTTTTAATTCTGATGGACCTCTATTGATATTGTAATGTACACTTACTGTAAGGATTTGCTACAGTTAATATATGGAAAATGGATGTGTTCTTAACTAATGTGAGAATTCAAGTGAATTTTAAATTTAAGGTTTAGAATAACTGAGCCGAAATGTTCTCTAGGTCAGCTTTGCTTTCAGTTCGGCCTGAAACTTGAAATTTATGTTGATTTCACTCTGAATTCTCACGTTAGTAAATACCATTATTAATTTAGATTTTGTAATTCTCTTTCAGTAAAAACATAGATAAATTGTGGGATAAAGGAGCAGGATGTAATTGAGACAGAGTATTCAGCCAGAGTATATCCATTAGTCTCTTTCCCTCATATAGCATTGACTTCCAGATTGATCATAGCACACCTTGCCGTTTTCCCAAACATCACCGAAGCTTGATGAAGGGTGAGAACCAAGTATTCTGTGTTAGCACCAACACACAGTATTTATGCATTTACAAATGTGTATTCAACCTCCAGGCGGTGATCAGCATGAAACTAGATAGTTCCCTCCCAAGTCCCACCAAGTCTGTGGCTCATAGTCTCCCACTTGCTGAGCTACATCCAGCCAGGGTGCCAGGAAACAGAGCCCTAAAACCCCATTTCCCAACAGAGGACCCCCACAACCCTCAAGTAGCTCAATCCTTCAGCTATCCACAGTCCAAAGAGCGCCAAAGAGGTCACTTCCTCTGCCTCCTGTCCTGCGAGTGAGGAGGAAGAGCAGCTTGACAGAAACACTAGGTAGGCTCTTCCCTGTACAGCCCCCTCCTCCCTGCACCCTCACAGATCCCCTCTCCCCCTGCCTCCCCTGCACAGTACCCCTCCTTGCATACCTCCCTGCACAGCCCCCTCCCTCCCTGACAGTCCCCTGCCTCCCCTGCATAGATCAACTCTCCACCTGGCTCCCTGACAGTCCCCCTCCCTCCCTTGCACATATCCCCTCTTCCCTTGCACAGATCCCCTCTCCTCCTGCCTCCCTGACAGTCGACATCCCTCCCCTGCATAGATCCCCTCTGCCTCCCTGACAGTCCACCTCCCTCCCCTGCATAGATCCCCTCCCTGCCTCCCTGAGAGTCCACCTCCTCCCCTGCACAGATCCCTCTCCTCCTGCCTCCTCTGCACAGATCCCCTCTCCCCTCCCTGACAGTCTCCCTACCTACATAGATCCACTCTCCCCGTGCCTCCCTGACAGTCCCTCCCTCCCTGCACAGATCCCATCTCCCCTGCCTCCCTGACAGTCTCCTCCCCTTCTGCACAGATCCTCTCCCCCAGCCTCCATGACAGTCCTCCCTGCATACATGCCCTCTCCCCTCCCTTCCTGACAGTCCCCCTCTCCCTCTGCCTCCCTGACAGTCCCCTTAGCTCCCCTGCACAGATCCCTCTCCACCTACCTCCCTTGCACAGATCCCTCTCTACCTCCCTTCCTGCACAGATCCCCTCTCTCCTCCCTTCCCTGCACAGATCCCTCTCTACCTCCCTCCCCTGCACAGATCCCTCTACTCCCTCCCTGCACAGATCCCTCTCCTCCCCCTGTACAGATCCCTTTCCCCTTCCTCCTGCACAGATCCCTCTCCCTCCCTCCCTGCACAAATCCCTCTCCCCCTCCCTTTGCACAGATCCCCTCTCTCCCTCCCTCCCTGCACAAATCCCCTCTCCCCATCCCTCCCCTGCACAGATCCCCTCTCCCCCTCCCTCCCCTGCACAGATCCTCTCTATCCCTCTCCTGCACAGATCCCTTCTCTCCCCTGCGACCTGACAGTCCCCCTCACTCCACTGTACACACTCCTCTCCCCATGCCTCCCCTGCATAGATCCCATCTCCCCCTCCCTCCCCTGCACTCTTGTGGCCTGTGTGCCGCGTGGAGCATTGCCATGGTTACCCGTGGCAATGCTCTGACGGCAGTGGGACTCGCAAGATTTAGACAGGGGAGCTGCTGGGAAGTGAAGTGAGTGTGGTGCGGGCCACCACTGTAGAGCCGCGGGCTCAGAGCACCAGGCCACCGGACCACCAGGGAATGTGATCTCCCCTCCTTCCTGGCCAGGTAGGAAGCTGGGAGGGGGGAGTAAAATAAAATGTAAAAAAATTGAATATTTAAAAAAAAAAAATTAAAATGCCCTTCCCCCTCTATTTTACATACGCCGCCGGGGGCCCACAGGTACATATATATATATATATATATATATATATATATATATATCTATCTTGAAAACCGCTATATATATATATGTACATAGGTAATGTGGGGCCCAGAACTCCAAGAGCAGTTCGGACCCCCCAGAACCGCTGGATGCCCTGATGGCGTCCCTGGCTGTATTTTAAAGACAGGAAGGATTTGTTGAAGTTGTATAGTTTAGTTTTTGCAATACAAATAAACAATGTGATCATTTTATAGTATTGTGTTAAAATCTGTTCATATAGTTAAAAGGATAAAGGGTACTAAACGCTTTAAAATAATTTGGATTGTGCTACGTTTGAATAGAATATAGTATATTTTATGATTGAGTCAAATAGAAAGAAATAGAAATGGTATTGTATACATAAATATTCGTTTGAAATTGTTTTTATGTCACTGATCAATGCATGCAGCAGCCATATACAATCCTGGTAACACCGGTTTGTAAACACTTAGAAATAGGGGCACAAAAACAATTATTGGAGAAAGTCACAAAAGGTGACAATCCACAGTTGAAATAGTTTTTCCTAAATTAACTGGTAGTACAAGTAGGTTTTTGAAAAGCTTTCAAAGATTACCAAACAAATATTATAATCCTAGGTTTCTACAATTTTTAGCTTACGATAAGCAAATAAACATGCAACAGAGTTGGAGCAAAATAAACATTTATTTAGAAACCGATTATATGTGAAATAGCGCTTGTATCAGTCAACAGTTCTCTACTGTAACGGTTTATTATTTGATAGATATATTAGTTATGTGTATGTATACACTCTGATTTGCTTCACTAACTAGATGTTTTAGGCAACATTTCCATGTTTCCATTTGCACTTATCTTTTTGATCTATCCATGCTCCCTGTGATAGATTGGTTCCATATAAATTCAGTTGGTTCCCTTATCTAACCCATTGCATGTAACACCACGTAAAATGTATATGTAAAAATCAGACAAGATTAGGTGCTAATATCAACAAGAAGTTGTTTAACTGTTATTAAAGGGACACTGTGTAAATAAAAACATATGTTTGGCAGATATACCTCCTATGAAAACAATTACACTATTTTTGATAGGGGTATATCTAAAAACAGATTGCAAAAGTTGCAGATCTCTGGTATGAAACTTTTGCAAGCCTTCCCCTTCTAATCCAACACAGACCTTCTGTGTCTGTCCAATCACAGACGTCCAAATGCTGCTCAATGAGGAGTCAGGTGCTCTGGGCTCTGTCCAATCCAATGCTTCTCTTCCGTATGATCAGCATTAGAGGATGTTCAATGTTTTGAGGACATTTAACGTCACAGAGTCTGACTCGGTTATAGCAGTGGAAGCAATCTCTAGTGACGGTCAGGATCACTGTCAGCCATCTTTAAAAATGCAATGTATTATACTGCAGTAAAAAATGACAGGGCCACTGCTCCCAGTTCACTTCATTGAGATGAATCGGTCTGGGTGCCTATAATAAACCTTTAAATGTGCTTCAGTAAATCTGTATTTGTATTTTATTTTTTTAATATTGGTTATAATGCCAGGTATGTAGCTTAGCTTTTATCATATTTCCTGCTATAAAATAATAACTATGAATCATTTACTAGGTAATAAAAGTAATAGGTGGGGAACAATAATTACATGTGAAAAGTTTGATATGTAACCTCCATTGCTTCATATAGATCAGTGATAAAGATCATGAAGATGCATTCGTAAGTGAAATCAAAAACAAAATCACAACCCAAATACTCAATGTTTTATATTGTACCATAGTAATAGCGAAGCAATGTGCATGCATTCCATTATTAGGTCCCCCCCTCCCTCAGGGCCCCCTTCCCGCTGGGCTGAAGGGTTTAAAGCTAGCAGCCTCTAGTGGCTGTCAGTCAGACAGCCACTAGAGGCTGGATTAACCCTCAATGTAAACATAGCAGTTTCTCTGAAACTGCTATGTTTACATCTGAAGGGTTAAAACCTGGGGGACCTGGCACCCAGACCACTTCATTAAACTGAAGTGGTCTGGGTGCCTATAGTGGTCCTTTAATATTGTTGAATACGATTTTAAAATGATTTGATATTTTTGAATAAAGTAAAAAAAAAATATATATTTTTTTAAACATTAAAATATCAAAACTATATATAAATATATCGAACTAATAGAAATATTTTTCAAAATGGTAAGTCATTTGAAAAGTATATCCAAAAATATGAAATCAGTTGAAAAGCCTATTTAAAAATGTTAAATCAAGACCATTATTTGTTAAAATTCTGAGTGTAGTGAATAACCCTAAATTTCTTTAATTTGCTGTAAATCCCTTCACAGCAGTGTTTTGAAGCAGAGCTTGTAGCTCCGCCTACAAGCACCATCAGTCAGAGAGCTGGGAATAACACTTCCTGTCTCACCTACCAACTAACACCAGGCAGTTGCTATTTCACTGCTGACTTGGTAGAACTTGCAGGCACTCCTCTTAATTTCCCATGGTTGCTTTTTCAAGTCTCTAGTTCGCCTCTACTTCCACTGATAATGACAATACATAATAACATAGTAATTTAAGATGTACAAAAAGTCTGTGATGTTGAATAAGTTTATATTCCCACTAATTTAGCTTTTTTTGGTTAAATCTCCTTACCACTATTAATATTAGATGATATCTCATCCTTTATATAATGCTGTTAATTAACAGGTTGTCACATCCCATTGAAGATTTCATAGTGGTAACAAACTCAACCTCTAGATTTGCAATGCATTTTGATATTAGAATATAGCCCTAATTGTTTTGCAAGCATGATATTTATTTTTGTGTGTTAATCCAACTAATATACTAAAAACAAAACAGTTGTCTTTTAATCTTTTGTTCAGCTTCCACAAACATTAAACAAGCCAGTTGTTTTGTCTGTGTGTAATACTAAAGATGTAATTTAAGCAGTTACCTTGCTTGTACCTATGGATTTACCAGTATGTAAGAGTATGAGTATAAAGGACTATTAATTGTTAAGTTGTAGTCACCCCTTACATTTTAGGTATTTGTTCATTCCCGGAGCTGTAAGTATTTATTACCATAGGATTAAGTTATAACATGATGAGCTTGTTATATTAAACCATTGATTGGTCTGTAGCAGACCTTCTGTCTCTACATATACCTCCCTAATTTCTGATCTTTTCTTTACTTATAAACTTTTTCAAGGTTTGTCCTTTTCACGTTGATGACAAGCTGTTTAGCTTTCTATCTCTGGCTCCTTTTTCGTTGCCCTCCTGTAGTCTATTTCTATATGCTCCAGTTCTTTTTTTCTCTGCTCCCTTCATCCTGTAGTTTTGATCTTCGATGAAGGAGCCATATTTCTTAGGTTTTAATTCCAACATGGGTTACAGTTCTGCCTGTTTTCGTAGTTGGTTCTAACAGGAGTTTCATGAACCATTCATGTGATCTAAAGCATGCCAAGGGTCATCTTTCCAGCAGAACCTTCTGACACAAAAAAGTTCTAGTAATAACAATGGTCCTGAATGTCCTTCTAAGTGTAGAAAATGGAAGATGAGTTGTCTAATAATGTATTGTTGTCCCTTCTAGAAGTGAAAAGTTTTATTCAGCTGTGAATGCGCCTAAATCATTGTTTGGGAGTCTGTTGTGGTTTCACCTGATACACTAGGACATGGTTTGGATGGGTAATATTTATTATATTGTATAGGAAGTGGCTCGTCTTTTGTTTGGGGAAAAAATTAAATGGTAAGATGGAGAATACCAATTAAACGCAATGTGTATAGTTATGGATAAGACAAAAAAAAGCTAGTAAATATTACTAACGGTGTATATATTCTTGACTTGTTGAAATGATTACAACCACTATAATTATTATTTTAATATGTCCATGAATTTCCCAAATTGAGTTAAAAAACCCCACAGATTTTTCAATGCTTTCAATGGCTGAACACAATGTTCTTAGATTTTTGTTTTGTTCTCCAATAACATTTATCAAATATAAACCCAATACTATTGACAAATATATCAGAGACAAAATATTTGTTTTCCAAGGTCAAAAAAAAAAAAAGATAGTGAGACGTACATCCTGGAGGTCAACTGATGTGAAGCCAACTAAGCAGTTCCAAAGTCAAACTGCAGTTCTGTGAAAGACTTGTGAATCTCACAGGCTTCCTTTAAATAAACTGCAAAGCCTTACACTTGTAGTAAAATAATAACAAAGTTACAAAATTTAGGCAAGAATACCTTTGTAATTTGATTGTTAAAAAAAAAAAAAAAAAAAGGTTTAAACAGAGAATCACTGTGAATTAATATTTATATTGCATCGTACTCATGGAACTTGTTTATTTCAATTAACATTATGTGTACACCACAGCAGACCTCATTCCATGCTTCAGTATATCATTTATCATTATCGTACGAACATAGATTTCCCAACGAGCTCATTCAAGGATAAGTGGGAGGGGGAGTTTTTTTTAATCTGTTTATTAAATTTCCCTCCTCCCACTTTTGCATTATTTTATATTTGTGCCCACATCATCATCCTTAAAGTGAACCTGCAGTGAAAAATGTCACTTACCCTAAATCGTTCCAATATATATTTAATACCCTATATGTCTCAAAGATACGTCATGTTTTCAATGAAAAATATAAAGGTTTACTCACTTCTGGGCTGTCCTCCACCCCTCCAGGACTCTTCTTTGATTTGTCCTGCTTGGGACACATCCCCAAATAGGGCAAATCAATGATGTCAGCACGCTGGCTTTGTTGCCAGTGTGCTGGCATCAGACCAGAGTGACGTCACATCACTCTGTTCCTATACGCCTTTGCCAGCAATAAAAGCGCTGGCTAGGGTGTGCGCTGTGGTTGCTATGGGTGGAGAGCAGAGGCACCTCCTGTGGGAGGTCTTTTCTTTTCTAGTCAATGCCTCGGTGCCTGAGACATTGACTGACAGCTGGGAGAAAAGACTATTTTTAAAAATGTTTTTCTCCTAATCTATACCTTTTCTAAACTGTTTGCAAAATGTATAGATAAAATCTTATGTTTAATCTAACGGGCATGGCAGGTCCCCTGTAAATTGAAAGGATGGAGACAACCTTCTATTATAGATCACTTTGAAATGTTGCTCAATACAAGCCGCACTGTTTAGGTGAAAAATAATAAAAAAAAAAAATTAAAAAAAAGCTGAGCCATTGTTGAAGCCAAATGAGTGATATCACAAGGTTAGGAGAAAGCTGTTAAAAGAAGAAGAAGAAAAATAATAAAAAAAAAAAAATCCACTTAGAAGGTGAACAAAGATGGCACACACATGATATGCAAACTAAGTAGCATAACATTTTCTTTTTAGTAGAGAAACTAACTTACTTTCTTTTAATTAGATTTGCACTTTAATGCTCATTTTATCTTGGAACATTTGTTGATGTCTAGGCATCTTAAAACGTTTAATTTTAATTTATATCATTTTAGACTGTTGAGAAAAATGCACTTAACTCTGTGTTTTATATTTATTTTCATAAGTGATATTTCTTGCAATCCTTGCTTCTTGTCACAGGGTGAAGGAATGTTACCATATTTTGGTAATTTTCGACTTCTTGCTGAATTCTCCACTCCTTTTGTTAATCAAAGGTAGTTATACGTATTCATGAGACAAATGCATGATTTTATTGTGCATGTGTAGTAAATGTGTTCTTGCTAAATTGTCCGTTGTCTTTGTGAATGAAAGGTAATTATACAAATTCATAAGATGAATGCATGATTTTTTTCTACGTATCATGTAGGCAAATTGTTTAACAAAATGTATGCTAAGAATACAAGGAATAAGTAAAATATATATGAGCCGTGAGCCCTCCTGTGTGCTTTCTTGGCAAACCACAGTTAAAATAACGGTGGGACACTCAGAGGTCTTATTGAGTTAGCCAGTTCTCTCTTGGTTTGAACAGCCATTGAATCCTTAACTGGTATTTCTATCAAGATCATGTATACAGTAACGTAAAATATGTATATAAATCTGGTAAAAGACATATGAAGTACAGAGGAAGATAAAGCATGCAGATTCACATGGAAGCAGCTAATATTTGAAAGCATTCATATCGATAAGCACTGTGTTGGTTAATTACGTAAAGCATGGCTTAATTTTTTTTTCTGCTGGTCTGCTATTTAGCCCTGTGTTTATTTTGTCTGTCAAATAGTTATATCAGTGGTTCTTTTAGACATTTTAATTTATTAGCACCTTGATGGTGAGCTTTGTGGATTTGCAAGATTCCTTTTAGCCTTTGCACGTGCTTTTACTGCTTGATTGGAATTTGGAGCCATGGACAGACCACATATAACACATAACTAAATGAATGTGAATACTTCTGATCTTTTTTTGTAAGTAGACATTTCTAGATGGCAGAATTATTAAAATATTGTGTTTAGAGTTTATTATTCCATTTTATTTACTTTATATGAATGGTGGTTTGTCCAATCTAGTATGTCTGTTAGGGAATTTCAGACTGTCTTTCTGTCCAGCAAGTATGCATCTCAAGCTTTCTTGAATACCTTTACTGTGTTAAGCCTTTATAATTAGACTGGACGATAATTTCTGGTGTTCAATACACTTTCTGTGATGTAAGAATCTAGTAGCTATACCGCTTAAGACATTAGTCCCTAACACCTTATGTTTCACATAGACCTAAAGATACAGAGTACTACTAATTGCTTTTGGATTATGTACAATGAATTCCATATGATAGAACAGTCAAAAAAAAGGAATTAAGCAAGGGTTCTAAATTTTGAAGTTACCTATTAAATAAGTCTGAAAATACAGTCATGTGTGGGTATGTTATGAATATATTGTAGGTTGAGAATGGTATTTTAAAATGTATACATGCAGTAAAGTAACCTACAAAAATGAATGTGCCAAAGCTTATTCATTACAGGTCAGGAACCCAGTCTTGGCAAATCTTGACGAATGTCTAGGTGCCCTCTACCTTTTATGTGAAGTTGATTTCCATTATTATTAAAGCTTATCGTTTAAACTCAATGTATTTTGAAATTTTCAGGTGGTTCTTAGAGGTTCTAGGATACCCCAAACACACGCTACCTAACATGCTTAATGGTATCATGATGACAATCGTCTTCTTTATAGTAAGAATAGCCGTTATACCCATCTACTACAGCCGCGTCTTTTCCACTTTTGGCACAGAAGCTTTTCACAGACTAGGACTTGGGGCACAGTGCGCTTGGATCATTTCAAGTGTTTCTCTGGACATTATGAATGTCATGTGGATGATCAGAATTACCAAGGGGTGCATCAAAGTTCTCTACCACAGTGATGGGATATTGAACAAAACTCAGAAAAATGGAAAACTTGAATAGAAGGAACATATTTATAATGTCTTCCAACCAGCAACTGTTGGGGACTGACCCGTAATCTGCATGTCTTATTTTCCACCTTCCATCAGATGCATTTTTAGAGATTTGAATAGCGGGGGCGAACAATTGGTATGGTTCTCAAATAATAAAATATGTCCATTATAATATGTTTGTATGTTTATAACCGCCTGCACACTAACCACAGATGCACTAAATTCCAAAGACCTAATTATTATTTTTCTCACAAATAAATTATAATTGGGGTTTTAATAAAAAAGGTCTATATAAGGCATGACGAAAGCAATATTTCCATTTTATAAGAGAGGTTTAACCCCTTAAGGACACATGACGGAAATATTCCGTCATGATTCCTTTTAATTATTATTATTAATATTATTATTATGATATTTATAGCGCGCCGTCAAATTCCGCAGCGCTTTACAATGGGTGGACGAACAGACATGTAGTTGTAACCAGACAAGTTGGACACACAGGAACAGAGGGGTTGAGGGCCCTGCTCAATGAGTTTACATGCTAGAGGGAGTGGGGTAAAATGACACAAAAAGGTAAGGATGGTATCAGACTAATGACAGTTGCAGAATAGGAATCAGAATTTTATTTCTGAAGTTGTGTCCTTAAGGGGTTAAAGAGTCCAGAAGTGTGAATTCAGCAGGTGATGCCTGTTGATTACCCCTGTCAGACACATATGATAAATGGTGAGGTCCTTCTGATGACCATTTTAAGAGCCTGGTTTTAATGGAGGACGGCTGTTATCAATGATCACTTTATTCAGGTTATATGTGAAATAGGTCAATCACTGTTCAGCGTCAGGATGTGACGGGCAATAACTGCAGGTATTTAACTGTGATATATTGTGTTGTTTTTTTTTTCTTCTATTGTCATACACTTAGGTTCGATAAGAAACCTTTACATTCCCATGTCTTCTTGGCTAACAAATTTATATTGCCTTGAATTGATCTGTAGACGTAACATGAGACTGGAAAAATCGCCAATGACTTTCAACATGGGCCAGTAAAAATACTATTCTCATCGCCAAAAATGCATGATCCACTCCAAAGGAAATTAGCAATGATGGATCTTTTATTTTAGAGAATCCTATAAATCTCCGCGTATATATCTTCGCATCAAAGTACATATACCTCCAAGGGGATTTTGTTACTCCTGAATATTTAAAGTTGCAAGGGAAGGGAAGTTGGTGGTAAACTGCTAGGTAGCAACGTTAATTACTAATTGTTATTAATTCATTTGGAACTATTACATTCTCTGGGAATAAATGGAAATAAATGAATAAAAAAGGCACCTTCAATGAGCAAGTTCCATACCTGTGTGTTACTAGCAGGTAGATAATATATTCTTCACTCAGGATTTTTTTATAGTGCTAATTTTATAAATCTATGTATGCTTTGAGAATCTGTATTGTTTAAAATGTTTTGTTGGTGTTGAAAAAAAAAAAACAACAAAAAACAAACAAAAAAAACAACAACCAATCTTGGCATGCTTAGTCATTATTTCAATCAACTAAAAAAATATTGGTTTACTTTTTCGATTGAACCTTTAGTTCGATTATGTGAGTGAGCCATATATTTTTTTTTTCATTACTTTACTTGTAGTATTTAAATTTCTTCATGCATGAGCCAAGTACTTTAGGAATTTTGTTTTATTATGTCATCAAATGACATTCCGTAAACTTTGAGGTTTATTCCCTTAGGTAGGAATTGTGGAGAATTGTCAAAGGCATTGCAAAATATAGACAAAAATAGATTAGGAAAAGTGTCCGTTGCAACTGTTTTTTTTTCCAGTTCAGCCTAAAATTTGCATTTCACCATCAATTAGGTGGATACATCCCACTAGGATGTGATGTGACTTGACCAATGTGTAACTAATACGTAGGTAAAAATAAATGAGCCTGAGATTTATGTCCAACACAAATATTTGGATCACAAGCATACAACTCTGTTGAAGAACTACCACAGCTGCGTGTTGGGTGAATAAACCTCTTTATTGTATTTTTTTTCCATTGCGTTGCACTTTGACAAAAACTAAAATGTTTGTAAACAAAAATGGAGTTATTCATGAATTGTTTCCTTTCGATAGGAGGGCAATAACTGAAAAAAAAAAAGAAGTTTTATTTTCGTAAATCTCTTAATGTCCAATAACCGTTTATTGAAGGAAATGCAACATGGCATTTAAAGGATTAAATGTAATTTTTTTTGTCTGTGTGTTGGTGTACCACATCTGGGCAGCTCCAAGGTCTGTATTTGAGTTTCGCCCATTTCAAGTTTACTATGCTATTTTGAATAAGAAATGCAATAAAAGTTGAACTCTTGACTGGCCTCACTTGTATTCTGTTGAAATTCTAATATCCTGAGCTTTTATGTATTTCCAGGTAATTTTGTGATTAGCTCTAAAATATTGACTCCGCGATATATATATATATATCAGGTCTACTCTCACTTAATTTCAAGATCAATTGCTCCTGTATATATCCTTTGGATTATGGACTTGTGTATAGAGAAATGTTACCTGACTTTCTCTATTGTCTATCCAACAGGCACCTTCCAACAATAATATCTAAGGAGATATAAAACAAATATAGGTTTACAGGTGAAAAAAATAAATCCATGATAATTTTTTTCCTTGTCATTTGATGTACAAATATATCTCCTTGTGATATAATTACAAGAGGAAACATTTAAAGGGCACCTGTCATGGCTCAAACTATTTTTACAATTTTTCTTTTTTAAACCATCATATTTCATCCCCAACTGTTTTGATAGGAAATGTATAGATTTGGAGAAAAAAACTATTTAAAAACTGGTCTTTTTCCTAGCTGTCAATGAACTATTTGGCAAAAACTTAATGCCAAATAATTGAATGACCGGAATAACAGAAGAGACCTTCCACAAGTGGTCCTTCTGCACTCCATGTATTGCAACCACAGCATGTGTGCTGTAGCTGCTAAGGAAACTTCCTAGCGACACTAGAGGGTTCTAGTTCTCTACTAAACATAAGTTTGATTATATGTACAGGTGCAAGAAAAAATATGTGAACCCTTTGGAATGAAATGAATTTCTGCACAAATTGGTCATAAAATGTGATCTGATCATCATCTAAGTCACAACAATAGACAATCACAGTCTGCTTAAACTAATAACACACAAAGAATGAAATGTTGCCATGTTTTTATTGAACACACCATGTAAACATTCACAGTGCAGGTGGAAAAAGCATGTGAACCCCAAGACTAATGACATCTCCAAGAACTAATTGGAGTGAGATGTCAGCCAACTGGAGTCCAATCAATGAGATAAGATTGGAGGTGTTGGTTACAGCTGCCCTGCCCTATAAAAAACACACACCAGTTCTGGGTTTGCTTTTCACAAGAAGCATTGCATGATGTGAATGATGCCTCGCACAAAAGAGCTCTCAGAAGACCTACGATTAAGAATTGTTGACTTGCATAAAGCTGGAAAGGGTTATAAAAGTATCTCCAAAAGCCTTGCTGTTCATCAGTCCACTGTAAGACAAATTGTCTATAAATGGAGAAAGTTCAGCACTGCTGCTACTCTCCCTAGGAGTGGCTGTCCTGTAAAGATGACTGCAAGAGCACAGCGCAGACTGCTCAATGAGGTGAAGAAGAATCCTAGAGTGTCAGCTAAAGATTTACAAAAGTCACTGGCAAATGCTAACATCCCTGTTAGCGAATCTACAATACGTAAAACACTAAACAAGAATGGATTTCCTGGGAGGATACCACAGAGGAAGACACTGCTGTCCAAACAAAACATTGCTGCACGTTTACAGTTTGCACAAGAGCACCTGGATGTTCCACAGCAGTACTGGCAAAATATTCTGTGGACAGATGAAACCAAAGTTGAGTTGTTTGGAAGAAACACACAACAATATGTGTGGCGAAAAAAAGGCACAGCACACCAACATCAAAATCTCATCCCAACTGTGAAGTATGGTGGTGGGGGCATCATGGTTTGGGGCTGCTTTGCTGCGTCAGGGCCTGGACGGATTGCTATCATCGAAGGAAAAATGAATTCCCAAGTTTATCAAGACATTTTGCAGGAGAACTTAATGCCATCTGTCTACCAGCTGAAGCTCAACAGAAGATGGGTGTTGCAACAGGACAATGACCCAAAGCATAGAAGTAAATCAACAACAGAATGGCTTAAACAGAAGAAAATACGCCTTCTGAAGTGGCCCAGTCAGAGTCCTGACCTCAACCCGATTGAGATGCTGTGGCATGACCTCAAGAAAGCGATTCACACCAGACATCCCAAGAATATTGCTGAACTGAAACAGTTCTGTAAAGAGGAATGGTCAAGAATTACTCCTGACCGTTGTGCACGTCTGATCTGCAACTACAGGAAACGTTTGGTTGAAGTTATTGCTGCCAAAGGAGGTTCAACCAGTTATTAAATCCAAGGGTTCACATACTTTTTCCACCTGCACTGTGAATGTTTACATGGTGTGTTCAATAAAAACATGGCAACATTTCATTCTTTGTGTGTTATTAGTTTAAGCAGACTGTGATTGTCTGTTGTTGTGACTTAGATGATGATCAGATCACATTTTATGACCAATTTGTGCAGAAATCCATATCATTCCAAAGGGTTCACATACTTTTTCTTGCAACTGTATATTTTCTGTAGCACAAGTTTATGAAGGAAAAAAGTATAAAGCAAGTGAAGATTACATTCCTAAATCTTGTACATCTGTGGATTTCCTATTGTTCCTATTGCAGAGAGAGTTCCATATACCATACTTCCTAATGCTTTTTTTTTCATTGTTAGAGTGACACCTAGTGGTATACAGTCCATAATACAAAACCTAAATACCCCTTATGTATGCCAAGTTTTGAACTGTTCCTAATATGGTTGTTGGGTAAGAATTATTAAACTTTAATATACGTAGGGAAATTAAAGGTGCAGTATGTATTCAAAGCCAAACCCCTACATTGGGCAAATGTATTCCTATAAGTTGCATTTGGGTTTAATTTAATGTCGACTGTCTTTGCAGCCATGTGACTAATAGATATAGTGTTAATTATGCCTTTGCCAACATAAATCCAATATACAATTACATGATTATTTAATAAAGTGAGAATTCAAAGTGAATTTCAAATTAAAGAGTTTCTCTAAGCACTGTGACCACTTCAGCGATTTAAAGTGGTTTTCGTGCCTGGAGTGTGTATGTGTTTTTTCACTTTGAAATCCATCATTTTAGCACTTATTAAAAGTATTGTTAAACAATTTCTGGCAATAGATCAAAAGGTTCAAATTATGATTGTGTCCACTTTGTTTGAATTAAAGCTGTTAAACAAAAACAAACCTTTTCAAAAGAAAACTGTAAAAATCTGCAGTGGAAGAAAGTGAAAAATTGGCTAAAATCCAAATAATTTAATCAGAGTTTAAGACTATGTTTCTAATTATTTTTAAGTTTGTAGATTGGTATAACGCAGTCTTGAATATGGAAAGATAATGATAAGTCTTTTAAAACACCATGCTGGTATCACAAATACAGTGCCCTTCAAATTACTGTGTGTTGTTGTTATGATGCCAGGAATACCCAAGCTCACCTCCTAGTATTGTGGCAAACCGTGTACTCTCTTACCTGGGACTCTGCCAGGAACTGAGAGCCCTCTGTGGCCAGATGCTGATCCTACCAGCCTTTCACAAGAGCATCAGCTAACAAATAACAGCCAGTTAATGCAACTGTGCTTAGAATATGCACAGAATTGACATTAGCCTGCCCAGAACTCAGGCTAATGATGTCCCAATGACACTGCTGGAGGTGGAGTTACATGTCTGGTAGGAAATGGGTTCAATTCTGTGTGTGTAGTATTTCAGAGTGAAAAGGCTCCAGGCACCAGAATACTGATATCATGTTGCTTGGAGTAATCATTTTAACCCCTTAAGGACACATGACGTGTGACATGTCATGATTCCCTTTTATTCCAGAAGTTTGGTCCTTAAGGGGTTAAATCTCTTGAGAAAGACAACAGACTTTTTTGTGTTAATACGTTTTTTATTTGGAGTGCATAATAAAATCAAACATATTACACGCGCAAAGACTTGTGTTTGCCTGCACAAAGGCATAGCAGGTCAACAAAAGATTACATCACAGTAGTGAACTTTCACAGGGGTGCATGGTGACCTAAAATGAACGATTAGGTGTTTGATCTAGCGTCTTTGGACGCCAAACAACTGTGTATGACAGAGGTATAGGAAGCGATTGAGAGGCATAGGAAGCGATTGAACAATAAAAATGATAAGGCAGGTAGATTATGCATGTGCTAGGCCCAATAGGACGCCTGACCCTGGTCTAACTCCCACACCTGCCCATGCCTCCCCCCCTACAGTCCCTTCAGCACAGTGGGCACTCAGGTGCCTAGAGTCCCCATGACCCCCCTCAAAGTCTGCAGATCCAGTGCCCCCTGCACCTTACCAGCACTGGCAAAGTTCTGCAAGGTTTGGCCAGATGCCTCCGCATGTCTCACCCATCATCACCCACATGCGAGACAAGAAGGATGCCACCGGTCCGCAGGAGGCCAGCACCACCTTGTTTCACCAGGTTCATAACGGTGGTGACATCTCTCTCCAGGTTCCCACAAGCAACCTAGATGCCGAGGACCCAGACTCTCTGGCTCTTGCCACTCATGCGCATTTGGATCTGACGTTGGCAGAGGGTGGAGAGTTCACCACCACAGAGGGAGCCCAGTGCTGGAGAAAGGTAAGTGGCTGAAGGGGTTTTAACCCCTTCAGCCCAGCGGGAGGAGGGCCCTGAGGGTGGGGGGAACCTAATGACCCTATAGTGCCAGGAAAACAAGTTCGTTTTCCTGGCACTATAGAGGTCCTTTAATATAAGTAATATTTTATTTTTTTCACTTCCCCCTTCTAGCTCCATCTTATGAACTGTTTGCTTGTGTGTTTTTTTTTCTCTTCCCCCTCACTCTGTGATCTTCACACAAAAATATTTACAACCCTCTGCAATAATGGTGTCTATTTTCTATCAAACCATGTTGTCTTATCTGGGTCCCAAATCGTCTGTGGTGGCGTGGAGGCCTTTAATTAATAGAACAATTCCAGGAAACAGGAGCAGGAAAAGTAAATGAAAATTGCAGTCAGGCAGCTGGCAGAAGTAGTCGATCAATCTGGAGTTAGGTCAGAAAGCAGGCGGGAGCAATCGTCCAGGGAATCAAGGATGAGGAACCAGGAACATAAGCTAGAAATTAGGGCAATAGGCAGGTATAAAGCGATAAGCAAAATAACCAAGCACTCACTGGAAGGTGTGCTGGGTTTAAATAGGTGGCTGGAATCACATGACCGGCCACCTCCTAACAGTAGGTAGAGCACACGGGTTATATTAAGAGGTCAGGGACTTGGCACCATCTTGTTTTACACCATGATCTCTGACCTATTCCTCCCCATATGGATCTGCAGCTCTCTTCCTTCTCCCTGTGCAAAACGCCGGGTCCGCATGGTGCCTGCCATCTTGCCATGACGACGTGCTCGCGACAGACCTAGGCGGTGAGAGGGATAAAATAAGCCACCGCAGACCCGAAAGGGGAGCCTTCAGGAGTGGTGAGAACTGTGATTCTGCCGCGGGGGGCGGCACAGGCGCCCAGGGGCAGGTGAGTACCCGGCCGTGCCGTGACATTTAGACTTGAGAAAGGAAGGTTCCTTCATGTTGCAAGGATCTGTACATAATTCCTAGAAGCTGAAAACATCCCAGTTCTTGCATGGCCAACATACTCACCGGACATGTCACCCATTGTGCATGTTTGGGATGCTCAAGATCGACCTATACGCCAGCGTGTTTCAGCAACTTCGCACAGTCATTGAAGAGGAGAGACCCAACATTCCACAGGCCCCAATCAACAACATGATCAACTCTATGCGAAGGAGATGTGTTGCACTGCGTGAGGCAAATGGTGGTCACACCAGATGCTGACTGGTTTTTGGACCCCCCTAGACCTCACATTTTAGAGTGGCATTTTATTGTGGCCAGCCTAAGGCACACCTGTGCAATAATCATGCTGTCTACTCATCATCTTGATGTGCCACATCTGTGAGGTGGATGGATTATCTTGGCAAAGGTGAATTGCTTACTAACAAAGATTTAGACAGATTTGTGAACAATATTTGAGAGAAATAGGCCTTTTGTGTAGATAGAAAAAGTCTTAGATCTTTGAGTTCAGCTTATGAAAAATCGGGGCGAAGACAAAAGTGTTGCGTTTATAATTTTGTTCAGTGTATATACACACACGTACATATATATATATATACACATGCAGATACACATATACACACACTGGCACACATGCAGATACAAACACTGACACAGATATAGACACGCAGATACAAACATTGACACACATGCACAAACAATGACATAAATACACATATAGACACAAACTCACAAAGACATACAGATATAAACACTGACACAGAAACAAACACTGACATAAATGCAGATGTACAGATATACAGACTGACCCATAAGGTTGGACAGACACACATATACAAACATGCAACACATGCAGACACACACACACACACACACACACACTGACATGCATGCAGATACATATACACAGATGCAATCACTGATACAAATACAGATACAGACACACAGATACAAACACTGCCACACATGCAGATTCACAGATACATAGCCACAAATACACAGACACACTGTATCTGTGTATCAGTATGTCTGCTTATTTGCATGTGTCAGTGTATGTGTGTCTGTATTTGTTTCAGTGATTACATCTGTATAAATGTATCTGCATGTGTGCCAATGTTTTTATCTGTGTGTCTGTGCATATGTATGTGTGCCTATGTGCCTGAATGTGTGTTGGTGTGTCTGTGCAACTGCATGTGTGTCATGTGTATCAAACACTGCCACACATAAGGATACATAGACACAGATGCAAATACTGACACATATAGTTGCACAGACACACGGACACACAAGCAGATACACATTTTTGCGTACCCCCAGGGAAACTGTATTGTACACCTGGGGGTAAGCAAACCACAGTTTGGGAACCCCTAACTAGAATTGTACAGAATTAGTGAACCCAGGACATACTTGAAAACGAGAGAAATCTCAATGTATCCATCCTGGTAAAATATTTTATAAATAAATAAAAAAGAAATGTTCTGCTTTATTCATTAAGCTGGAAATTGTTGTTGTTGCAGGAATAGCAGGAATAAGCCGCAGAAGCCACACACAGAGAAATGGAAGCAGGTTCGTTCAGGAAGAAAAAGGTCTTTATTGTTACCGATCGGGTCTCAGATGAACTCCTGTTCTAAAAATATCTGAGCCCAGAGCATAGTTTGCACAGGCTATTTATTAACAATAACTCCTCCTATTCCTAGCTTCACTCACACATACCCTTAGACCAATCAGTGAACAGGATATTCAGGATCACCACATATGTGCAGACCGTATGACTCCTTTTAAGGATAAAGGAATGTGACTACAGTTGATGCACATGCTCAGTACATTGATGACAGTATCTTAGCTACATGTAACTAACTAACAGATACAACAAACACCTGTACTTGTATATGCCACATGGAGATTTCAGGCCTACTAAATTTTGAACCATGTTGAAATCCCATCACATTGTGATTTAACTTCCAATTATAAAACTGAGCAATATATGATAACAGCTGAGTTGGAGACATTTTCAAGATCAGTTCTATTTTCCTCAACTTTGCAACTCAAAATTTTAATTCAAAGTTCAGTAAATGCAATTATAAAATGACAATTGTCAAGAATTCAATTTTTTTTTTTTTTTTTTAAATATTAGATCAAAATATCCACACTGGAAACACAGTTTTCCAATCCAGATATGTGGGTATAAATGTTTAAATTCACTCTGCATGCCTATCAATTCATATTTCAGTGGATAACCCATAGGTCAAAAAAAAGAAACCAAAAACCTCCTACATCAAAGTGAGGCTTGGTACGTGCTGAACAATAGAAATATACTTACCCTAACCTTGGTTATGAGAACATTAAGTTACACAGCCACATAAACCATGAGAGCCAATCCATGTTTTGGTTCATGAGCTTTTACTGTTATCTACTAGAAAAAACAACAACTGTTTATTAAATTACACCGCATTAGCGAGGCCAGTGTTTACAACCTAAAACTAATGAACTTGTGTCTCTAGCATTTTGCACTCTATGATGTCACCACCGTGCGCGGCTTGCCGTCCAGAACGAGGCTTGACACGCTGCTCGTCCCCTATGCTTGGTTTGTGGCGTCAGAGACGCGCGACTCCTCGTGCCAGCTTAGAGGTTGCCTGGTTTGAAGCCTGTGGCAGTCGGGATTTGTCCCATGTAAGTAGATGGCTGTGAAGGAGACATGTTGTTTTATTTTTGGTAATGTTTTGGTGTATCTTGTTTGGATATTAACCTACATACTGTAGGGAGTATGATAACCACCTCACTGCCAGTGACCTCTGGGAGAATTGGCCATGGCTTTTACTGTAGGGACTAATTTAATAGACTCAAAGTTATTTACACTTAACTGTCAGTCACCAAGATTAATCTCTTCATCTGCTGTGACAGCTGCTGCTTCATATATATTTTTATATTAAGCCTGAGTATTAAATGGTTTTTACTCAGCCATGTATGGTACATTGCACATTGTTTTGTTTATGTTATGGTTAATTAAACTGTAGGTTTCCTGTCTGACCTTGGGTTGTTGTTTTTGTTGTTGTTGTGGAAATGTCAGTTATGTATAAGACATTAATCTTGTGTATGTATATATTTACTTTGTTAAACTCAGGAATGTATATAAAGTACATTAAATGTTTTTTTTAATAAAATAAATGTCTTTGTGTGTAGACCCATACATACATACACACACATACATACATACATACATACATACATACATACATACATACATACACACAAAAAGCTGAACTTGGTGACTATGATGTGAAGAAATTGAAACTCTTTCACCAATTTTATAACTGAGGTGGGCAAACGTCAGGCCCCTAGTCGGGTTACATACATAATGAGAGTTATGGCTCTGCAGATGTGGGTCTACTTATTGGCCACTTTTGATAAATCATGTGGGTTTGTTGGTCTACTCTATTGGGCCACTTCAAATACACAAAAAATACTTGAAAGGAAAGTGCTAGTGTAAGCAAACATAAGCGTTGCTCAAAAAGAAGAGTGTCTGAATTGTGACTTGTTAAGGAAAGTTAAGATCATTACTTCGCACTTTGTTTAAAATGATTTATGTATTTCCAATTTAAAAGCAATATAATTAGTATTCCTGTATGAAGTTATTTCCTGACCTTTGTTATTTCAGACCTTTGCTGCAAGTGTGTTCCATAACTGTCATTTAATTATTATTTATTATTTGATAGTGAACAGATATGGGTGCGTCAACATCAGCTTCAACAACTCTGCCGATCTCAACAGTACCAGAACAAACGAAAACTTCATTATCTCCACCACCAGGATGCCCCATGCATCAAAAGGATATGTCAGGTACCAATTAATTTGGAAATTATGAAAAAATGATTTTCCTTAGCCTCAGTGTTTTGGTTGATCATTTAGTTTCTATCTGCACTACAGATTATTGTAAAGAGTCATACATAATATGTTCAGCAAATCTTGTACCATATTAGAGTGATCAATGAATGCTTTGTTTGACGTGTTGTATGCAAATTGTTGTTTATTTTTAAAGCAATGATAATTGTTGGTTGTACATCAGTGGGTAGCTTAATTTTAGTGTACATCTGACTAGCAGTGTAAATTTAGTTTTAGTCCTAATCTTTTGACTAAAAAGCCATTTTAGTTTGTCGTATTTTAGTCATCTGTATTGTTTTAGTTGGCTAAATCTAAAAAATTTAAGTAGACTAAAATTTGACTAGAATTGTTAGTCGACAAAATTAACACTAGGTTGCATGAGTCATCTAATTACAAGGCATTAAAGTGAACTTGCCTTGGAAGAAAATCGAGGTTTGCAGATTTCTAACCATCTGGCTTGACTCATTTTATACAATTATGTGTTTCTTCCATTAATATTGTTAAAAAGATCTTTTTTTCTTTTTTTTTTTTAGGGATTCTATAGTCACCAGAACAACTACAGCTTTATGTATTCTGTTTTTTATAGTATGTCCTTTAAGTACAGTTCAGAGAAAAGGCAGTGTTTACATTGCTGCCTAGGGGATACCTCTACTGGTAGTCACTCGGATGCCCACTAGAGGTGCTTCTTGGGTCAGTGCTGCACAGTACGCAGCACTTCCTTGGTCAATGAATCTCTATGAGGAGATGCTGATTGGGTGCACTGCAGTGTTTTGCCGTTAGCTTTCCAATTCTTTCTTTTAGGAAAGCATTGGATTGGCTGAGATCATCAAATTTGATGGTCTCAACCAAGGTGAATGGATCCAACTGTGGCGGACCAGCGTGGCACTGGGATAAATGTTAAGTCTCCAACACTTTTTTTTTTGGGGGGGTCTTTGTGTATATAAAACTTATGTTCTCTCTCTCCATTTTCCAATTGCTTGTCCAAATTTGCTGCAATAAATCATTCTGGCTGTTTCTCTCCTCTCTTCCACATAGCCTGCTCCTTCTACTTCTTCTCCCTGCAGGCATTGGTTTTCCTTTGACTGAATTTGAGCAGGAGAGATGCTTAGAGGGTTTTCCTGATAATTGACAAGCAGAGCACAGCTTTCTCATCTGTGTGCCGTTTGCATAGGTCCAGCTTAGACTGAACTGACTAATAGGAGGAAAGGGCATTTTTTAGCCTCTGATTTTAGATAAATCTAGACATTTTCTAGCAATTCTGCTAGCACAATGTACAGATGAAATTAAATTCTCTATCATTCATTTAAAGCAGGGCTTGACAAATTTGTTTATATTATAGGAGCCAGCTAAAAAATTAGGAGCCATTTTTTTATTTTTATTTTTTTTTGTTAAACTAACAAAGTTTACGAGAAAAATGCAATTCTTAAAGGGACACTAAAGTCACCAGAATCGCTAAAGTTTAATGTAGTTGTTCTGGTGTCTATAGCCTCTCCCTGCAGGCTTCTCAATGTAAGCCCTGCCTTTTCAGAGTGACTGCCACTTAGTTGACCACTAAAATTCTAGGTCAGAGCTGCACAGTGTGCAGCACCCACGTTCAGCATCTCCAAGCTCAACATGGAGGTGCTGAATGTTTTCATTGAGATGCAATTATTTAATGCATCTCTGAGGAGAGTGCTGATTTGCACAGCGTATTTTGCTGGGCATGCACAATATGCTCCCAGTGTTTTCCTATGGTAAAGAATTGGCTTACAGGACCACTATAGGCACTCAGATCACGTCAGCTCAATGAAGTGGTCTGGGTGCCAGATCCCTCTAGTGTTAACCCTGCAGCTGAAAACAGTGAGGGTTAATCCTGCCTCTAGTGACTGTCTCACTGCCAGCCGCTATAAGCGCTTCTGTGCTTCTCACTGTGAAAATCACAGTGAGAAGACGCTGGACGTCCATAGGGAAGCATTGAGAAATGCTTTCCTATGGACAGTCTGATAGCGCGCTCTTGCCGCGCATGCGCATTCGGCGCTGACGTCTGCAGAGGGAGGAGAGTTCCCCAGCACCGAGGGAGCCTGCCGCTGAAGGGGTTTTAATCCCTTCAGCCCAGCGGGAGTAAGACCCTGAGGGTGGGGGACCTAAAGACCCTATAGTGGCACTATAGTGGTCCTTTAACTGAGATTATTGATTACATCAGCCATGGAGGTGGCAAAACTGGCACGGCGTGGGAAAAAAGGTGAGTAAAAACACCTTTCCTATTCAATTGGAGGGGGCAGATACCTATGACAGACAGACAGACAGAGACACACACTTTAATTTAAATTCACCCAGCCTCCCTACCTTTGGGAAAACAGAGTGGATCTTTCCCTGGGGTCCAGTGTGCTGCTCTCTAATCTTTCTGCACTTCCTCTCTGCTCCCCTGCACGCTCTCTGTAATGATACCGGGGCCGTAGTGACGTCATATTCCAGCTCCCGCCATCACTAAACAGCGCCTCCAAGCTCCCCTCGGCGGCCAGCCAGCCAGCTTCAGTGTTTCCTGCACAGCTTAGCTAAAGGGCTGACAAATCCCAGGCGCCAGGCCGAACATTTTAGCCAACCTGGCGCTTAGGATTTGTCGACCTCTGATTTAAGGGAACACTATAGGGTCAGGAACACAAACATATATTCCTGATCCTATAGTGTTAAAAACACTATCTAAATATTAAATCATTTGAAAATATTTTCCAAAAATATTAAATGGCGACCAAAGTTGGTATTAAAGCACAGGTTTTAGGCTTATCAGGTCATATTCTTCACTCTGTAACTTTATTTTGGTCATTTTTCTATACCATGTTGTTAAAATTCTATACATCTAAATGCATGGTGATTTAAGATAAAACCATTATATGTAAAACCACGCAAAATGAATTGTATCAGTACAAATGCCCAGCGGCCTCCCCCCCTCCCCCCTTTTCTTTTTTTCTCCACAGTTTTCTACGCATTCATCTATTCAGCTCTTTTATCGCATAATTTATTTTAATGTGTTTAAATTAGAATTATCCTTTTTAGAGAAATACAGCTGACCGTATTAAATGGGAACTGTAGGTTCCCAGGTTTGGTTTTTGTATATGTATTTGTGAGTTATTGAAAAATAGAATTCACAAATAAATATTTGCACCTCTTCATCCTGCACCTGGGCATCTTTATTGTCTTCATCTTTGCACCTGGCAGTCCGCGTGGAGAAAGCATACAGAGAAAATGAGAAATCCCCTTTTAATTTGCCATGTGTGCTCTGGCTTTGCCTTGTCTGAACTAAGTCATGATGTAATTTGCTAAATCTTTAAAGGAACACTCCACACTAAAATTTGTGGAAGGGGGGGAAGAAAAAATAATCACTGTTTTTTTTTTTTTTTTTTTTTCATGAATGTATATCTTAAAATAGCTCATGGGTTGAGAGTGTCAGATGTTAAAGCCAAAAAGTAATTTTCCTATGAAGTGCCCCGCATCATAGTTAATATAGCAAGTAGGTTCTCGCATTTGGTATTTGTGGCTCAATCCCAAACAAGGTAGTAAGTGTAGAGCAATTGCTGCATAGCAAGGGCAGTTTGCTTAATTCAATGCCTACAAATGGCATCTAGATGCACGCTAAGCAGACTATTCAAGCAAATTCGGTACTTCGGTACTACGCTACAATAATCAGAAGGCTGCAGTAAATGGGATGTATTTATGTAATTTGCCAGAAGATGTCACTATTTTCTCAGCATGCATGTTATGTTGCAATCGTAAAATAGAAAAAGGAAAAAAAAACAAAGAAACGTAATGACTGACTAAAATCTATTTCCCCAATACCTATCTTTTTTGTTTTTCTTCTTCTCTCTTCTCCCACCCCCTTTATCAAAGGCAAGACTGTATTGGCCTTCAATGGTAATTACATAGGATAAGTGATTCCCTACACAGAGCTTGCCAACTGCAACCTGCCCAAGGGATCATGGAAAATAAATAGCCACAACTTGAACTGAGTCAAGTAGGGATAAAACCACATCACCGCCCATATTAATTTGAAAGGGAAAAAAGTTTGTTCCCCTCCCCTCTTTCCTCTCACCCCCTCCCTCTCTACACACACCTTAAGAAACAAAAACACACAAAGTAAGAAGCAAGTTGTCATGGTGTGAAGAGGACCCAGTCTGCCCTTGCACCTCCCATTAATGAATGAGATATATACCTTTTTACTTCTTTTAGCTTCTCAGCGGCACTTGATCCGATGCTTCCCCATTGAAGCCTCAGGCATTGAGAGGATGTTCAGGGGAGAGTGACTGGGCGCCATCGTCCAGACTTTGAGGTTAAACCGTTCATTTCTGGAGAGAAGACTGTGTCTGGTACTCCCTTGCACTATAGCAACTTAATTGCAATTAAGTTGTCATGGTACCTGGATTATCCCTTTTAATTTTGCATACCAAGTTCCATTGATGTGTGTGTGTGTGTGTGTGTGTGTGTGTGTGTGTGTGTGTGTGTGTGTGTATGTTTCCTATAAATACTCACAAGTGATTGTTTTAAAATTTGTAATTTTTGTTTAGGTTAAATAAAAGAAGAAATTCTCTGAGTAGAATAGCATAATTTTAGTGATTAATTAAGTATATCAATGTTTGTTTCCTAGAAGAAACAAAAATCTCTGAAAGAAATTAACATAGTATGTTCACTTGCTGCATGTTTCAATTTTAACTGGGTCACAGTGCATTAAATGACCGTTATAAGAGCATATTCATCAATACTCTCACCCATTCCAGGCATATATTTTTTTTATTTTTTTTTACGAGGGCTTTTTGCTTACTGTTACTATTTTCTTTGGAATTTGTAATGTTCATGTTTTACTTACCAAGTCGTTGCTATTATATCTTTTCCTTTTCCTAATTGTTGCAGGATGCCCAATGAATAAAGAAACCCCAGAAACTGCCGTTGCCGATGCCAGCTGCTCTGGTCCATCACATCAGGAAAGGGCGTATGAGTTTGTCGGGTGTCCAATGAAAGTGCAAAACAAAGATGACATTGATCCCAGCAATATGGTAAGGTGTTAACCTTGTGAAATAATTTCCCTTGTCTCATAAACAGTTATTGTTTGTTACTAATTTATAGCATATAAGGAAGATGCTAGAATGTTTTGCTATTGCTTCACAGTGAATAAAATGCAAATTGTACTAGTGAAAGTTGCTTGCAAATGTATAAATTCAGAATTTGTTTTTGGTTAGCTTACTTACATGTGATGCAGCTCATGTACATGTGATATATACGGTTTAGCGGGGATAATCAAATTTACATATTGTGTCTAATGTGTCTGGCACAATATTTAAAGTGGTAAAATAGAAACATCTTTTATTTTTATAAATGGGGTAGCACAATAAATGGCTAGCTTTTTCTTGGCTATTCAGTTTGACACGTGCCTGTTCTACTTTAAATATGTACACTGGTCTCTAAATAACAATATGCTTTTAGTAGAAATTAAATTGTTTGTTTGTCTGTGACGTATTTTGGAATTTTGCATATTACACTTGATTATTTCCATCACTAATAATGAATGATTTTTTTTTTTTTAAATAATTGTATCAGCTACTGCAGTATGATAAAGTCTTTACTAATCAGGGCATAAAAATTAATATTTTTTTTTTTTTTTGAGAGCGTATCTTACTATAATTAAATTATCTTTCCGTTTGCCGTAGATGATGCCACAAACATTTAATGTCTATCGGTTAATTGTTTGCATATGAACTCTGTAAATGTGTAAACAACTGCTCCAAGCAGATTTTTCACATTATTAGTACATTGATTAGTAACAAGTTTACTTGGAGTCTATGAGTTTTAACAAAGTACTGGTACATACCTGTTCATAAAAATACAGTGTGGGACATTTATCAAAGTTTTGGGGAAGTCGTTAAGAATCTGTTCCACTTTATCAAGCAACTATTCAAATATTTTGGATTATATTAAAACCTAAAAAAATAGAACACTTTTTATGTGAACAAGAATAAGGTTAAATGTTAATTAATGGAATATGGTATCTAAACCATAACACACCAGGAAAATAAGATGGAAAACATGTAAATGTAGCAGTAGAAAAAGGCAGAATTGATAATTTTGCCAAAAAAGTCACATAAAGGGAGCAGATATTTGTGTGACACTGTAATAGACCCCCATTCTGGCCAGTATCTTTAGAAGGTGGATAGAGTGGGTGTAGGCCTGTGAGAATAGATCACTGCGAGGTCCTACTTGGGGCCTTGTTTATCATCCTGATAGTATCTTGGCTACCCACGGGAGAATATACTGCACTGGGGGCACACTATCCATTTTCCTTCTTTGGTCCTCAACTGGTAGCATATATTCGAGACTTGGGCAGGCCTGCTGTAGTGGTAAAGAAATATAACAGAACTGCTATCGACAGACTTCAGGTATGGTGTGCTACTGGTTAATTAAAGGCTTACTCCAAGCCCAATGACCAAATTTAGTGACTTGAAGTGGTCATGGTGCTTGGACTGTGTTATTAATTAATTAATTTATTTATTTTTTCCTCTGATAATTTTCTTAAATTTGTATAATGTTTTCCATTTTAGATGCCTCCTCCGAATCAGTGTCCAGCTCCAGATCAACCATTCCCTCTTGGTTTGAACCGTGAAGAATCCACCATTCCGCGTGCTGACAGTGATAAAAAATGGGTTTATCCTTCTGAACAAATGTTCTGGAATGCAATGCTAAGGAAGGGGTAAGTGCCATAGTTCTGTAAAACTAGTATGTGGGCTTGTGTGTATGTCTGCATCCTGATCTATAATCTGCTTTGTTAGTGAATTGACCATGCTGGCATATTGTATGCAAGGCTCTTTGTCAGATGTTCTATTGGTGGATGTCAGGATACTCGAATCATTCCAATTTATTATATGATTAATTATTCCTGCACGGAGAGAGGGCATAACACTAGCATTGTAAGTATAGTGTAATGCTTACGCTGATTGGGGAAAACCCTTCTAAACAGTTTCTTTTAGGTTGCGCATTGGGCCCACAAGTAGTTCACTTTAATCCCTATATTGATAGAAAAAAGTATACTGTCAATTTTGCAATGTGAGCGTTTTCCGTTGTGTTTTGAAACTTTTCCGTTTCAAAATGTACAGTTGCATAGTTAGGGCTGTGTACTTAACTTTTTAATCTGTGCGCATGTTTAGTTACTTTTAAATATAATGGAAACTTAAAGGGCAATTGACACATCTGAGGTTTATGCACAGTCTGATAGCATAGTTCATTTAAAAAAAAATGTATTTCTCTAATTTGCGATGTATACCTGGAGGTCTTGGCCCAGCCAAAGCATAGCACTCAATATAACTTAACACCCAGAGAAACAAATGCGTTCGGAAATCTGTGTGTGTGGCACAATGGGAGGAATTGTGCATGCACAATTACAGCATTTATCTGCAGATGCACAGGACATCACTGGGTGATAACTTCACTCTGAACACACGTGCTGCGGAGGTATATGGGTTTAGTAGTTGTTTTTTTAGTTTTAGTTTTTGTTGTTTTGTTTTATAATGCTTCCACTGCACCACTTGTCTCAGTAAGCACTTGAATGGCTTTTATGGAGAATTAGGCAATGCTTAACAGCCCTTCCAATGAAGTGACCTTTCCCCTGTAGGTTTTCTGTTTCTGTTAAAGACGCTGTAATGATTGTCTGTGATCATGCAGATGGGATACAGTACATCTGTCTATAGATCCACCCCATGCAGGCATCTGCCCATTTAACCCATGCAAGACCAACAGCATATTAAGGAAAAAAGTAAGTTAACCATTATCTTTAGGAAAACAGTAAATGGCCTTTATGTACCTATGTATATTGATCCACCGAATTGAATGTCATGATGAGTTGACTGTTGCATAACTTAATTACCCTTAATTCTGAAATTGCATCACCGTAGTACAATAAACAGATGAGTAGTGAATAATAACTTTGAAGAAATAAAATAATGTAAATCGCCACCTTTACTTTGTGTCTAAACATCAGGTGGAAATGGAAGGAAGAAGATGTTAACCCAAAGGACATGGAAAATATTATTAAAATTCACAACAAGAATAATGAGCAGGCGTGGTCCGAAATCCTGAAGTGGGAGGCCCTTCACGCAACGTAAGTTCTGTGCGCGTAAGTTCTGTGTAGACATTGTATCATATATATGTGTCTATATACAATACATGTCCTATAAAGACATTAAAGGAACACTGCAGACACACAAAGCTCTTCAGCTTCAACGAGAAGCCTCTGATCGGATTATTCTCCAGCACAGACTGAAAGCCCCTGTTTAGCAAAGAAAGGAGGGTTTGCAGATAGTGTGTGTAATTACATTTTCTTTTTGTGTTTGTTCCAATTTGAATGTTAGACCTATTCTCCTTAACTCCGATTTTGTATGTATTCCTGCATGGACCATTATATAAATATATCCTTTGCTTTCAACTCTGTTCTGACAATTTGTATCTCTCTGCATATTTAGGGAATGCCCTTGTGGCCCCACTCTAGCTCGCTTTGGAGGCAAAGCAAAGGAGTATTCTCCTAGAGCACGTATCCGCTCCTGGATGGGGTATGTATTTACTTTTAGCTCACACGTTCTGTATTTAATTATTCCTTATTTTATTGTAAATTCCCTGTCTTGAACTTCCTTAGGTATGAACTCCCGTTTGATCGCCATGACTGGATTGTAGATCGCTGCGGGAAAGAAGTCCGATATGTTATTGATTACTATGATGGCGGCGAAGTAGATAAAAACTATCAGTTCTCCATTTTAGATGTCCGCCCTGCTTTTGACTCTATGGGGGCTGTTTGGGATCGAATGAAAGTAGCATGGTGGCGCTGGACATCTTAAACTGTTCAATGAAAGGGCCAACATTACTAAAACGTGAATTGAGTTGATGAGTTACTTTTGTTACAAGTGCTAACCAATTCAGGCATAGAGCTATCCTCTAAGGGGCAAATTCACTGCATTAGGGAAAGCCAAATCTAATTCTGACTGTTTTGGAACTACTACTCTCATAAATCTCTACCACCTACTAGCAACTGTCTGGTGGACGTTCATGTGAGTTGTAGTTCTGTGAAGCTGGTGGAATGCATTTAATTATTTCGGCACTAAAGTGTGATATGTTTTCTCTTCGTTAAGAGAAACCTGATTTCATTATTTATTGAATGTACATTAAAGCTAATGAGACCTCACACACACAAACCTAAGGGATTCGTTAGGGACGGTCAGTCAAAATGTAGAAATACAACAGCAATGATGCTTTGCCAGCCTTAGCAGGGATTGTTATACACAGGTAGGGGTGTCTTTTTGTCTAATCCTGGGTTTGACAACTTTGGATATGTCTGTAATATAAAGAGCTTTCACCAAATGATCACAGCTTAATGCATCTCTCCCTTGGAGTATGCAGCCCAATTTCACCATTTATTTAGAAAAAGCCCACGGATTAAAAGAAAATACAAACTGGAAAATCCCAAGTGTGAATGTGAAACTATTTATTATTTTAAGATTGTGCTTTCTGAACCATTTATTAAATTAGTAACCCACTCTTAGACGAAGGCAAAGTTTATATTTCTGGTTTATGGTGGGTAGGAGTCAAATTAGGCTTTCATTTCTAGTTAGGGAGATATTTTCAATAAAAAAAATGTACCAATATATATTCTGAACTACTATATAGCTGAGGGCTGCTGTATGCACGTTAAATACATAAATAAACTTCTTTTTAATGTTTTCCTCTGCGTTTATTCAGAAAGTATTAGCATTGTGCTTTTTTATTTTTTATTAAGCAGTTAATTGTGGTGAACTAACAACTTGATAACACTTTTAATTCTTTCATTATTTCTGCATTATTACTGATTTGGTAAACTCTTTTTACATTTTACCTTTCAAGATAGAAATGGCATCTGGTCAGCAACTTTTATACAGAGTTAAAGTTTAATCAACAGACCAGAAAAAAATGGCACTTTATTAAAATTGATACTTGAGTTGTAATGTCTACTGAGCAAGATTCAGAACCTCTTTATAATTTGTGTTGATATTAGTCTCACAACTGTTGTACTCTGCATTATACTATAATCCATCAAAGAATTTTATTTGTTTTTATTCCATTTGGAGCATTGGCCTACTAACTGAACTTTGGACTTGTCACGGGTTCCAGGGTCTCTTATGCCTCGTTTCCACTGAGCGGATCGGTTCGGGTCGGTACAGTTTGGAAGGTTTGGACAACCAAAATATGGAACCGAACCGATCAGTGGAAATGAGGCATAAGTGTCCCTTGGTCGCCGCTTCTCTAATCCTCCTGGATTCAGCTACAGCATACAGTGATTGTAGTCCTCTGGAACTGTGTAAAATTCCCCAATATAGTGGACAAGACCAGTCGTATTGGGTAAAACAAGAGAACTGTTTATTTCAGAGAAAAACACATGCAGGGGGTCTTCAGTCAGCACAATGCAAACCACTCCCTGGTGTCTTGGACATAATTGGGTCATAAGACATGATAACTTCATTTCATGCTGGACACAAAGACACATGGCAAAATAGCTTTTACATAATACAATTAACACACTAGCTTTCATCCAGCTGAACATTTTACATAATAACTCAACAGTAACACAATGTACCCCCATATCCTATAAAGTCTGTGACCAGGCCCATAGTCTGTGGGCAGGTTAGCTGTTATGTTTCTCCAGCAGGCTGTGGCACGGGAGTTTCCGTGACAGGACTGACTTGCTGCAATATGTAGACCAAAGTAGCAAGCAGAGTTTAATGAAGTCTATCTTGTCTCAAGTGAAGATTTTGTGTTTATATTACTGCAATTTCATAGCAATAGTCTCTCGACATTGGCATTCGCTTTTCTCCTGCCCTTTTTATAAATATCTGATGTAAAATCACAAATTCGAAAAACTTGTGATAAGTCACTCCTTTAGCTACGAAGTCTGCACAAAAACACGAAAGTGGTTCTCTCTCGATCCCAACTTAGACAAATGTAAGCTAAAACTGTCAGACAATTGTAGGTGCGCTCGACAAATGGAAGGCACAACTTTTCATGTGTCATACAGACACTTTTTTTTTTTTACATTTTTTATTTTTCCTGTGCATATACATTTAACATACACTTATGAGGTACCCTAAAGGCAACCCTCTAGCGTTTCACATTTAAGTATTACATTGGGGTATATGAGAGACGTGCACATTTTTTGTTATTAAGTCATATGTGTAACATGCGCAGTGTTAGTATATGATCATGCTTGGTTGGTTATATCATAAAGAACGTTATGTTAGCAGGCTGATTAAACATTATGTTCATTTTAAATTAACAATCTAACTGAGGAAAACAGGCTAGGGTTAACTGTGATATAAGATTAGTTACGTTTGGTTAATTTAAGCTATCCACAAGATATATCTACTTGTCAGCAAGCTACAGGTTAAGCGTTGGGGGAATAATCCCCTGTGAATAATTATGGGCTAGGGGCACACTTGCGGCGCTATAGTCCTGGCAACTGCTGGTGTGATAACCGACATAAGGGTAGCCAACCGGTAGATGAGATTCTGAGCCAAATAAGATGAACAGAGCTTGAGTGTGAAGAGAGTCACTGTTTAATAGACGTTGCTTGAAGTGGTACGGCTTTGGGTCAAGGGGCTTGGTCACGGAGAGGCAGTGGCCGTCCAGATAATGAGCAATACACTTCTTGAGTGGTATATATCACTCCGGTTGTTAGTCCATGCAGGTGCCCGGTCTTGCATGTGAGGCCAGTGTACAGGACGCTGCGTCAGCCTATTCCTTTGTTGGGTCGTGTGGCTGTTGGAGCGTGAACGGTGCTGAGTGATTGTGAGGGCTTTTCCCCAGGCCCAGGCCTCTTGTGCTCAGACGTCTATGTGAGCCGGGTCTTTCCACTTGTGGGTGCCGTGGATGGGCCTGGTGTTTCGCTGGCGGCCGGCGGGCTTCCGGCGTGGTGGCTGAAGCTTTGGAGTACATCTCCGTGGGACCTCCGGCCTGGGTGGGTATTCAGTGGTCGCAGCGGGTGTGGAGGGGAAAGCTTTACCTGGGATCAGCCCACTCCTTCCCCATCTCACCTCCTCCGTCCTGTCTCTGTTTGCAGGGGGGGACCTGGCTAGGAGTCATTCCAGATGGGCCCAGAATTTTTGGAAAATCCGGTCCAGGCTGGTAGGCTGGGGCAATGTGAGTTTAGGCCTGCATACAGCATCCGCCATGTTGCTGGGTTTGGCCCATCTAGCACCCCAGTCCGGATGGTCAGCTGCAGTCTGTGTTGCTTTGCATGCCGTATTAGTGGGGACCGGGATAACCCCCGCCGGTCGATAGGGGGGGACGGGGATGGAGGCTCGAGCTGTGCTTTTCAGTGCTTTTGGACGATGGGAGAGCGGCCGCCTCCCCCATGTCTGCATCGTGTGTAGGCCTCAATGGCTGAGTAGTCAGAATTCTTAAAACAAAAGTGCATTAATATTTAGCACAGAGCTTGACAAATCCCAGGTCGCCATGGTGTTTCTCAGCCTGTTCCCCACTGGCCCAACACCAACCCCCATGCCATGGTGGCCGCAAAGGAGCTCTAATCTTCCTGCTCTTCTTGATCTGCTTCCCCACATGTACTGCGTTGATGCCAGGACCTGGGAAACTACATCACTTTGGCCCTGCATCACTAAACAGCGCACAAGCTAGCAAAGCAAGAAGATCTTTAAGATTACATAATTACTGCAGCTCCAATGGTCCCCAGGTAAAGGATCCACTCTAGCTCTCCCGAAGGTAGGGACAAAAATAATTTGTGACTGTGTTAGAGAATGTTTGTGTATGTCTGTGTTAACCCCTTAGTGACCAGACCGCTTTTCAATTTTCTTACCGTTAAGGACCAGGGCTGTTTTTACATTTCTGCGGTGTTTGTGTTCAGCTGTAGTTTTCCTTTTACTTATTTACTGTACCCACACATTTTATATACTGTTTTTCTCGCCATTAAGTGGTCTTTCTGAAGATACTATTATTTGCATCATATCATATAATTTACTATAAAAAATTATACAATATGATGAAACAATGTAAAAAAACAAAAAAAATTGAACTTGGCCCCCAAAATCTGTTACGCATCTACAACCACCAAAAAACACCCGTGCTAAATCGTTTCTAAATTTTGTTCTGAGTTTATAAATACCCAATGTTAACATGTTCTTAGCTTTTTTTTTGGGGAGAATTATAGGGCTATAAATACAAGTAGAACACATATATATATATTTTTTTTAAAAGAAGGAAACCTAAAGTATTAATCTTGGGGTATATTGGCTCTTTTTCATACAAACATTTTACCAAAAATATATGCCAAATAAAAAAAAAAAAAAGAAATTGGTGATTTTTATGACATAGCACTTTGAGAATACATGTACTGAGAATGTTAAGGGTTACTGCCAAAGAACACCCCAATATGTGTTCAGCAACATCTCCTGGGACAGTGATACCACTAATGTATAGGTGTGTTGGGTTCTCTGGGGGCTAAAAGACCTTATTTGGAGGGTGCGTATTCCAGTTTTCCAACTTGGAATTTTCACAGCTGGTCATCATGCACCCATATCCTATTTGGGACATTTTTGAAGCAAAAATGCAAATGCAAAAAACAATTATGAATGCTAACTTTGGCCAGTGTTTGTGACTAAGTGGCTACAAAAAAAGACTGAACATACCCCATTTGCAATACCTTGAGTTTCCTTTTTTTGCAAATAGCATGCCATCATGGGGGTAATTCTCATTCCTGGGCTACCATATGCTCTCAAAGGCAACATAACCAATCTGGCAAATTTCAATGTGAAAAAACTGCGTTATATTTGACTCTGTAACTTTCAAAAACACTATAAAACTTGTACTGTTATACTCAGGAGACTTCACTGAACACAAATATTAGCGTTTCAAAACAGCACCCTATTTATGCATGTTCAGGTAAGTGCAGCCCCTTTGTTTCATATATATTTATAATATATTTGGGAGTCTAGCCAAATCCTTGGTTTTGCCTCATCCCTAGGCCCTGTTTATCCTTGTACTGCAGAGAGCCCCAGATGGAATTTTTTACCCCAAGTAAGTGTGTTAATCTCATAAGAGCAGATATTAAGCTGTTAGAGTAGGACCTGCCAAAAATGGGGTACATTGACGTTGTGGCAGGCTTATGCAATGTATGATCATATAATGTAACTAAACCCCCATTATTTTTGCCTAGATTAGGTGTTTAAAAAAATAAATAAATCAGTGACCAATGCACACACACATTCACTGACTCAGAGTGACAGACACACACTGGCCCAAGCACACATACACTGACTCGTATATATATTATGTGTGTGTGTGTGTGTGTATATATATATATAGACACACACACACACTCTCTCTCTCTCCCCCCCCCAAGCAGACACACACACACAAACACTGACTCAGACTGACACACATTCTTTAGAACATACACACACTAAGTTCCCCTCTTGCCTTCACTTCACAATGACTCAGTCTCTTCTTGTGTCCCAGGCTTCTGGACTGCACCTGGCTGCATCCACTCTCTCTGTTCCGCCCCCTGCAATCCTCCAGCCCACTTGACCCCGAGTACAGGGGAAGGGGCGGGAGCGATCTAACGAAGCTCCCCTGCGCTGCTGTCATGAGAGGTGTGTGGGGGAGAGGGGGCGGCTCTGTGAACTTTTCAGTCTGAGGTTAATTGCACCGGGTGCTAGTCTGCAGCTACAAAAGTTGCTACCTAGCGCCCAGTGCCATCACCTGTGGCATGAACTACAGACTTTGTCCCACGTAGAGGGGCAGCTCAAATCAGCAGTAAAGCTGCTGCTGGCGCCCCCCTTTGAGAAGGACCCCAGGCGGCTGCCTAATCGGCCTATAGGACGTGCCGGCCCTGCTCCCATAATGCTCTCCCTGCCATAATACTAGCAAAGCATCAGGGGAAATGTAGTGCAAAACATCTAGGGTACCAAAATTGGCCTAAACCTGCTCTAAAAACTGGCTAGTGGTCCTATAGGCATATGGAGACTCGATGTTAACTATTTCAAGTTTATGAGGATAAAAGGAATAATGAAATGTGCATCATTGCACAAATACTGAGAATTTAGATGTATGAACATATTTGGCTTTGAAAACATGCTTTAATTGGGGAATGAGCTTTATGGTTCAGTATAAATTGTGACACAGTGCTGTGCTCCTCAATTTGGAAGCAATTATTGGATTATTTGACTCATTTCATCTCTATTTTAATGAACATTTATTTGTTCCATTTTTATTCTTGATGTAACTGGACATAAATCATACCTCCATTAGGCATTGTCCCTCAACTTTCAGTTCCTTCAAAGTTCACATAACTTGTATTTGCCATGTTTGCGTATCGGTACATATGGATATATAATACATATCCTATACTAGTAAATGCTTAAAGGTCCACTCTAGGCACCCAGACCACTTCAGCTTAATGAAGTGGTCCGGGTGCCAGGTCCAGCTAGGTTTTAACCCATTTTCTTATAAACATAGCAGTTTCAGAGCAACTGCTATGTTTATAAATTGGTTAATCCAGCTCTCAAATCCTCTAGTGGCTGTCTCATTGACAGCCGCTAGAGGCGCTTGCGTGATTCTCACTGTGAAAATCACAGTGAGAACACGCAAGCGTCCATAGGAAAGCATTGTAAATGCTTTCCTATGAGACCGGCTGAATACGCGCGCAGCTCTTGCCGCGCGTGCGCATTCAGCCGAAAGGGAGGGGAGGAGGAGGATCGGAGGCGGAGAGCTCCCCGCCCGGCACTGGAGAAAAGTACGTTTTTAACCCCCTTCCTCTCCCCAGAGCCAGGCGGGAGGGGGACCCTGAGGGTGGGGGCACCCTCAGGGCACCATAGTGCCAGGAAAACGAGTATGTTTTCCTGGCACTATAGTGGTCCTTTAACTCATTCCTCTATAAAAGGACCCTTATGTACTCATATTTACTTAATAACATCTTTTCATCACTTAAGATATTTTGTCACAAAAAGATTTTTTTATCATATGTTTAGTGATCAAAAGCTGTTTGTTGAGGTGTCAAGATTATGCATCAATAGCAGCTGTTTCTCTACTGCGCTTATTTACATAAATATACATGTATGGATGTACACTTTGCTTGAATGAGGTATGATATATATATATTTACAGTCACAAACTACTGATTTTTTTTAAAGATTGTTCATGGCTCTTCAAGATTCCATTCTTTTGCTCCTATTACATCTCATCTTTATCCAGAGGCGTAACTAGCCCTGGGCCCCCCCCACCCCCCCATACGTACGTCTACCCCCCCACCCCACTCTGACTCCCACCTTTCTTCCTCCCGCGCGGGCTCTGTGATTGAAGGGAGGAAATGGAGGCCAGGTCGCTGACCAGGCCCCCAGGGAATTAATTTCCATCTGCTGGCCCTAACAGCATGGGCCCCCTGATGGGCCCTTTAACGTGCGGCCCCGGCAGTTATACTGGGAAGGCTAGGGCCGGAACACATGGACGGCGGGCACCCAGTTGTAGAGGTCCACAGGGCGGCCGGGCCCACTGGAGTGACAGGCCTGGTCGCAGCTGAGACCCCTGCGACAGCGATAATCCTGCCACTGTCTCTGTCTCTATGGTTGGTAACTCTGTAGGAGTCCCAAAATGATCACACCAGTAAACCTCATTTTAGGGTAGCTGAGCTTGAAAAATATTCAAATCTTTCTGATTCTGCAATTGTGACCTAAATATGCAATTACTTTCTCAATATTTCCAAATTCCTTCCTTATTGAATAAACACAAAGTGATATTCTGTTAAATGGACATTCCGCTGCTCAAATATCTAAAGTCACTGTTTAGTTGATATGAAAACATGATGAAAACATAAATGCATTTAATGACACATTTTTTTCATTGGGGAATAGATCTAGAAACAGTTTGCAAAACTTGCTGATCTCCTGTCTGCAGCCTTTGCAAACCCTCCCCTTCTAACCCCGCCCAGACGTTCTGTATCTGTCCAATCACAGGATTTCCAATGCAGCTCAATGAGAAGTCTCTGAAGGTAGGTATTCTGAGCAGTTTCTGCCTCTTGAGTTTAGCTTCACTGAGCCTCTCAGCTCCTACCTTAACTCCTCATCCCCTACAAATCTCCACTGCTGGATCCGACCTAAAGTGCTGCCTCTTTCCAAACACCTCTCCCATCCTCAGGTACAATGAAATCGCCGGTTCCTCTTAATCTACTGTTCCAGAATGAAATGTTGGTCTTGCGTTCTATTGCACAGTGCTGTCGAGTAGAAATAAATGTAATTGTAAACAACCAGGTAGAAACAGGACTTGTTGTCTGATTGACAGTCAAAGGGGTAACCAGGTTAATTTAAATCTGCACTTTTTGCAAAATGAAATGAAATGAAAAAAAAAAAAAGAAGGAAGCTGAACTGCTTTTTTGGTCCAGAGTGTCCCTTTAAAAATCAACCAGTATATCACAGACACTATGTAGCATGTGCTTACGCTATGAACATCTTAAAGCACCAAGACTAAATTCCAACCTGTCATAAATTGACTTTCTGGCAAGTAACCCATGACCTAATCTTTCTTTTTCTCTATAATAAAAATGTCATGTAGCTTCCATACCTGAAGGATCATCAAAGCAGTATAATTACAGTGAGATCAGGAAGGTCATGTTTTTATTACAGAACTTAATTTCATGTATAAATATTTCTAATTTTGAGCTACCTTGTGTGCATATTTTGTGTTACAATTAGATTTTGACAGATGAGCTTTCATGACTGGCATTATAATATGTAATTTATTTCCGAATGAATACATCAACAGGCCGTGGCTTACTCATTGCTGGGCACTGACAGCTGTGAAAGGTATTTAAAGTCATTTTCTGATGTAGAGTATGTTCTATTAGGTATGGCACCTAGCAGGCACGGGAAGAGGGTTTGAATACATTTTACTGTCAGTATCGGATTGTGTTATCCTTTCTTCTTTTGAGTGCTTTGCAAAAGAAATGGCTCGCTTGGTCGAAGGGCTGGAAAACCTCTACTGTGTGACAAAACAGAAAAAGCACTTTAATCTTGTAATGTAAATATTGCAGTTTCTGCAACACTGCAGAGTTTAAATGACAGGGCCACTGCACCCAGACCACTTCATTGAGATCAAGTGGTCGGGGTGACTATAGTGGTCCATTAAGCGTTTAACTCACCCATCGTACACAATACACTGAGATCAGGTATGAGTGCTACTGATGACAGCTCTGACTAAGCTTTTGGTAGGATTTTTACCAAACCATGCTCTATAAGCCAGAACTGTGACATACCAGAGAAAGCATTGGATTGGCCAAAATCGGCATGGGGCCAGCCAATCAGCACCTCCTCACAGAGGAGGTGCATATTGAGGACAATTCATGAGGACATAAGGATATGAGGACAATTCAGCGTCTCCATGCATAGTGTGGAGACACTAAATGGCTGTGCTGCCTACTGTGCAGCACTGCCCCATGAAGCACCTGAGGAGTGGCCACTAGAGGTGTCCCTATGAGGCAATGTAAACACTGCCTTTTCTCGGCAGTGTTTGCATGAAAATGATTATAATCACCAGAACAACTACATTAAGCTGTAGTTGTTCTGGAGACTATAGTGTCCTTTTAAAGCTTCTAGGGGAACACGGAGATACTCATTGACCAGTACTCAAATAGTTGTTTTTAAACAGTCCTCACAGCAGTATTTTGGAACTAAAAATTCAAAACAGACAAGAAACTCCTGTTTGTTCCTGCTACATGTTTACACTGTGTAATATTAGCAGCATTCACAACCTGTATTGAAACTATGGTTGAATTTAGAAATGAAATAAAAAATAAAAAAATGAAATGTTATTGTTACAAGCATGAGGATTTGTAATGCCCAGGTTTTTGCTGTCAAATAAATAATTATAATAAAATATAAAATGCTGTTTGACACAGCTTGTTCCTATGTTAGTGCCCTAGTGTCAATAGAAACCTTGCCTCTTTTATTTGTTTGCAGCCAAGACTCAGTTTAATTCTGGGACTCTGTAGTAATAAATTGGGTCAGGAGATGACAAAAAGATAATTAGGCACATAAACAGTGCCCAAATATCTCCCTTCGAGTAAACGGCCAATTATCTTTAAGATGTCAGCAGTTTCGGTTGAGCTGAGATGAGCTGGGAGGGTTTAAAAAAAAAAAAAAAATGCAACATGCCAAAAGGTGTCTGAAAATTCTTCCAATTAATTACATTCCCCTTTCTGTTAAAAAAACAGACAAACCCAAAACATGTTTAATCTTTGCAAGCAATCGTCAAGGCAACTTAGAATCCCTGCCTAGATTACGGATCATTATTTATCCCAGTATCATTTTATCATATTACTTATAGCTGCAGTCATTTGTGAACATTGCAGCACCTGTAACCTTGCACCTACATATTTTACTGACGAAATATAAACTGGGGGCATAATCTGCAGTCCCCCACTCTTAGCAATTCTTCCTCAGCTTTATACAGCTATTGAGTGTTTATTGTTATTAGGCCTACCTCCATATATTGAGAGGTAGAGGCCAGGTACACTCTCTGGCTAGCCCCATCCAGGTTGCACACCCACAGGGCATTCATAAAGAGCTCGTCCATGGGCTGATTGCTTTCAGTTTACTTTGGTCATACTAGCAGATATTGAACTTTCTGTAGATCAGGCATAGGCAACCTTTGGCACTCCAGATGTTTTGGACTACACCTCCCATGATGCTTTACCAGCATTATTGGTGTAAGAGTATTATGGGGGATGTAGTCCACAACATCTGGAGTGCCGAAAGTTGCCTATCCTTGCTGTAGATATTTACCTTGTGTCCCCAGAATAAAGGATTGTACCAAATATTCAGGACTGTCTGGCTGAGTTTGGGACAGTTGGGAGTTATGCATAATAACCTTACTGGATTCACAGGGCACCTGTGCTCTAGGTGCAGTAAGAGGGGTTCACCATTCCCACACTGTAGACAGTTGTTTGATGTTCATTAATTAAAGGACCACTCTAGGCACCCAGACCACTTCAGCTTAATGAAGTGGTCTAGGTGCCAGGTCCTTCTAGGGTTAACCCATTCTTTTATAAACATAGCAGTTTCAGAGAAACTGCTATGTTTATGAATGGGTTAAGCCTTCCCCCAAAGCCTCTAGCGGCTGTCTCATTGACAGCCGCTAGAGGCGCTTGCGTGATTCTCACTGTGAAAATTACAGTGAGAGCACGCAAGCGTCCATAGGAAAGCATTGTAAATGCTTTCCTATGAGACCGGCTGAATGCGCGCGCAGCTTCTGCCGCGCGTGCGCATTCAGCCGACGGGGAGGAACGGAGGAGGATGGCTCCCCGCCCAGCGCTGGAAAAAGGTAAGATTTAACCCCTTTCCCCCTTCAAGAGCCGGGCGGGGTTGGGACCCTGAGGGTGGGGGCACCCTCGGGGCACTATAGTGCCAGGAAAACGAGTATGTTTTCCTGGCACTATAGTGGTCCTTTAATAGCGGGGTCTCAAAGACCCTATGAGCTGCCCATTCCCTTACAAAATTGGATGAAGGTGTAAGATCAGTTATAATTATAGAGAGAAGATTCTCCAATACTGTCTACTCACCAAAATAAAGTCTGTGCATTTTCCCATTCCCTCGCCCAACTTGTAGTGACTAATAGGTAAACTGATTGTTACCAATCCAGCCTAGTGTGAAGGTCGAATATAACAAAGTGCAAAGTGTTGCCTCCTCGGTGTAAGTGAACATAAAAAAAAGAAAACAATTAAATGTGTAAATAGAGGTCATATTCTCACAGCTCAAACTTTGGTGCTGGTAAATAAAGCTCCAAAAACAGCGAATATATGGAAAACAAACAAAAATAATAAAATGTAACACGCTCATTGGGACTTCTGATACACTGGAAGAAACTTGTATTAAAATGCTGTTTAATATCCAGAACAATAAAACACGGGGCTGGACTAACAAAATATAAGCATATAAGAGAAATGTAAGATCGTACACACACAAACAGTCAAAACAGGAAAGTGACACACAAAAAACAAAAGTAAAATCTCTAAGTGAATAGAGCGCATAAAATGAAGCGTCTTCACATTCTATTTACTGAGTTTTTCCCTTTATTTTTTTGTTGGTTTCCCTTTCTTGTTGTGACTGTTTGTGTTTACAATATTACCTTCCTCTTATACAGTTAAATTTTGCATGTCCTGCCTGGTGTGTTTTTTTAATTGTTTCATGTTAATAAACAGCATTTTTAGACAATTGCCGTCCTGTGCATCAGAAGTCTTCAGGAGGGCATTAAATTTGACTTTTTTTGTTTTCCATATAGGATGAAGGTTGATCCAAATTGCATTTATTATGTTATTATTTATATAGCGCCATCAGATTCCGCAGCGCTTTACAGTGGGTGGACGAACAAACATGTCATTGTAACCAGACAAGTTGGACACACAGGAACAGAGGGGTTGAGGGCCCTGCTCAATGAGCTTACATGCTAGAGGGAGTGGGGCAGTGGCGTACATACCAGGGTCGCAGGGGTCGCGGTTGCGACCGGGCCCGGCCCACCAGGGGGCCCGGCCGCCCCTGCGACCCGGTATGTAGCCACTGGGCCAGCCTCTTCTCCTAGGGGGCCCAGGAGCCGACCACCCCAGGGCCCCCCGAGGCTGGCCCTGCTGACCCCAGCTGGCGGGTGGCCGGTCGGGCAGGCGGGCGCGCGAGGGAGCACTCAGTGCTTCCTCTTCAGCTCCCTCGCGCGCGGCACTGATACCGGAGCCGGAAGATGACGTCATCTTCCGGCTCCGGCATCCCTACGCGGCGCGCGAGGGAGCTGAAGAGGAAGCACTGAGTGCTCCCTCGCGCGCCCGCCTGCCCGACCGGCCACCCGCCAGCTGGGGTCAGCAGCACCACTGGACACCAGGGAATCCCCCCAGCACTTCAAAAGGTAAGGAGGCTGGGGGGATTACATTAAAAAAAAACATGTTAGAGTGTATGTGTGTGTTAATGTTAGAGTGTGTGTGTGTTAGAGTGTGTGTGTGTGAGTGTTAGAGTGTATGTGAGTGTTAGAGTGTATGTGAGTGTGTGTGTTAGAGTGTGTGTGTGTGTTAGAGTGTGTGTGAGTGTTAGAGTGTGTGTGTGTGAGTGTGTGTTAGAGTGTGTGTTAGTGTGTGTGTGTCTGCTAGTGAGTGTTAGTGTGTGTGTCTGCTAGTGAGTGTCAGTGAGTGTTACTGTGTGTCTTACTGAGTGTGTGTGTTAGTGAGTCTGTCTGATGTCTGTTAGTGAGTGTGTGTTTGTCAATGAGAGTGTATGTTTTGTAAGTGAGTGTGTGTGTGTATGTCTGTCGCTGAGTGTGTCTCTGTCAGTAAATGTGTGTGTCTGTTAGCTAGTGTGTATGCGTCTCTAAGTGAGAGTGTGTGTGTCTTCAGCACTTACCTTTCTCCAGCGCCGGACTCCCTTGGCGCTGGGGATCCCTCAGTCTCTCAGCTCCGAATGCGACCGCGCACGCATTCAAACCGCCCATAGGAAAGCATTACTCAATGCTTTCCTATGGACGTTCAGTGTGCTCCTCTAGCGGCTGTCAGTGAGACAGCCACTAGAGGCTGGATTAACCCTCAGTGAAACATAGCAGTTTCTCTGAAACTGCTATGTTTTCAGCTGCAGGGTTAAAACTAGAGGGACCTGACACCCAGACAACTTCATTGAGCTGATGTGATCTGGGTGTCTGTAGTGGTCCTTTAAGTGTGTGTGCATCTGCATGCACTGGCGTACATATCACGGTCGCAGGGGTCGCAGCCCTGTAACCCCTGCGACCAGGTGCCCACCGCCATGTGTTGCGGCCTGGCCCGCGCGCACGGGGGGGCCAACGGATCAATTTTCGCACCGGGGCCCCATGGGTCATGTGTAGCCACTGGAGTGGGGTAAAGTGATACAAAAGGTAAGGATAGTATTAGACTAATGACAGTTGCAAGAGAGGCATGAAATAGTATGATGATTGTCATTGCATCAAATAAACTATTATGTAATTAGTAAGTTGTTTGAAATGTTGGATTCTATGAAGAAATAATGAATTAAAAGCTATACTAAGTTTTGACAAGTATGGAAAGTGTAATATTGCCAACAGAGTTAAGATTATTTGATTGTTTTTGCAATGGAACTAATTACAGTGGCTCCAAAATTGACAAGGACAGTGCATAGGTCAGAGAAGCAATGACAAAACTGTAATTCAACTTTCCATAAAAATCACTACCAAACAGCGCCGCCTAGCGGCTATTATTGAACACATAAATATACATACGGTACGTAATAACATGTTTATCTGCAGTGACATTGCCACCTAGTGGACATATGGTGTACTGCCGTTTGCAGAGCAGACGGAAAGGGAAGTAGATTTAAAAAGCTGGTGGCACTTACCAAGAGCTGAGCTCTGCATTTTACAGAAATTAAGCTTTTTATCCTGTGCAGAGATGTCTGAGGCTGCACTGGAGGAGGTCTCAGTCCTGTCAGCAATATACTGTGAGGAAGGTGAATTTGAAGTGCTCTCACATTCAGGTGAATGAAATAGTTATATATTATACAGGTTGCCAATGCCATGTGCATGCATATAAATACTTACAGCTTTAAGCTGCTTTGGGTTACTCCAGTGGCTTGCTCAGAGTGATGAGAGAGGTATTTCATAGTAAAAGATAACAGCCCCAGCCTGTCAAAAAATATATTTATATAACCCTTTAATATCTCTCTCTTGCACTAATTTAGCAAGGCTTTATTTGCAATTAGATAACTATAACACAAAATAATTAAAAATAAAATAAAAATTATACTGCCTTTGAATGTTTGGTTAGTTTCCTTTTTTTAAAAATATTAATCTTACATTACTTATTTTAACCTCTATTGCATTTTTATTCTTCCATCTTAATTTATTCATCCATTTTGCCTGGAAGCTGGTAAGTATTTGCAGAAAAAATTGCAAGAAAGCATAGTGGACCTCCCTACGGTCTGTCTTGACTTGGACCCCTGTGAAGTATTCTAGGCACACCAGAAAAATTCCAGTGCAATACAAGCACGTCATGTCAGAGTACTGCATTGCTCAACTGGATTGGTTTGTAGGGCTGCCTGAACCGGTTCATAAATATTGGGCTGAAGCACCCATTGCCTGCCCTCTGACCATCACTTTCAGTTCTGCTTTCTGGATGACTCAGAGGTATGGGAACAGACCTGTGGGATTTATTTGTGGAAGTCTCAATACATTCTAGCCAGAATTGCTATTTATAATTAAAGGGACACTCCAGGTACCCAGACCACTTCTGCCCATTGGAGTGGCCTAAGTGCCAACTCCCACTACCCTTAACCCTGCAACTGTAAATATTGCAGTTTTCATAAACTGCAATATTTACATTGCAGGGTTAACTCCTCTTCTAGTGGCTGCCTACTAGACAGCAACTAGAAGGCACTTCTTGGTCTATAGCACAGGTTTTCTGTGCTATAGCGTCGCTGGACGTGTGAGGACCTCCAGTGTCGCTAAAATCGTCATAGGAAAGCATTGAAAGCATTTTCAATGCTTTCCTATAGGGAGGTCTAATGCCGCGCATGCGCATTAGGTCTCATCCCGCTGGCGGCCACGCATGTGCAATTGGTCTCATCAGCCGGCGGGGAGGAGCGTGGGCGGAACCTAAACCACTGCCGAGGGACATCGGCGGTGGTCTCAGGTAAGCCACTGATGGGATTTTCACCCCTTCAGCAACATGGGATGGGGGATGGGAGGGAGAGGGGACCTGCAGTGCCAAAAAAATGGATTGTTTTCCTGTCACTGGAATGTCCCTTTAATCGGGGAACATCTGGAGACAAAAATCCTGTAATCTTCACCAAATTTTGCCTTGCCTGTGCCCACCTGGTATATAAGAGATACACAGGTCGTGTTTGCACTCTCAACCTTTGCGATCCTTGGTATTTCACATCATTGGAATAAAGCAAGTTTTCAAATGTAGTTTTAAATGGACATTCAAGCCACCATAACCACTCTAATTTATATAAGTGGTTATGGTGATAGGCCACTGACCCTGCAGCCATTTTGTTCTAATTTACATTTTTTACATGCATAAATTGTTATTGGTAAGTTGCCTAAATTTTCTCAGAACAACCATGCTTCTGGCCACAACCTGACTCCTAAAATAAGTGTCCCTCTTCATTTGAAATGTTGGTATTCCTCAGAGTATCATTTAATAACCCAGAGTAGGGTTTGCATAAACATTTTTATTTGCAATATGACACTGCAACAAACACTATTACATTGCAAAAAAAAAAAATGACAAACAACAAGCAAACAAGTTTTATTTCTGGGATGAAGCAATCCAAATGCTATATAGTTTGACAGTGACACTAAGCTATTTTTTTTAAATAGTTTTATAGGCTTTTTCTTCTTCCCTTCTGTCATATTTGAATTTTGGCCACGTTTGCATTTTATGTTAATCCATTAGAGATTTTCCATTCTGAATGTTCTTAACAAATATGCTGATAAAGACACATTAACAAAAAAAATGTCATCACATTTTTATGAGGTCTGTCTTTATTAGAACAATAAATGTCAACAGAATGATAATTCACGTGTTTATTTCAAACAATGATATTATACTATAAGAAATGTTTCGTGCTTTGTAATGTACAAAAACAGAAATGAGTCTTTAATATGTCTATAAAACATGACCTTTCTACTGCTAGACATGTGGTACTTTTTTTCAGAGTGGCCTATCTATCTATCTATCTATCTCTAGACAAAACTCAGTAAGTCTACCACTCATACTAAATATGACAAACCAAATAATATATATACCAAAGTGCTGCATGCACAGTGCAGAAAGTATATTCCAATACAAAAATGAGAGCGCTCACTGGGTTACAAAATTCTAAATCGTGTGTTACATGTTGCAAAGATGATCAACGTTTCGACCTTTCAGTCTTTATCAAAGGGACACTCCAGGCAGACTGAAAGGTCGAAACGTTGATCATCTTTGCAACATGTAACACACGATTTTGAATTTTGTAATCCAGTGAGTGCTGTCATTTTTGTATTGGGGTCTGTGTGTGTGTGTATGTATGTATGTGTGTGTGTGTATATATATATATATTAGTGAAAATGCAGATATGCCATATCTTTAGAATTTAAATGTAGTACATTTTATTGAGTAGATTTGTGATGGCAAACCTATGGCACACATGCATAGTGGAGCTGTTCGTTCTGGAGGTATGAGTCAATATTGCATACTAAATTGCTTGATGCATCTTGACATTAAGTAAGTAACATAATTCTGGTGTTGGTATTATCGCACTTCAAGAATTTAAGGGGTGCAGAAATCGGCAGCAGACTGGTAGGGATCACCTTACAGTGCGCTGTAGTGGTTATGGTGTTTGAAATATTCATTTAATAGCAACATCTATTTCCCAGAAACATTCCATTTAGAACGTGTGCTGATTGTACTTGGTGTGAGTTAAAGAGGTTGTATAAGTTAAGAGCCTGCAAAGTAGTAGACTTTCAGCCTTGTGCACTAATTCTGTGTCTAACAAAAAATTAGGGGTCCCCTAGGCTCTCTTGGTTCGCCTCCTTGTTTGCTCATTACTGGTATGATTGTAATACATCAAATCAAGAACATAACTGCTGATGGAGCTATTTAAAGAAAAAGCTAGCCGTGTAATGTAGTGCGATACTTGTGCAGCTGACACTCACTCATGGGTAAATAAAATGTATCTGAAGGAAACAAAAGACGCAAATTTCATACGTGAAAACGAGAGAAATCTCAATGTATCCATCCCGGTAGAATATTTTATAAATAAATAAATTTTCGCTCCTAGCATTCTTATTTTTTATCACTATGAATATTGTCTCTACCGTCCTGTGGTTTTGTGTTAATGTGATGAATACTGATAAGCAGGATATTATGTGTTCAAATAACTGATTTTAATTGAACCGTAATTTGGTGTTTTCCACTTTTGTGTGAGAATTACATTGAAGAAGCACTGGAGGGGACGGGGGGAAGGGGTTGGAGATTAATCCATGCTCCTGTAGTGAGCTGTAGGAGAGTTTATCGTATGCCTGACGGTTATTTTTACTTTTATTTTCCTTTCCTTTAGATACATTTTACTGTATCAGTGTTTTCTTAATGTTTGAATGGCAGTATAAGGCTGATGTCAATATTGCTTTGCCAGGTTTTCCCCAACTGTCTGCTGGAAAATGTTTTAAAACCACGTTAAAATTAAATAGGCAATATTTCCTGCAGTTTCCAAAAATGAGCGTTTTTTTATGACCATCGAAAACTACCAATCACAACACTCTCACTTAATTTAATATCGTTTTTTTTACTATTTTGTGGTTGAAACTGCTCGGAACGTAAAATCCACGGCTGAGTCTACCTAAATGACTGACTGAAGTTCATGACCACGAAATGGAAGTGTACTTACAGTGCTCTGTAAAGAATTACACGCTCGGCGGAATAAAGGGACGGGGGTCAGTGACTTGAAATTAAAGTGAGGATAGCAGTATGACACATACTTCAATATGACAAAATAGCAGTACAATTCAGCAAAAAGGGTCACAAATCAAATGAACTAAGCAATTGTTATAACACAAATGCATCTGGCTTGGCTTACTGAATATTGTTTGAAAACAGTTCCCCGCTACTGTCTGTTTGTTACTGTGTGTGAAGGTGAAATAAACTACAGAAAGAATCAGGACTTCCTATCGTTCGGCTTTATTGTATATTGTGCAATGTATGTGTGCGCTAGAACATGACAGATTTTTACATTGATCATCAACCTAAACACACTTCTAAGGGAGTGAATTAACTAGCATCTACTGTAAAAGAATGAGAGTTTTCTTAAGACTAGCTAATGAAATGTCTCTCACAGCCTCAACAGTTACATTCGGAGGTGGCTCTGTTTGCTTTGTTAACTAATAACCTAAGATAAATGCTGATAAAAGTAGCTCATTTTGATGGGTAAATACATTTCACATGGCATCTCTCTAGTGGGTACTAGTGATGACTTGTTGTGTGTGTGTGTGTGTGTGTGTGTGTGTGTGTGTATATATAGCTATGTGATGGTGTGCATGCTTGTCTTTGTATGTATCAATAAAATATAACTCTCCTACCTTGTGTATGTATCCTCCATATTTTAATGCTATAACCATACTCCTCCCTTCATTATACCAGTCCATTCTATCTTCTCTTCCTTTTTATTACATCACTACTTTTCTCTCATAAGTCTATTACATTTTCTTTCTATGCCGGAGTCCTGTTTCCCTTTGTCAACCACCCTTTTTATTTCCTTAGTCTATACCAGGGGTAGGCAACCGTCGGCTTTCCTGATGGTTTGGACTATACCTCCCATGATGCTTTGCCAACATTTTATGGTTGTAAGAGTATTATGGGAGGTGTAGTCCACAACATCTGGAGTACCAGAGGTTGCCTACCCCTGGATACAATGAACCCCTGTTCTCCACTCTCTCTGTGCTATTAACATTCACTTTGGCTTCCTCCATTTTATACCATTTCCCCATCCTCCCCTCTAATCCCACTCACTAACGCTTCATGATCTACTTAATCACACACATTCACTGACCCATGAAGACACACACACACACACGCACACACACACGCACATGCATTCATACTAGCACATTGAGCCATGCAGACACACATTGAGCCATGCAGACACACACACTACAGCTCACTTGATGCCTTGCCAGCTTTAAGGCTTGGTAAAGCGCCACAGTACCTTAAGGTTTCAAAGGCATCATGGGAGTTGTAGTACTACAGCATCTATGGACTCAGCGGTGGCTGCTCTGCTTTTGTACCAGGAATGTGGAGGCGCAGAGGGGTGCTGTGTGGAACAAGCCCTGGGCCAAGGAAGCTGTTTGAGATGCTGGAAGAGAGGTAAAAGGAGGCCAGGGTCGCCTGTTTGCTGATCTAGACTAGCATGAAGTAAGGGAAACACTGCCTGCAGCATAGCTTCCTGTCTCTTCATGCACAACGTTGGGCCCCCATGGTTGGAGAATGGACTCGCCTATGAGGGAGATTTATTTTTATCCCCACTGACTATGCCGCCCCTTTCCTTACTACAACCCCAAGACCATGGCATTGTTAGCTTTGTGGGTAATCAGACCTATCTAAAATACTCTAATATGAGTTTACATATATATATATATATAATACATATATATTTATATATGAGTCTACATAAATGGGAAAGTTTGCTTGTGAGAAACTAGGTAAAGTATATCATTTATAGTCATAACATTTGTAAATAGACAGACTGGCAGGTGTGAGTAGACCGCAGTTCTCCTCAATACAAAATCCCAGATAATCTCTGTAATCCTCAATTTATATTAAAGAAAAAGTGGATGGCAGTAAGACTGATTGCAGGCGATGAATGCAATCGGCTATCTACAAATGTAGTTCGTTTCTTGATTTATGACTGTCCGATAACAGCATTGTAAGTGGTTGAAAAATAGTTGCCATGTTTTGCAGAAACTGGAATAACGATAATAATTCAGACCAGTGCACGAAGGACGACAGACCTGGAAATTAATCTCCGGTTTGTATTTGATCTGCCACCTTCATATCCATCCTGCCTACCAAACCTTTCTATCAGCTCCCAAGAACTTACGCGGGCTCAGTGCAAAACCCTACGAGATAAAGTACTGGAAAAAGCAAATGTACATCTCGCAGAACCCATGATACATGAACTTATCCTGTGGACCCAGCAGCATTTCAACAGCTTCATTGAGGTACCTGAAACATCTGTCTTGGCTGTACAACAACCTCCATCAGTAGACGTAGTGACAGACGAAGGGATCTGGACAATGCTTTTGCATTTAGATCATATGAGGGCAAAGAACAAATATATCAAAACTGTAGAAAAATGGGTGAATGAATTGGAGTTGTGTGGAAGATTGATGTTCATGGGCAAGATCATTTTGATCCTTCTTCAAGGAGACAGAAGCAGCATAAAGGTTAGTGGTTAGATGGAATATTGATCCTGAAAGAGTTAATATGGACGAGACAACATTTTGTAACACTAATTCTTTTACCTGTATTTATGAATTTAATTATTCTACTAAACCATTGAACAGTTATTATTTGTGATGTGCCACGATTTATTAATAAACATTTTATTAGTTTGCAAATATTGCCATATTATAATGTTACAAGTTTATTTTTTTTGTGAATATGTTTTTATTGAACTTTTTTTTTCAACATGGAAAAGAGTAGCTAGTTTGATCATGTAGCTAGTTTGATACTATAAGTCTGGAGCTCGTGAGAACCGTTGCACTGAGTGCACACCAGATGCTCTCCAAACTGGTCCACCAGGTATGGGCTTGCCCCCTCTCCCCGGCACAAGGTAACAAGAGAGAGGGAGGAATACTCTGCATTTTGATTTATTAATATATAATAATTATTATTATTATTAAGAATATCTACATTATAAGTATTATCTACTACCAGTATACTGCAATACATTTCTTTTCTAGCAATAAAAAATCACATTTCTTATTTTTATAAAAAATATATATATTTTTTATAGTAATAAAATATAAACTGTTACCGCAAGTCCAAATCTCACCCTGTCCCACGCAGAAATCACTCCTTGCACGCAATACACATACCTACTGCATCCCCTACACACTAGTGACGCTACTGCCTTTAAATATCCTTTTTTGACATCCAAATGTTTTTCCATAAGTCAGCTATGGAGATTTGCACATCATAACAAAAGAATTGTAATGATGTCTACTGTAACTTTTTTCAGATGTGTATTAGAGTAGTTTAGTAGATGATACATATTTTGTTTGTTATGTTTTCTATAGTTATTAAAATGCATATCATTTGTGTATATGTTATTCGGATCTGTGCAATCTATTAACTAAAGTGAGATGGGTATTTTTGTCTTTACCAAACTGGCTTCTTTGACCTAAATGTTCCCTTTAATTACTCCCATAAACTTGCTGTGTAGTGAATTAACCCTTCATTTTCTAAAAATCGAGATTTGTAATCCTAGTTGTATTGAAGATTTTATGTTCTATAAAATTAATATGACATCTTTCAAGGCAGCAGTTTTAACTAAAATACTCTGCTGCACACCTACTGAGTTAAATAGTTTTTTTTTTTTTTTTGCCATCATCTTCTATAAAACACTGATTGCTGCAAATGCAGCCCAACATAACCACTTTATCTGCCTGATTTATTCGTAGTTCTGCATCACAGATAAAATCAGTGTTCTTTAAATCTGCCCATGTTTGTGCATATTTATTCACTAAGGGTGGTTGCTGGTTAATAGAGCTGAACTGATGAGAACAGCTATTAACTTGAATTCAAATTTAATATCAGGCTTTATTTATTTGTAAACAGGACTCTTGGAAGTGCAAGTAGTTTTTTTTTCAGCACATCTTAGACTGGCACTAGCCTAAGTAATAATTCTTCAGCCTGTTTAAACCAATGGCCCATTTTCCGAGTTGATTTAACACATAGGGGCATCATCCCTCCCAATTGGCCCTATTTAGGACTACAGTCCCTTTTTAAAATGTCTTTCCTAATTCTCTTTTAAACTATTATAAAAGTGATTAAACTGTCTATGTTTATCTTATTCTAAATTCCATTTTCAGTCACTTAAACTGTTATGACGTTGTTTAAAACAGGCCTCCTAACCATCCAGTTTTCAGTGAGACCGACCAGATTTCAGGATCCTGTCGCGACACCAGTCAACTGTCCCCAAAAAGTATAGCGCAAGTGCATCATTATACTAACTAAACTCAGGACACCAGGACCTTGCAGGGAGCACTGGAACAGTCATGCCAGGATGACCTGCCAATTCTTCGTGTGGGACTGCCCTTTTCCTTTGGGTGGCACCAGTGATGTGATTTTACACAATCAGAAAAAGCAGAAAATACAAATATTAGACAATAAGAGTAAAAACTATAGTTGACATAAAAACCATTTAAGGCTACAAAAAAAAAAGGGGGGGTGGATAATTCATATTCCGTATTCAGACTCATGGCCTGCTGCAATAAGAAAATACTACTCGTAAACCAGCATTAAATCCAGTACTTCTGTAAGGGAAGCCCTCAATTCCTTTATCTGCTCTGATCGAGCTCTCAAAGTGAGTAAGGAAGAGGTCCTGGTTGTTTTACTAAATCATATTGAGGATGAAACCTAGCACCTTCATAAAAATGCCAGTTTCTTTTGAGCAAGCTGAAGTACTATCAGGGTCCGAGATGTTCCTTTAAGCCAGTGTGCCCATGATCTGCTAATATTGGAAGCTTTTTTTTAAAAAAATTTTTAATAGATTTTTATTTATTTATTTATAAAATATTTTACCAGGATGGATACATTGAGATTTATATTGTTTTCAAGTATGTCCTGGGTCTTTGTCCTCAAAACATTGCATTGATACAATATTACAAAAATACAATATACAAAAAAAAAAAATATATATATATATATATATATATATATATATATATATGTGTGTGTGTGTGTGTGTATATATATAATATACACACACATATATAAATGTAATACATAACAGGTAATAAATATATTCAACCATGACAGGTGCATTCTGTGCTGAGGTATATTGCCATAGATCTCTTAAAAGATTTTAGATTGAATGAAGATTTGACTGTGTCCCTGAGGTTATTTCATAATTGAGGTGCTCTGTAGAAAATGAGGATCGAGCCATTTTATTTTTGTATTGTGGTATGCTAAATATCGTGCTAGCACTGGATCGGAGGTTATAGGAGGTGGGAAAAAGCTGGGGAGAGCATTCTGCTCCGGTAGGGTGGGAGCTTCCCAGAAATGCTCTTATGCTACAAAATATTGTGAGGCAGCTCTGTTTCCTTAGTTACCCATGTCTGTTTATTTAAGAAATATAGGAATATACATGATTTATATGTTTAATATGATTGATCCTTTAGGAATATTTAGTTCTCCAGAAAACCTGCAAAGTAGATGTTGATTCGAGTGGAAAGAAATGCAAGGAGAGAATGATCAGAATCCTGTGGGAATCTCGATTACCAGAGGAAAACAAAAGGTATCATTCATTATTGTTCACAAAATATATACAAAATACAGGTTTCACTCATCTGAATAAATCAACAGATAACCAACACTTTTCTTTTTTCGTTCTTCAGGTTTTCTGCGTTTGAAGTTAAAGAATATTCCTCAATGCTTGGTTTGCAAACTGAATTTGAAACAGCAGGTTTGAAGACCGTTTTCACAGAATTTGTACAAACACTTTTTTAATAAAAACTATCAGTAGTGGAAAGATTATTTTATTTTTTATTTACACAAAACTTGAGGTACAGTATTCACAAATAGTTTGATTTTATTGCCAATGCTTGCTAAGAATAAGCCAGGCATCAACAGAGTGGAGGCTGGAGACTGAGCGACTCTTGGTACCTCCCAACATAACTTAATGGACAGGCCATAAGGGTGACGTTGCGAATGAAGATGATGCAAATAATGGACATCAGTGTGGGGAAGTATGCACAACTCCAATTCCTTCAAGAGTCACACACTGTCTAGCCTCCACCCTGCTGCGGAAGTGCTCTCTTCAAGGTTCTAGTGCCCGTACACAGCACAAGCGTGTCTAATGATACGCTTGTTCTCTGGTTTCACTAGATACAAGACACTAGGGAACATAATTGTAAAGGCAGGGATAGACCCCAAAATTGGAATTGTCCTGCCAGAATCAGGGGCTCTGCAATGTGTACACATGTGCGAGTATGTTATATAGATTAACATAGTACAGCTCTCTCTATTAAAAACTTCTCTAATTTTTATAACCCACCTATCTTAGATTTGATATTCCAATCATGCCCCTATTTCCTTTTTTAACACATTTCCCCTCAGTATAAACATTTTGGGGCCCTAAACACGCTCCAGATGTTTGAATTTAAATGATTTATTTTATTTTAAAATATTTTTATTTATCCCATTCACTTCCACTTTTATAAAAAAAAACGGTGCACACTGACAATTTCCACACAGGGTTAATTTTTCTTCACCAATTATTTGACTCTCAAGTAAATCAGATGGCCTTATAATTGGAAGAATTTGTGTTTGTATTCATTAGTCCCTTAGTGCGAGCATGCTGTGTAGCTCTGATCTGTCTAATCCTCGTCACAACATTCTATGTTCCATATGGAGACTGGTTGTTTCCACTCCCTGTAACATACTCTGCCGCTGTGGAGTGAGACCGGTTGTCTCCACTCCCAATAACTCACTTGGCCGCTGGGGAGTGAGATCGTCTGTCTCCACTTCCAATAACTTGCACTGCCACTGGGGACTAAGGATGATACGCTTCTCTCCCTGGACCATACTCTGCCGCTGGGGATGGAGGACCATACGCTCCTTTCCCTGGAATGCACATGGCCACTGGGGAGTGAGATCGGTTGTCTCCACTCCCTGTAACATACTCTGCTGCTGGAGAGAGAGACCGACTGTCTCCACTCCCAATAACTTGCACTGCCTCTGGGGACGAAGGACGATATGCTTCTCTCTGGATCATACTCTGCTGCTGGGGACAGAGACCGACTGTCTCTTCTCCCTGGATCATACTCTGCCGCTAGGGAGTGAGACCAGTTGTCTCCTCTCCTTGTAACATACTCTGCCGCTGGGGACAGAGACTGACTGTCTCTTCTCCCTGGACTGCACACTGCCACTGAGGAGGAAGGACGACGCGCTTCTCTCCCTGGATCATACTCTGCCACTGGTGCGGGGTTATCCCCCACCGTGCCAACTCGCTTGCCTGCTCTGGTTTGTGCTGCAGGTACCTGGCCACAGAGGTTGGGTCCATAAAAAGCTAGCAGCTCCTTCACCATATTGTCAAACTCCGCCTCAGATTAGCTGGGTACCATGCATGTTCAGCTCTGAGGAAAGCTAGTTCCTCTCTAGAAAATGTGCAGGAGTCCCAGGGGTGTCCTGGATGTTTTCCCCAAGGCTAGGAAGCCATCCCACCACTGCCACCACTTGTAGCGGAGCTCCCTGTACCTCCGCCAAAGACCTCTTCCTAGCTGGAAGAGGGGAAAACTTAAACGCTTCTGCCCCAGTGGCCGTGGCTTGACTGGGGTCCTCCTGGAGCATCTCCGTCCTACAGTTATAGAGTGTCACGAATGCACCCTACTTCAAGAGTTTGCGTGACTTAGTTATGGTGGGGGAAGGGTTAAAGTTCACTATTTGTCTGCACTAGACCAGAAATAATGATAATATCCCCCTTAACACCACCCACATTTAAGCAAAATAATATAACTATTAGAACGCTGACACCAACGAGACAATTTATAAATGGGGTGCCTTGGTCCCCCCAGGTAACGTAATAATAAAAACCCACCAAATGTAACTTAGCACAATATTTAAGCAATTACAAACACTAATTAGTCTCTTCAGGTAACGTGACTCTTTACCAGACAAAGGCAGAACTTAATAAAGGAATATTTATTATGAGCAAAAAATAGTCAAAGTGCATACAAAAATATAGATGACAATCAAAATTATTTACACCAACAACTGATAAAAAGAAAAGGGACAAAATAACAGAAAGTCCTAATCACTTACTCAGCTCTTCAGAGTAAATACTCCTGCCCCAGGGGGTCTCTGTAGGAAAGATGGTGACTCACTTAGAATTAGAGTTTGGCCCTCAAGCAAGCACCATGCACCATTCAGTATCATTAGAGATATACCCTGTGGAGTTAAGGCGTATCTATAGAGACACTAAGTGACCATCCCCCTTGTGTCCAGCCCCACATCAATCCAAATGGAAACATTTGGTTCTATCTCCTCTTATATACCTGCCATAGAAATAATAACTGCATCTACGAAATTATTTTCCCATTCCATAGGTATGTCACACTTCTTACTTGTGATCCAATATAGTGAACATCACAATCCCTTCCCCCATGGTCAAGGTATGCCAATCATGTTTGGGCTTGTTTAGAAGATGGCGCTTGTCACATTCCAAATATAACAGAAATGAGGCTTAATTATTATTCTGTGGGTCAATATTAATGTTTTTCTTTTTTGGATATGATACTGGAACAGGGCTAATGGCCATTAACATGTCAAAGGACCCCCTATCTAAGAGGGAACCTAGACGTATTGTGGTGGAATCTCGGTAAAAATAAATTTAGTAGGCCGAGATTACCACGTGGCATGTGTACGTGCATATGCTGACGTATCGATCAGTTGGTTGCACGAGGCAAGATACGATCAGTAGTGTACGGAGCATGTGCAAGAATACAGGATGTAGTATTCCCCTCCTCCATTGTGCTGGACAAGCCATGCGGTCAAGCAGGAAGTTAATTCTTATTTGTAATGATTGGTCAAGAGAATGATTGGTCAAGGAATGTGCGGGTGGAGCTTAATATGGGAGGAGTTATGTGCCTATATAGGGAGCCTGCACTATTGTTCAGGGCTCAGAACTTGCTGTATTTTTGGTGACATTAGTCCCTCTGAGTCCCGATCGGTGATCCAATAAAGAATCTCTTCCTTCCTGAAGAAACCTGTGTCCATCCCTCTGTGCTTTGCTTCCGTCAGTTTCTCCGGTATCATTTGGTGCATTGGCCGGGAAGCTCATCGTTCAACGGTAGCTGAGAGGCAGAGGCGTGAGACGGTCTATCTTTGCCCACGTTCTCTACGGCTGCACCCCTGAACTTCTGCGTGGACCTCCCTTCGTCTCGGCGCCACTGGTCTGTTGTCCAGGAGATCATCGGCCTCTACGTAAGAAGTGCTGGGGTGTCCCCGTCGATGAGTGTGAACTCAGGTTCAGGAACGAGGAGGTAAGACAACTGCTGTTTTAGACGGCAGACCCACTAGGGGTATACCGATTGTGCGGTAGGCCCAAAAGGGGTTTAAATCTGTGTATGGAATCTGCCCCCTCTGTCGGAGGGAAGGAGCGAAGGCGCACCGCTCGATCGAACGCTCTTTAGTAAGACCGTTTGATCTGGTTAGTCAGGCGGGGTCCTGTGTAAATAGCCCTAGCCGGACACCGGTGTCTTGTCTAGACTAGCGTTCTAGGGTGTATATTACGTTCGCTAGGTCGGAGGGACCGGGAGACTAAGCGGCGCCTGTGTAAATTCGGTTCGCTAGCTCTCAACCTATCTTGGCTAAGTGGGAAGGCGTGTAAATTTGGAACCCACTAGACTTTTGATAGAGTAAATAGACTAGAAGGGCAATTTTGTAAATTTCGCCCTCTAGTTCGCTATATGTGGTGTTTGGGCAGTGTGGCTAACCAAAACGGGTGTATATAGTTTTAGGTAGTCCATTCAAGGTACTGGCCAATAGTTTAGTTGGGATTGTAAATGTGTTAAAGATTGTTAGTAAAGTGTATATCTTGTTAGATAGCGCGAGCTCAGCCGTCTAGCGAGAGTGTTAATAGTGTGTTGCTGTATCATAGTGCACGGTACCATAACCCTGTATATTTACTGACACTGTATATAAGTACTAATCATTGTCGTCTATTGCATGTTTAACACCGTAACCACTAATAATTGTATTGTGACCTTAAATTGTGCTTTGACCTATGCTAACCGTACTGTAACCGATACTAGTAAAAGACGATGTTACTGGGGTGTGTTATAGACGGGTAATTCATATATAGAGAATTATAGCGTGGGTGACTGTATAGTTTCGCCAAAGGGCATAATATTGATTATTTAGTGACTGGTGTAACAGCTGTGTGTGTACGGGAATTCCCTGAGTGATTATTGTGTTATTGTGTACGTTTCACTCGGTAACTGTACCACGTGGTGCTGTTGCCAGAGGAAACGGGTGTGACTGTTGAATAAGAACGCGTGCATAGTATTCGTTGTCAACGGCGTTCCATTGATAAGTATGGGCGCGTCAGAGTCAACGATTTCGGATCCCTTAGGTTGTATGGTAAAGAATTTTAAAAAGGGATTCAAAACATGTGATTTTGGGGTTAAAATGTCTCCTGTACGTTTGGTCACTTTGTGCACTAGGGAGTGGCCTATTTTGGTTGCGGCATGGCCGCCGCGTGGCAGTTTGGATCCAACCCTGGTACAGCGTGTACACGTGGCTGTGTCAGGTAGGCCTGAACTTTACGGACAGTTTCCATACATTGATTGTTGGGGGCAGGCCGTAAACGACTCGCCAAAATGGATCCGGATATGCCACGAGGAGCAATGTCGCCTCATGGTGGCCAGGACTTGTTTGCCCACTAGGACTGGTGTTAGGCCCATTTTGGACACGCCCCCTGAGTCCGAGATCCCTTTGCCGCCTCCTTACTTTCCTTTAAGAGGAAGTGACGCGAATGCAGGAAGCTCTGCACCCCTTCCCCTATTGCCCCCATCCACTTCCGCTTCCTCCTCCAGTACAGAATCCACCCCCCCTCGTATTAAAACTCCCCTTCCGGAACCAGGACCAACCCCCATTAGATTTGAATATCCTGATTTGGCGCCACTTCAAACTTCCGGTCAAGCTTCTTCTAGCTCGGCTCGGAGTATACTATTCACTAACTTTTCCCAAAATCAAGTTCCACATCCTCATGCCCTTACCTCTCGACCGGAACCTTTAACTGGCGCCCCTCCACGTAGCCCCATACTAACCCGACAACTGACCGGTACCCAACAATTAAAACATTATCAGATGCCTCTTCGTCTGAATCCTGGGTCAGCCTATATCGATGCCGCAGGTCAAATGGCATGCTGACCCAGTTTTCGTATATGTCCCGTCACGACTAACGATCTCTTGAATTGGAAGACCCACAATTCCTCGTACACTGAGAAACCACAAGCTATGACCGATCTGTTCACCTCGATAGTTCAGACACATAACCCGACATGGGCTGATTGCCAGCAGTTATTAATGACATTGTTCAATAATGAGGAAAGGACAAGGATTAACCAAGCGGCCATTAAGGCGCTAGAGGAGAGAGCCCGTGCTTTAAATCAAGCCAATCCGGCAGCATGGGCCGCAACACATTACCCTAACACCGATCCTGACTGGAATGTAAATGGCGCAGATATGGCTCAACTTAAAGCCTATAGAGAAGCTATAATTGCTGGCATGAAAGCCGGAGGGAAGAAAGCTATTAACATGTCGAAGACAGTTGAGGTGATTCAGAAAAGTGATGAAGCGCCCAGTGTCTTTTATGACCGATTATTGGAGGCATACAGCTTGTATACCCCCTTTAATCCGGAAGACGCTGATAATTCCCGAATGGTAAACTCCGCCTTTGTCAGCCAAGCTTACGGAGATATTAAGCGCAAGCTACAGAAATTAGAAGGGTTTGCAGGTATGTCTATCACCCAACTAATGGAGGTAGCGAACAAAGTATATATGAATAGGAAAACAGAAAGTAAGAAAGAGGAAGAGCGCAAGATGCGTAGAAAGGCAGATATGCTAGCGGTAGCGATCGCAGGCGTAGATAGACGGGGCCCAGATAGAAGCGATGGTAGATGGAATAGGGAGCCTTTGAGTAGGAATCAGTGCGCGTACTGCAAGGAAGAAGGGCATTGGAGGAACGAGTGTCCGCAAAGAGAGCAGTATGAGAGAGACTTACCCAGGGCAGGTTACGGAAACTTTAGAGGCAGAGCGAGAGGTAGAGGAGGCCCCGGAGGGAGTAATGGTAATAGAGGGAGTAATGGTAATAGAGGGAGTAATGGTAATAGAGGGAGTAATGGGAACAGAGGAAGTGTAAGGGAAGATAGGTACTATCCAGCAGCGCAAAGGTCCCGCGATAGAGAAGGTAGGGACTTTGTGGGATTGGCTGACACGGTCATGGAGGACTATTGATACCGACCGGGCTCCATCCCCCTTGGTCGAGCGGAGCCTATGGTCGATGTATCAATAGGGGGGAAAAGGAGTGCGTTCATGATCGACACTGGTGCTGAACATTCGGTGGTGACTAATCAAGTTGCTCCTCCATCTGGAAGAACTATTACTGTAATAGGAGCAACTGGAAGAAGTGCTGAAAAACCGGTTCTTAAAAGTCGACTCTGTACATTGGGAGGCCACGTAGTAAAACATCAATTCCTTTATATGCCTGAGTGTCCAGTCCAATTGCTGGGGCGTGATATGCTATCCAAATTACAAGCGCAGATTACGTTCCTACCAAATGGAACAACATCCTTAAAGTTTAATGGACCCTCAGGTATTATGACATTGTCCGTACCAAAGGAAGAAGAGTGGCGACTTTATACAGTGTTGACTAGCCAAAACCCGAGGAGTGATGAATCCTTATTTAACATACCAGGAGTTTGGGCAGAGAACAACCCACCAGGACTGGCCCGCAATATTCCACCTATTAAAATCGAACTAAAACTTGGGGTTTATCCAGTAAGCCTGAGACAATATCATATTCCGCAGAAGGCTAAGAAGAACATCCAATCTTATCTGGATAAGTTCATACGGTATGGTATCCTAAAATTCTGTACTTCCCCTGGAACACCCCATTGCTGCCTGTTCAAAAGCCCGGTACAGATGAGTATCGACCTGTGCAGGACTTGAGAGCAGTCAATGATGCGGTTGTTAGTATACATCCAGTCGTGCCCAATCCATATAACCTGCTTGCTTTAATTCCGGGCGGGGCTACTTACTTTACAGTCTTAGATCTCAAAGATGCCTTCTTTTGCCTCCGAATTGCCGCAGAAAGCCAATGTATCTTCGCTTTCCAATGGGAAAATGCTGTAACGGGCTCGAAACGCCAAATGACCTGGACAAGATTGCCCCAGGGGTTTAAAAATTCACCTACCCTATTTGGTTCAGCTCTAAGTCAAGATCTACTAGATTTCGAGTCTATCCCAGGAGAGTGTGTATTATTACAATATGTAGATGACTTGTTGATAGCAGCAGTTACAAAGGAAGTATGTCAGCAAGCAACGCACGATCTACTACACATTCTCTGGAAGGCAGGATACAAGGTGTCAAGAAGGAAGGCTCAGTTGTGTTTGCCAACTGTCAAATATCTGGGATTCCATATCTCTGAAGGTCAAAGAATTATGGGGCCAGAGAGAAAAGAAGCTGTGTGCCAAATACCGATACCCAGGAATAGAAGACAAGTGCGAGAATTCTTGGGGGCAGCAGGCTTCTGTAGGATATGGATTCCCAGCTACGCGATACTGGCAAAACCTCTGTATGCAGCTATCAAAGGTACAGAGCACGACCCCTTCTTATGGACTCAAGAACAGCAAACGGCATTCGAAGATGTGAAGAGGGCTTTGATGAGTGCCCCAGCATTAGGTCTACCTGACCACACACGGCCATTCTACCTGTATGTACATGAGCAAAGAAGAATGGCTGTGGGAGTATTGACACAGTACTTGGGATCATGGCAAAGACCTGTTGCCTACATGTCTAAGCAACTGGATGCAGTGGCCAGCGGACTTCCACCTTGTCTAAGAGCTGTAGCTGCAGCCGCCCTGCTAGTAGCTGAAGCCGATAAACTCACTCTGGGTCAAGAACTTTATGTACGAGTTCCACATGCAGTACAGACGTTGTTGGATTACAAAGGAAATCATTGGTTTAGTAACAGCCGTATGACCAAGTATCAAGCAATGTTGTGTGAAAACCAAAGAGTGCATTTAGAGACTGTAAATACCTTAAATCCAGCTACCCTTTTGCCACAACCTACTGAAAGTCAACATGATTGTTTGGAAGTAATGGATGAAGTATTTTCAAGTAGACCAGATCTTCGTGATTTTCCCATCCAGAACCCTGATGTTCAATATTACACCGGCGGCAGTAGTTATGTAAAAGAAGGGATCCGCTATGCAGGATATGCAGTAACAACGATAGACAAGGTGATAGAAGCTCGGCCACTGGCAAAAGGAACATCAGCACAAAAGGCAGAATTGATAGCACTGACACGAGCGTTACAATTGGCTGAAGGTTTAAGAGTGAACATCTACACGGACTCCAAGTATGCGTTTTTAACCACTCATGCCCACGGAGCTTTGTATAAAGAAAGAGGACTATTGAATTCAGAAGGCAAAGAAATCAAATACGCAGCTGAGATCCTACAACTATTGGAAGCAGTGTGGGAGCCGAAAGAAGTCGGTATTATACATTGTCGGGCGCATCTGAGAGGAGATGGTGATGTAACCAAAGGGAATCGGATGGCAGATAGTGCAGCTAAGCGTGCTGCTGAATCAGGAAGACAGGAATATGTGGGGCATATAGCTGCTCTTATACCAACTCCACTGTCTCAATGGACTCCAATTTATACAGCTCAAGAAGAGGAGTGGTTAAGGACTGAACCTGGAAAGTATTTGGAGAACAAATGGTATCAGTTAGAAGATGGAAGAATAGTTATTCCAGCATCACTAGCGGTAGAAATTGTCCAAAACTATCATAACGGGACACATTCTGGGAGAGACAGTACAGAAGAATCTCTCAGAAAACATTTCTACATACCAAGATTGTCCAACTTGACTCAGGCCATTGTACGTAGATGTGTAACGTGTGCTAAAAATAATGCAAGACAAGGACCAGTAAAGCCACCAGGAGTCCAGTTTATGGGGGACTTCCCATGTCCGATTTACAAATTGACTATACAGTGATGCCTAAATCGGGTGGACATCGCTACCTGCTGGTAGTGGTGTGCACCTATTCAGGCTGGGTAGAAGCATATCCTACTCGTACAGAGAAAGCAGGAGAAGTCGTGAGATTCCTGCTACGAGAAATAATACCCCGATATGGACTACCCTGCTCTATAGGATCGGACAATGGTCCAGCTTTGTTCATCAGTGCCTACAACAATTGACTCATATGCTTGGTATAAAGTGGAGGCTTCATACGGCATATAGACCCCAGAGTTCTGGTAAGGTAGAGAGAATGAATAGAACTATTAAGAATCAGTTGGCTAAATGTGTCAGGAAACCCAACTTAAGTGGAACGTTCTCTTGCCCATAGCTCTATTGCGAATCCGTAGTACACCTACCAGAAGGATGGGCCTCTCTCCTTTGAAATCATGTACGGGCGACCACCTCCCGTGCTTGGTAACTTAAGGGGGGATTTGAGTCAGTTGGGAGAAGGAATTACCCGGCAGCAGGTTGTAGAGTTGGGTAAGACTATGGAGGAGGTACAGAAATGGGTACAAGATAGATTACCTGCGAATATTTATCCCCCAATTCATAGTTACCACCCAGGCGACCAAGTGTGGATTAAAGAGTGGAATAATGTGCCGTTAGGGCCCAAGTGGAGAGGTCCTTATGTTGTTCTTTTGTCTACCCCTACAGCGATAAAAGTAGCCGAAGTGGCTCCGTGGATACATCACTCCAGGGTTAAACCAGCAGCAGCCGATTCCTGGCAAGTTACAGCAAATACAGAGAATCCCTGCAAGATCCGGTTAAAACGCACGACTCAGTCGGAGTGACGAGGAACCTTGTGGATTACAAATTTTATTGTTTCAGAGACTTGGTAAGTGAGTGAGAAGGCCATAATAAAGCCTGTCCACTCACCAACGAGTGTATAAGTCAGGGAAAGTCTTGAGGGGACCCTTGTGAAGACGAGCAGAACTCCATTCCCTGCAGTCCTTACATCCTGGAAGCTGAGGTGCCTTCACACGGACGAAGACTGAGGATGACGATGAAAGATGTATTTTTAATAATGTTTATTTATGTGTATTTTTATATTCAGGAAGGTAGAGGTACCAACACTCCTAGCTGTGAGGTATGCATTAAGACTACAAGAACAGGTAACCATATATCCCAGACCTTAATTTGGCATTCGCAATATGAGTGTAAAGGAGATGTATCAAGATGTAGATACTTAAATATAGAATATAGTGTGTGTCATTTAGGAGTAGGAGAACCTAAGTGCTTCAGTCCTGAGTATCAACCCCGTACAATTTGGTTGACTCTCAGAAATGGAGATCCTCAGGGGACCCTAATTAATAAGGCGGTATTAGAATCCGTATATTCTTCAGGTGCTCTGCTATTTGATGCGTGTAAAGCAATATCAAGTGGTAGAAAGCCGTGGAATGTATGTGGGGATCTTAGATGGGAGAGGACGTATGGGTCTAACGATAAATATATATGTCCCAGTAGTAAAAATAAATATGTAAGTCCAAGATGCCCAAATAGAGATTATAACTTCTGCCCATATTGGTCTTGTGTGGGGTGGGCGACTTGGGGACAGACAGCAGAAAAGGACATGATTGTGACTAAGTTGCCTACTGATCCATATTGTAAGTCTATGGAATGCAATCCAATCCATATACTTATAAATAATCCTGACAAGTTCTTAGATAAATATGGTAATTTATTTGGGTTTCAAATATATGGGACGGGTTTAGACCCTGGGACAATATTATTTATAGGGATAGAGACTGATACGGTAACCTCCCAAACTCATCAAGTATACCATTCCTTTTATGAAGAGATGAGCATAGATAATAAGATCCCCCATAATGCTAAAAACTTGTTCATTGATTTAGCCGAGAGTATTGCCGGTAGTCTTAATGTTACCAACTGCTATGTGTGTGGGGGTACTAACATGGGAGACCAATGGCCTTGGGAAGCAAAGGAGGTAATGTCCGGTTCTGAGGCAGTAGACCAATTAATATCTACACAAGCCGACTATCATATGAGTGTTAGAGGTAAATCTGAGTGGAGATTGAAGACCTCCATCATAGGTTATGTTTGCATAGCGAGGAAAGGAATGATGTATAATACTTCTGTAGGAGAATTAACTTGTCTAGGGTAAAAAGCTTATGATGATGATACAAAGAATACAACTTGGTGGTCGGCTTCAAATGTCTCAGAACCATCTAACCCGTTTGCAAGATATGCCAATTTAAAGGACGTATGGTTTGATCTATACATCACATCTAACTGGAGAGCCCCAGCGAATTTGTACTGGATCTGTGGTAAGAAGGCCTATTCGGAGTTACCACAGGACTGGGAAGGGGCATGTGTGTTGGGTATGTTAAAACCATCCTTCTTCTTGTTGCCTATTGAAACAGGTGAGACTTTAGGTGTTAAAGTGTATGATGTGAATCATGGGAAGAAAAGGGGACCCATAGAGATAGGTGCCTGGGAAGATAATGAATGGCCTCCCCAGCGTATTATAGATTATTATGGGCCAGCCACGTGGGCAGAGGATGGTACCTTTGGTTATAGAACCCCTATTTATATGCTCAACCGCATTATAAAGGTTACAGGCGGTGGTTGAGATCATTACTAACGAGACATCACAAGCGCTCAATCTTCTAGCGAAGCATAATACCAGGATGAGGACAGCAGTTTACCAAAATAGATTAGCCTTGGATTATCTTTTGGCAGTAGAGGGAGGTGTATGTGGGAAGTTTAACCTGAGCAATTGCTGTCCTCAAATAGATGACGAAGGGCAAGCAATAGCTGAGCTTACTAGCCATATGGTTAAACTAGCGCATGTGCCTACTCAGGTATGGAAAGGGTACAATCCAAGTAGTTGGTTTGTTAGCTGGTATGAGTGGTTTGGAGGGCTTAAGGCAGTGGTAGGTGGAGTCCTACTGATTTTAATGTTGTGTCTACTCCTGCCGTGTCTTATACCCTTAGGAGTTAGGTCTGTGCAAAGCCTGATAGAAAATATAGCAGAGAGGAAGGCTGCTGCACAGATAATGGCAATTTATAAATATAAGGCTCTAGATCAGGGAGAACCAATGCGGGAAGACGAGTGTTGAAGATTCACATCATAGGATAAGTCTGGTCTGGTTCAAAGGTAACTTGTGGTGTATGCAAACCAAGGTTAAGTGATGCCTCAAGTAATTGTAAAATATCAAGAGGCATCAAAGGGGGAATGTGGTGGAATCTCGGTAAAAAATAAATTTAGTAGGCCGAGATTACCACGTGGCATGTGTACGTGCATATGCTGACGTATCGATCAGTTGGTTGCACGAGGCAAGATACGATCAGTAGTGTACGGAGCATGTGCAAGAATACAGGATGTAGTATTCCCCTCCTCCATTGTGCTGGACAAGCCATGCGGTCAAGCAGGAAGTTAAAGGACCACTATAGTGCCAGGAAAACATACTCGTTTTCCTGGCACTATAGTGCCCTGAGGGTGCCCCCACCCTCAGGGTCCCCCTCCCGCCCGGCTCTGGAAGGGGGAAAGGGGTAAAACTTACCTTTTTTCAGCGCTGGGCGGGGAGCTCTCCTCCTCCGATCCG